GCATTTAATACTATCGGTGTAAACTGGAATAACCGGACGCTAGGAGTTGCCATTCGATTTGAAATTAGAGTAAAAACGGAAACGACTGAATGTAAATTAGTTTATATACATTCATATTACATTATTATATGCGTTGCGACCCATTTGTGTCAATTTCTAGGTCCCAAATATTAGCGATTTAGCTGCTTTAAATGTGCTAATTCTGTCACATCGTTTGATGGGGGGTGAACGAATCACAAGGTCTGTCATTGATTCAAGTGGTGTGGTTTCGATTCCAGGCTTGTACGTGACAGGGAATAGGGAATTAATGAAGTAAAACTGAACCATATGTAAGTTCTGAAATGGTCTAATTTGTGTTCAGTAGACGTTAAACCCCATTTGTCTTTCTCTCTCTCTCTCTCTCTCTCTCTCTCTCTATTCAAGTCAATTAGGTGTACTGTAACCAAACAACACAATGAACAGCTTCCTTACAAATATCTTTTCAATCACATTGGGTATTGAAATTGAATTGAAGTAATGAAATAAGAAATAACTTACACACAAATCAGTGGTTATTGAATTGAAAACATAGAGGGAAATTTTTTGGTTAATTTAATTAGCTTTTGTCAATAAAAAAATAATTTTCATATCAGAAACATTGATCAGAACTCTTGGGAAATTCACTAACAATTTTGACATTTCCAAGTACAATATGCAACATAAACCAGCTACAGAAAATGCCTTGGTGAAAAGGTCAGATTTTCCAGGAACTAGAGAAACAATTCTGATATCATATTATCTTAATAATCGGCAACAATTAATCTTAGAGGTATAGGGAAAATATTTTACGCAAATTCAGTTCAGTTACTTACAGATATGTTATGTAAGATTTAGATAAAGAGCTGGCCGTTCTTACTATAATAGTTGAAAAATAAATAATGAAAAATGATTATATTGAAAATTTCATTCAAAGTACTTGATTCTGAGAACCTTGATTCATTATTTTTTTTAATTAAATCATTAAATTGTTTAACTGTTCTAATCCACTTAAAATTGGACCTACCTGATGACATCAAGAGTTGATTATGGTCTTGTTTTGTTAATAAATGTCTAATTAATAGTTTTTACAACATTTGAGGCCTAAAGAAAGACCTGAAATAGGCAGATTTAGCTCTTGCATAATGCATCATTAAACATACATTATGCAAGAGCTAAATCTGCCTATTGCAGGTCTTTCTTTAGGCCTGAAATGTTATCTAAATTATTAATTAACTTATCCAGACCATAATCAACTCTCGATGGCATCGTTAGCCTGCGATGTTTATTGGATTAGGTTCCGATTTGCTGTTCGACTTCAGTTCATAATTCGATCATGAAATGGATAATCAAGACTATGTTTTTTATCCTACAGACTTTAGTAATGATGATCGAGACTCGGACGAAAATTCAATCACTAAAATCTCGGTTCAAATTGGATCAATTTGACTAAAATTTTCAGCAAATTCCCTTAACATTATCTACTTTTTAACTATTATAGTGAGAACTGCCAGCTCTTTAACTAATCTCCTATAATGTATCTTTAACTTAAAAATATAAACATGATACATGAAGCACACGGTGGATTTCCAACAAAACCTTTAAACATATTTCAAATCAATTACAGAACAATTTTAAATAATACTAAAATATCACATTTTCTATTTGTATTGAAGTTCAAGGCCATTTGGTACTTGTTTCATTATCTGACAGACATTAGCCTCCAAAACACTTCTAAATGTTTGAAAAAGTTCTGTTGTGAAAATTGATGTACATGTACATTAAACTACATACCGTTACTAATTAAAAGGTCAGGCTTTGTCTTAATGAGAGACTAACTATTACAGATGTCAAAATCACATTGTAAATTAATGCACCTTGTACACATAACACGTCATTGTCTGCGATATCACCTCGGTGGAAGCGGACGTAAAATACAACTAATTCATCATCATCATACAGATGTCATTATTTGGATTGGTACAAACAAAGAGAAAATGAAACATATTCAAGCAACATCATAAATCAGTTTTGGACAGGGAATTAAATAGTATGTAACTGATAAGGTTTCACTAGTCCCATACACAAGGAAGTAGTCCAAAGGGAGTTTCAAGACTTAACTCAAACCGTGACACCAGTATATATTTGAATAAATATTTTAATTGTAATATCTTAATTTACCTTATCTCTGATTTAACTAATTACAAACTCGTTATAAGCCAGAAGAATCATGGTTTGGACAAGGGCTCTGCTGACTATCTGTCCAACAGACATTCTTGTTTAAATCAAACTATTATAAGGTTTGAAAAACAAATAGCCTTTTGTCCTTCTGATTTATGGGGGTCTTGACTTAGTTCAGATATTAAACTGTTTGATCTTTCTAATCTTAATAATAATCTACAACAATGACACATAAAGAAAATTTCAGGTAAAATATTTAGCCCAGTCTTGTATGAAGCCCAGTAATTCCACTTATTTGTACCTGCCTTTTTTTTTTAAATTTTACAATCAAACCTCTAAATGTTTAAATTTAATACCAAAGAATATTTCTTACGGACAAATTCAACCATAAGCTTTAAAGCTTATATAATTTCAAAAGTTGCAAGTCTCAACAAGGGGTACAGAACAGTCAATAATATACTGTACTGATCGGTACGTAAATACCTTAATTTCTCAAGATTTCTATGACTTTACATGTAGGCCTAAAAACAAAAACATCCCAACTTATGACAGCTTGATTACACAAATTCAAGCTTTTTCTAAAATGAACAATTAAAACTAGTAAGATAACTGTTTATTCATTTTCTGCAACAACAAATCTTGCAGTGACACAACATTTAGGACCAGTCTCACAAAAGATGTTAAAAAGAATGAAATATAGACCATTAAAAAGAAATCTGATTCAGAAACGGACCGTATAAATTCAATTGAATGCAATATTTAAGACAAATCTGCCATTTCATCATTGTAATAATGGGACACATAATTGATGAACATTTTAATTTCAACATACAGGTACTACTTAAAGTAGGCTACTTGTACGAATTCTCAAGTGATTAGGAAGGATGGAGCTGAACAAACTCTCATGAAAAATTCTTAATTTTAGGAAAGTGTTTTGATTTGTAAAGTCATGGTAAAAGTGATAAGGTACGTTAGTTTGTCTTTAAAGGGACTATCCCGATTAGAAAATAGTCTCAAAAATTAAAGTCCAAGTACGTATGAAATTTAAGCATCAAAATATATAGGAATGGTGTATTGACCTTGTCTCAAAATTTCAGCTCAAAATAATGAGTCGTTTGGACGTGAACGTCAAAACTGCTTATCCGGACATGTAACTCTTTTAAGATTTCGGGTCAATTTTTTCGTTGGGTGACCTGATAATCGATTCCCGTTTCTTGAGATGTCTGTAGATAGAGGGTTTTAAGGCATTTTAACACAAAATTAAGCGGTTTTATTCTCCAAAAAATTATCGGGATTGGCCCTTTAACTTGGACATCTATCATTATTCAATGAAATTGATAAATAAATAATTATCATCTTAATCTTAGTCATAATATTATAATTAAAAAGCCTAGTTTAAAACATACTGTGGCTGGGACACAGTGATCAGATGTTATTATTATTTTTTTTTTTTTAACATGATCACAAGGTAATGATGATATTAACTGTATTGATGATGACGATTGTAGCAACAGGGTATGACATAATATCTGGCCGCTTTCCTTTATGTTCAAAACTCACCTGGGCTGGATTGGACTTTTACAGTTTAACGTCTCTTTTTTTTTTTTAACAGTTATGCAACCAAGAGATGTGCCTTCTTATTAATCAATGTAAAAAACCATCATTAATGTAATTTCATAAGAATTTCAACAACAACTTCACATACTCACTTCTAACATTTCACGGTTCACTGAATTTAGTCATCATGCACATTTTATGACAGATCAAAACATTCGTCTTAAATTTCTATCGCCATTTTGACATTTGACGTGATAATATTAGAGTTATCTCCGGTTCATTCGTGCGTGGGCGTCGACACCGTCAACGAAACGATTAATGGGAGGTAACTCCATTTAAAGATTTCTTCTTAACATGATTTGTCTCCCATTATTTATTATTTCCACACATTTATCCTCTGAAGCTTATACTTAGAGAGAAATGGGGTTTAACGTCCACTCGACACAAACTAGGTCATTTCGGGACTAACGTGTGTTCCGATGCAATAAAATTCTTCTTCTTCTTCATATAATGGTACTATACGTAGGCCTACTGCCTTGGTCTGATCAAATTTCCAATCAACTTTTTCATCAATAATTCATCATTCCAGATCTTACTCCTATTTCATTCTTGAAAATGCACCTGCGTTTGTTTTTTTCAAAAAAAGATTAATGCTAAATATGGAGAATATTGTATGCTGTCCACAATGGATGTTTCGATACAATAAAATCTTATCTTATCTTTATGGTTCAATTTTATTTCAACAATTCGCTTGCACATAGGGGTCTTTAGCAGTGGGAGTAAACCGAAGGACTCGGATAAAACCCACGAGGATGGACAGGCAACCCTACTCCTTGTCACGTACAACCAGGGAATCGAAACCACGCCAGTTGACTCAATGGCAGACCTTATGATACAGCATGCACACGTTAACCATTTGGCCATCCAATCCCCCGCTTTTACGTGTACATCCTCAGTATGGTACTTGCATTATTGAACAATGTCCAAATTAACATTTCCATTTTATTTATTATTTCAATCCAACTCAGATGGGCCTAGCTTATGAAATATTAATGTTGGCCACTGGAATTTCGAAACGATCGAGAGAGAGAGAAATGGGAACGTCCACTCAACACAAACTAGGTCATTTCGGGACTAACCATTAGGCAAATAAGGCACATGTCTCATGACCAACACAAACTAGGTCATTTTGGGACTAACATATGGTACAAATTTATTTCAAATAATAAAAACACTAACAACCAACATCAACTTTATAAGTTTAATCCAATCAGTAATAATAATGTTAACAGTTATTTTTCTCATAGAAAAAAAAAGAGAAAAACATTAAAAATGAATTTAACAGAAGTTTATTATACATCAAAAGATGCAAACGTTTATATTACAAATAACACCAATAACAACTTCAACTATTGCTACTTGTATATCATAAACAACAGAAAATTAATAAATGAAACATAAACTTATACAATAATTTATATCAGGCCCTGATTTCACAAAACATTCTCAGACTAAAGTTAGGCATTTGCTCAAAATTGTTCGCCTTATTTTAACCAAAATATAGCACTTTATAAAATTTTTGTTGTTTTAATGTATCAAATACATCAATAAGAAACTATGTTTCTGGATCAAAGATATTTCTCATAGTTGATTCAATTCTTAACTTAGGCCCGAGGAAGCTTTGTGAAACTGGGGCTAGGGCTTTCTCTTCAATATTCTGCCAGTCAGTCAATATTTGATGTATTTCTGTTACTTTGGATTAGCAGGATATTTTTTCCAATGAATATGAAGTGTTTTTACAAATAAAAACTATAAATTTAACTTTATTTCTTTAAGTCGCATTTAGTAATTGAACAGTAACACACTAACACTATTTATAGATAATAATTACTGGTTTATTAATATACAACGTTTCGAGGATCATACTCTCATCTTTATCTAGCAAATCAATAAACCAGTAATTGTTATTCAATAAATAGTGTTAGTGTGTTAACTTTATTTATCGAGTTTTAAGGTCAAATTCTTTGAAATTCTAATTTTATGGCATATACAATTTCCCTGTCAAGACTGGCACACTTGATTGAAATGGGAGCCCTGATTTATTCTATTAGTTTTGTTATTTCAATAATAAATTCAGTTTGACTAGAGACTAGATTATGTATGGATGCCTGTAAAATGGTTTTAACAAAAAAAATCATTTTAGCCTTTCTCTCGATCTGTTACCGTTGGAAATAGTCTATTTCCTTTATTGTATTGGAATCATGAATCGTGACCAAACTTGAGATTTGATTGGCTTCAGAATTACTATACATGACTGGTATGAAACTGTTGTTGTGGTGTTAGGTCTCAAACATATCACTGGTAATAGTAAGGCTATTTTATTTATCATGTTGGTATCGCGTTCAAATTCACGATGTGAATGGCTTTGAACTGGAAGCTGGAAGAACTATACAGGATTACTATGAAACTGTTGTCACGGTGTTAGATCCCGATCATACAGTAATAGGTATAGCTTGACTACTATCAAGGTTAGTTCATTCTGCACACAGAGAACTATCTACTTCAAGAATACATCTCTGCCCTGAATGGCCACCATATCTAAATATCAATATACTATTTTGTAATGCGGTTCTACTCCGTTTAACATCTGTTATACACATACAGAGTAAATAAACCTTTTTCTTTTTCATTAAATGAAAACGAAATAAATACTTCTAAAAATTTGTACAGTATACTGTGTGGTTTCAACTAAAATCGTCGATTTAGGAATTAAAATGTTGGTCAACTAGCTTAGTGTCTGTTCTCAACGTAAGTTTAGTATAAGGTTAGTTAGTTGGGTGAAGGCCAAGATGGATGAAAGTTAGGTCATATCATTGAAACATTTCTGATTACTTTAAACTGAATTATGAAATATCTTTTAAATCATAATTAAACTAAATCGTACAGTTTACATCAATATACGATCTTTAATGAAAGTCTGGGAAAACAGAAATATATAATGTATATGATAAATAAAACAAAAATGAAATTAAGGAAATTTTTTACGTTGTAATTAATAGACAAAACTAAATTATACAATTTACATCAATATAGGATCTTTAAAAAAAGTTGGGGAAGAACATAAATATCGGTTTTGTACTGATATCTGCTCAGCAATGTCTCCGGCTATCCAAAAATGTAACTACAGTATCTAAAAATTCGGTCAATAAAACAAAAAGCTATAGGGGCATAAATTAACAAAGAAAATTAAATTATATAGTTTACATCAATATAGGATCTTTAATGAAAGCTGGGTAAAAAACGTAAATATAGATATATTAAATTATAATTAAAGTTAAATTATACAGTTTACATCAATATAGGATCTTTGATGAAAGTCGGGTGAAAAACGTAAATATATATGTATATGATAAATAAAATAAAAATTATAGTGACTAGTAATTTGGCATAATAATACTTAGACAATAAATATAAAATATAAACAATTGCACAAGTATACAGTCAACATATAAAATATTCATGCTGAAATAAATATACTAAATATAGCATCTATAAAACATGACACAAAAACATGGAGGTATCACATTTTGAGTTTGTAATTAATATTAATTAAGGACATATTATTATGTCGTTAACAGTCACGAGATGCGAACCTATATACACAAAGAAAGAGAGAAATGGGCTTTAACTTGACACAAACTAGGTCATTTCTGGACTAACATATGGTTTAATTTTATTTCAATAATTCGCTTGTGCATAGGGGTCTATAGCAGTGGGAGGAATTCGGAGAAAACCCATGAGGTTGGACAGGCGACCCTACTCCTTGTCACATACAAGCGGGGAATCAAAAACACCCCACTTGACTCAATGACAAACCTTATCACACAACGCGCAGGCGTTAACCATTCAGCAACCCAATCCCCCTGTATACATAAAGCCAAACTCAATTAATTTTTAGTTCATCGAGGTATTGATAAATAAATAGCAAATTAAGTCCTGTTAACTATTTTTTAAAGAATTATTTTTTTTGTTTAAAATTTTCAAACTTTAAATGTGGAACTAAAAGCCTTTGAGAAGATCAAGTACTTTTTGTTTTAAAATTAATTTTTTCCATGAAGGGAGAGAGAGAGAATGGGGTTTAACATCCACTCGACACAGACTAGGTCATTTCGGGACTAAATGAAATGAAATGAAATGAAATGGGGTTTAACGTCCTACTGTTCTACTCCTAACCTGGGCTAATGAAGACGGGATTTCGGGACTAACATATGGATTAATTGTATTTCTTGCACATAGGGGTCTTTAACAGTGGAAGGAAGCTGGAGGACCCGGAGAAAACCCACGAGGTTGGACAGGCAACCCTACTCCTTGTCACGTACAACTGGGGATTCGAAACCACGCCAGTTGACTCAATGACAGGCCTTATCATACAACGTGCACGTTTTCCATGAAGGAATACATAACATAATTTTAATAGTTGTTCCTGAAGAACAAATTTCAAATTGGTTTGGCCTACTAGGGAAAATCCATTTGTGACCAGAAACATATCTTATGATGTATTTCAAGAAAAGCACACTTTACAAGTCTTCAAATTTTAATATAGCTGCCATGTACACTTGCAATGAGCACATGCATCACTGGGCAATGTGTGGCACATGCTGATATAACAGTGGCAGACACAGTAGTTGACACTTTGTAATGATTAAATATGTATAATTTTGCAGAGCTTATTATGTAATTTGAGTCTTAATTATAGTGTTCCTAATCATTTACAATATCATACTTTCTGAGGGAAACTTTGCCTAGATAGTGCTGTTTCCATCTACTCTTAATCACATTCCAACTGTCAGGGGTTCTTTTATGTGCACATCAATGAGTACAAGGGTCCCAGAACCTTTTAGTTACTGAGCCAGTGACATACCCACTGAGTCACAATACTTAAAGGAACAGATTTTCCAAATATCATTCTACTGGAAAATTATATATGCATTAATATTGTTGAAGGAAATACTTAATCTTGTAAATGGAAAGCAGCATTCTGTGTTGAAGGTTGAACTGTAACGACGGGCGATGCACCAGCTAAGCTAGGTGATGATATAGGTTCATATGAAGTACCACTTGCCCCTTGCTCTGTTTTACTTCCTAAAACACATTCTTCATAAGAAGGAGGAGCTGTAATGAGAAATATTTTAACACATACAGGATTAGGCAACCTCTATCAGTCTATACTATATACTGTTAAATGTTTTTATTAGAAAAGAAGATGGTTACCGAAAGTCAGCTTGGTTGTATCTGCTAGGTACTCTAGCTGTAAATTCCTTGCACTAAACAGTATCCTGTGCTCAATATGATAATGTGCCAAAGTGCCCTAGAAGATACTGTGCCAAAGAGTAGCTTATGTTCTGGAAGATACTGTGCCAAAGAGTGGCTTATGCTCTGGAAGATACTGTGCCAAAGAGTGGCTTATGCTCTGGAAGATACTTTGCCAAACACTAGCATATGCTCTGGAAGATACTGTGCCCAAAAAAGTAGCTTATGTTCTAGAAGATACTGTACCAACGAGTAGCTTATGCTCTGGAAGATACTTTGCCAAACACTAGCTTATGCTCTGGAAGATACTGTGCCAAAGAGCAGCTTACTAGAAGATAGTGTGCTCAAAAGAGTAGCTTATGTTCTAGAAGATACTGTACCAAAGAGTAGCTTATGCTCTGGAAGATACTATGCCAAAGATACTGTGCCAAAGAGCAGCTTACCAGAAGATGCTGTGCTGAAAAGAGTAGTTTATGTTCTAGAAGATACTGTACCAAAGAGTAGCTTATGCTCTGGAAGATACTATGCCAAAGACTAGTATATGCTCTGGAAGATACTGTGCCAAAGACTAGTAAATGCTCTGGAAGATACTGTGCCAAAGAGCAGCTTACTAGAAGATACTGTGCTGAAAAGAGTAGCTTATGCTCTAGAAGATACTGTACCAAAAGAATTTTGTGCTCTAGAAGCACTGGACTTTCTTTTGCTCTTATAGCTCCTATATTTGAAAGCAGAATATTTTATTGGTTTTATCGACAATAACAATATTTAATGAAATTATTACTGACATACCATCTAGATGTTTTATAATTGGGTTAATATGATCAGGAGACAACACGGTAGATTCAGGTCTACGTATGACTGGTCCATGAGTTACAGGCATCCTGACAGGCACGGTTCCAATTAAAATAAACATATTACAACCAATACTACCAATCAAACCTGAATCAGCTTTTAACTAAAATATAATAAGTGAATTTATTGTATTTGATGTTGGTGTCATGGACGTTTTGTTCAGGGATTGAGCGAATATCTTGAAAATTGTCATTGCTACTGCTGTTACGATAGTAAACAAAGTCTTGATTATCAATTTTTTATTCAAATCATTAAATGCCAATTGTTTTTAAATCAGCTGAAAATTTCGAGCACCCAATGACGTGGAGAGTTGATTATGGTCTTATGTTAATAAATGTCTAATTCATAATTTAGATAACATCTAAGGCCTAAAGAAAGACCTGCAATAGGCATATTTAGCTCTTACATAATGCATCGTTAAGCTATGTTTCAATTGTTCTCAGCAGATGCACTGGTTTACATTCCTCCACAACCCTATCCCCTAACCATTAAATTCCCCCCCCCCCCCAAAAAAAAAAAAAAAATATAGACTACACAATAAAATCCCTTCAGCCTTGCAATAGTTGTGGCCATGAAAAATTGTTTTTATATTTTGCAAAATATCTATTTTGATCCAACAAGTACTGTCACCCAACTATTGCATTTCCCCTGGAGACCGATAGATGAGCTTATATTGCACGATGAGAATGATTGGCATAACATTCAGTATAATCAAGTGGATAAATAACTCACACTTACTGTACTTACACTAAGTTCATATTCTGTAGTTATAATGCTACAACCTTCTAGTCTTGAAGGTGGCATGGCCGGTAATCCAACAGAGCGTTTCAAAGATGTGTATTTATGGCTTTCTATTCCTTCACCACTTTCAAACAACCCTAAAGGTATGGTTTTCGTGTGATATTTGGGTGAGCCGGAAGAAAACAAGGAATCTGAATAACCTTGGTAAGTAACGTTCTGAAAACAATACACTAAAATTAACTTTTTATCAGGCCTTGTTTCAGTTATTACTTGCCGGTCAACTGACTGGTCAATGATACCAGACCCTGAGTTCACAAAGCATTCTCAACTTCCTATCACTGTTTTGGAGAAGTATATTTGATCCAGAAACACCAAACTTTGCCCACAGTTTCTTATTGATGTATTTGATACATTAATACAACAGAAATTTCGTAAATGAAATATTTTAGTTAAGATAAGGCAAACAATTTTGAGTAAATTCTGAACTTAAATCTGTGAATGCTTTACGAACTCGGTGCCTGGATTACTATGCTAAATAAAACCCTTGCTTCCTGAAGAGATACTAGTCGCAGGTACAATTAAAACCATTATTTCCAGGTCTGCAAATAGGTCCTGCTTCATACTGTGATTCTTACTAAGATCTGAATTACTAAAATACTAGTCTTATCTAATGCAGGGGAGTAACATGAGAGCTATTTAAGATCTGTCCACCAATTTTTCCGAACACTATACTTTACCTGTAACGCTGTTGCCGTATGGAACAACTTACCAGAGAATATTAAATCAGCTAAAACTGTACAGAACTTCAAAACTTTGATTAAAATACGCTTTTTCAAGAATAGTTTCCTGTGTTAGAATAGTTCTACCTCAGACACGAAGCAGACTTTAATTGAAAATGTTGCTCTATATAAATGCAAGAATTTTTATTATCTCTAACCCAGATGCATGTAAAATACACCCACCAGAAATCTGAGTGGTGATCAATTTCTGAACATTAGTGACAATGTTTGTTGCAAGATATGCTATAGCTTATAGCATAATGGAATTGATGACTATTTGATCACACCTGGTGTTGGACATTGTTGCATAACATAGACTATTCAGTCCACACCTGCTGTCAAGTTGTAAGATTAACATATCCGGCACATAAACAGAGAGAGAGAGAAATGGGCTTTAATGTCCATTCGACACAAACTAGGTCATTTCGTGACTAACATATGGTTCAATTTTATTTCAACAATTCGCTTGCGCGTAGGTGTCTTTAGCCGTGGAAGGAAACTGGAGGACGCCGGGAAAATCCACGAGGATGGACATGCGAAACTACTCGTCACGTATCGAATCGAAACCACGCCAGTTGACTCAACGACAGACCTTATGATACAAGCGCATGCGCTAACCATTCGGCGATCCAACCCCCCCTCTGGCACATAAAAGTATTATAACCTACCTGAAGTAAATCAAGAGAGATTCGTCCAATATCAACGTTAGAGTTATTATGACAGTCAATCGTGAAGTTAATTGTTTCACCAGGCACAAAACCACTTTTTTCTAGCTTTAACTGTAGAAAAACGGTACCTTCGTCACAACAGCAGGATTCTACAGATTCTTCTTTCTGTATAATGGATGGTTCCTGTAAATAATACCAGCTCTGACTTATACTTGAATTGATGCGGTACAATGTGGTAAAAGCATAAATGACATATATTTTAACCAAAAATTTCATATCATCATTAGCTTGGTTGGTGTAGAAAAGTAGAATGACATTTCACCAAAGATTTCACAATAAAAAGCTGGGAACATCTAGTGGATAGTAAAAACTTACCCTAGCAGAAGGAAATTGATTAGTAAAAACTTATCCTAGCAGAGGGAATGTCTAGTGGTTTGTAAAAACTAGCAGAAGGAATGTCTAGTGGTTTGTAAAAACTTAGCCTAGCAGAAGGAATGTCTAGTGGTTTGTAAAAACTTAGCCTAGCGGAAGGAATTTCTAGTGGTTTGTAAAAACTTACCCTAAAAGAAGGAATGTCTAGTGGTTAGTAAATACTTACCCTAGGGGAGGGAATGTCTAGTGGTTTGTAAAAACTTACCCTAGCGAAAGGAATGTCGAGTGGTTTGTAAACACTTACCCTAGCAGAAGGAATGTGGTTTAAATCTAAATGATGAATGATAGTAAACACATGCTCTGCTTCTTCTGACTTCCAATTTCTATCAATGTATGCTTTACACAGGTAGCGTATGTAGCCCTTACGTCCTTCAAATGAAGAGGGAATTGACTTGGGTAAATTTATTATAAATGGATAAACATAGGAACCTGCTGGAAATTCAGCTACACCACTGCCTATAAAATATACAGAGAACTTAAATCTAAACGCTTAAACCATAGTGTTACCCGGCAACAAATATACTTCCATCTAGGGCTGGATGATATTTGTAATTTTTATTACTGAGATATCAATATAAAAATCCACAATATATATTGCCATTGATGCAATATCATATGGCTTCAAGACAAAAGGCTCGAAAAGAGGCGGCAAACATATGTTTCAATAAAATATAATATTACTTCACAGAATATTTAAGAGAGTTAAACGATAAATTGGATTATTGTGGTATAAAAAAAAAATTGTCAATAACATTTACATATTCTGATATATTGATTCATAAAAGTTATTGTCCAGCTCTAGTTAAATACAAAACTAATGCCTTAATACAGCTCTGTAGAGTATTGATTTATGAAGTATGAATTCTTTTGTATGACCAATCTGATTTATACTTTGTTTCAATAAAATACAATAATCTTTGAGAGAATATTGCTGGAGGAATGGCTTTAATCTAGAGTCAAATGATATATTGTATTATTGCGGTATTTTTAACGGTAAAAAAAATATTGTCAATCAAATTTACATATTGTGATATATTGATTTATAAAATTATTGTCCATTTCTACTTCCATCAGAAGCAGTTTCAGGGTCAGAGGCAAAAAAAATATGCATGATATCGGTGAATTGTGGACAGACGGACAACAGAGAGAGTGAGAGAGAGAGAAATGGGGTTCAATTTTATTTCAATAATTCGCTTGCACGTAGGGGTCTTTAGCAGTGAGAGGAAACCGGTGGACCCAGAGAAAACCCACGAGGTTGGACAGGCACAATCGGGGAATCAAAACCACACCAGCTGATTCAATGACAGACCTTATGATAAAGGGCGCACATGCTAAACATTCGGCCATCCAACCACCCCGGACAACAGAGATAACAATAAACATGGAATGAGAGCATATAACAATTATGTCTTCGTAGGGAGCCACAGTGAGTGATCTGATGACAGATTGTTACAGATGATAATTACTATAAATGAGTGATAAATTGTCTTTTTAGATACAGACAGTAGCTCAGCTTAAAGAGGGTAAGGGGGTGGTCCACGCTGGGGCCTATCACTGATAATGTCAGGCTTTGTCAGACACAATATGATATTTTTAATACATGTCTGACATAATGTTCAAAATGTCCGATTCAATTTGAGTAGTTTCTGACACTATAATCAAAATGTCTGACAATTTGACTGGTGCCACTAAAATCATTATTTCCAAACTTGACTGGGTGGCACTTTTTTGTGGCAGCACCTTTTACTATACTGCAAAAAAAAATTGTTTTTCTATTAAGACAGTAGAAGGATACAAGATGCCTGACTATTTTATTTTGCCATAAAAACACAGGTGGCACAGATTCTAGCAATGCTGCTAGATATGTATAGATGTAAATAAATATTTTTTTCACTGTACCATTATCATATAATATTTTAATTTCATTTATATAATTTTCTGTAGCTTTATAATGTTTACTGCTGTCATCTTTATTGACGTCCCAGTGTGACTTGGCTTTGCCTTCACAATGCAGATAAATACCTAAAACATTAAAACAGACATCGCCATTAATTAGTAAATTGCAATTACTTTCATTTTGTTTCCTTCTGACAGTGACTCTTCATTGTAAATGGTAAACCATTATCTTGACTTCAAGCTTATTTGAACCCATGGCGCTAGCTCTCTTACCAAGAGCTCCTGGGTTTGACCGCAATGTAGGTTGCTCCTGTTTCGAGAAAAATCACCTTTTCAAGTCTATTATTATCTTATCTTCAAGCTTATATGGAATCATGACAATGGCTCACTAACCCAGTGTGTTTTGGTATCCTCTTGTCAGATATGCAAGAAGGAGAACCTGGCAAGGAACAGCTTCTAGTTGTTCGTAAGGGACAAAAAAAACCACAAAACTGCTCATGTCCATGTAAAATATCCATCATAGCACTATATGAAATCAATCTCATTTCATTGTATGTCAGGCTGACTTATTAGCAATTATCTGATTGACAGCAGTGTGTTATTTCTACACAACCAATGTACTCAGCTGGCAATAGTCATTTTAAAGAAGAACAAAACATGGTAGCTTCCATTAATTTAAATACTTACGTTTAACATCTAATGGTTTGTTCAGTTTAACAATAACTTGACCTATTAATTTCTCACCAGCATCATAAACACCATTGCACCGTTCTAATGAAATATAAAACTGTGCTATCTTCATTCTTTATACCTACAAAAATATTTTAAAAAAAACATAAAAAGGGAGATAATTCCATGATTTGCCATCAAAATTTTCTGAATTTTCGAGTCCTGCATTATTTTCTGATTACATTATTATTTAAAACCATTACAAAGAGAGAGAGAGAGAGCGAGAGAGAGAGAGAGAGAGAGAGAGGGGGTGTTTAATGTCCACTTGACACAAACTAGGTCCCTTTGAGACTAACATGGTTCAATTTTATTTCAATTATTCACTTGTGCATAGGGGTCTTTAGCAGTGGTAGGAAATCGGAGGACCCGCAGGAAATCCACTAGTTTGGACAGGTGACCCTACTCCTTGTCATGTACAAGCTGGGAATTGAAAACCATGCTACTTGACTCAATCGCAGACTTTATGATCTAAAGCTCGCGCAATCAATAACAGCTGACTAAAATTTCCAAAGTCCCTATAGGAAGTCCATATGTAAAAAGCTGATCCACTAACCACTGTTTAAAATGACATGAAATGCGGTTCAACGTTCTACTTTTCTGAATGAACCGGGCTGATAAAGGCAGACATCATCATATTGTGATAGAAATTTTGCCCAGGCAGCAGCGCTACAGCCTACTCTTAAATTCAAATTGTCAAGAATTCTTTTATATGTACACCAACATGTACGCAGGACCTTGTTTTTTCATCCGATCCGAACAACTAGACCATGTTCCTTCCAAGGCCCTCCGATCTGCACCTACACCAAGGGAAAACCACGTAAACTGATGCATGATTTCTACATGTGATGTTTTTATGTATACTACTGTAAATGTTGGTTTTTAGTCCAACAATTTCATATTTTTAAGATATATTTTTAAAATTTATTAAAATAGAGCCTTAAAATAGATGGTATCCATAAACCGTCCTACCTTGTTAAAGAATAATCCTATTAATCCTATAATTCACTATTGCCAGCTGAGAAATTGGCAAAAATATCATTTTCAACTTCAAATTCCAACGTTTGAAGGTAGCTAATGCATGGAGGCGATAGGAAAACAAGGGAGGTAATTGTGTTATTATTTCCTGTGTCAATGATTTTTAAGGGTGGGAAATAATGCCCATGGTCGTATAATAGTGAGTTGATAACCTATTGAGCAAAAGACATAGAAATAATTATGTTTTGACTTTCTTAGAAAATATGAAATTCTCGCTTTAATAAAGTTAACTTATTTAGAACTAAGAACTTTCAAATAAAGAAATTTAACTAAATTCATTAAGGTGAAGAGCGGTAGTATTTATGTACATGTATTTGTTTAGATCTGAATAAATCCTGCCACCATTCCAATCACACACACTGTCTTTTCATCACCATAATACTTCAATCAAGTTATTTGGATTTGGAATCAGACACTGGCTCGCTAGCCTGGAGGTCGCGTGTTCGATCCCTGCATTGGCCGAGAAAGTTCATCAGGATTTTGGCATTCACGTAAATGATCCCTTGGCAGATATAAGAGTAGGCCATAGTACCGCTGCCCGGCCAAAATTTCCCTCATAACACACTGTATGGCGTATGGCCATCTTCATTAGCCCAGTCAGAGCAGAACATTTAAATTAATTTTATTTGAATTTGGAATGAAATGTTGAAATAAATAGAAAGCTAATTCATCATATTTCCATGTAAATATCTATACTTTAAGTATTTAAATAAATACTATTTTTGTACTGTATCATGCTGTCCTCAATGGATATTTTGGTACAATAAATTTTATATTATCTTACCAACAGTAATGACAAATGATAGAAAAAAATGATGAACCTTACCATACAAAATGCTGTGGATGTTCCTTATTAAACAGATTTCACAATTTTTAAGTGGCTAAAGTAATATACAACTGTACACACCCATAACTAAACTTGCATTTAAAAACATTTACAACATGATGGGGTTGTTTTTGTCAATCTCTGGCTTTTAAAATCCCCTGAAAAAAACACAATTTCTCACCTTCCCAGGTTTTGAGTATCTAAGTTCATCATTTACAAGAGTTTCATATGTAAAGAATCCTGACATTCAACATAAATTTATTTCACAACATCACTAAAACCGTATTTATTCCTGGAAATGATTTTGACTCCTGAGTAGATGTTGATGATTTAATATGGCCTTCACCTTACCAGGAACCTTGAAGACCTTAGGGGTAGATAACTCCTCCCAAACCGCAGATTATCCCCCCTTTTAATGCAAACATCTCAATATTTTGATCCACAAAACACAAAAAACAATACAAACTGTTAATGAATAAAATAGATTTTTATTCTGAAAATATATAACATGTCTCTAATAGTTCTGATTTATAAACATAATAGATAAAAAAAAAAAAAATTACATACATATATATTCAAATAATAATAATTGCATAGAAATGAATACAATTCTGGCAGATAAAATATTCAACTAATAGAAATATAACATATCAATAAAAGGAACTTAATAAAACAAAAACACATTTGTTTATAAAAAGTACAAAATATATTTTAACTAATAAAATATGACAATATAAATGATTGTTAGGCCAAACATGAACAATATTCTGGTTCTCAGACAATCCTTACTAAGCATCTGATGCGGGAGTCAGAGATTTTTATTTTTGTGTTTTAATTTTGTCAAAGGAGAGAGAGAGAAATGAGGTTTAATGTCCACTCAACACAAACTAGGTCATTTCGGGACTAACACACGGTCCAATTTAATTTCAATAATTTGCTGGCGCGTAGGGTCTTTAGCAGTGGGAGGAAACCGGAGGACCCTGGAAAAAAACCTACGAGGTTGGACAGGCGAACCTACTCCTTGTAATGTACAACAGGGGAATCAAAACCCCTGAATCGATACAGCGCGCACATGCTAACCATTCAGCCATCCAACCCCCCTTTTGTCAAAGGATCACTGATGATTCGACTATTTGACTGAATGATTTATAATATATGTCAAATCTCAAGTCACCACATTTATCTCATAATGTTCTTTATTGGAATGTATGATTATCCAGTATCATGTTTAAAGGAATGTATGATTATCCAGTATCATTTATGATTATTATTAACAGTTATCAGGACTGTGTACTTGATAAATGAGTCTACGGATTCATTTTAATTTTTTTATAGATTTACTTCTCTGATGAGGTAAAATATTTATGTGCAGTAATTTATGAGACAGTTTTTATTCTTTGAAAAACAAAACCCACGTCATGGGGCCCTTTTTTTTAAGTGACACAGGATTATCAAAGCACCAGAATTTTTTTAAAAAAGGCCTTGGAATATTTAAGGTGTATTCACAACTGAAATTAAGCATCTCCCTGAAATAGATCATCTACTTTGGTTATCATCCAGCATGTAAATCATAAATATATAAAGACATAAAAACATAAAATAAGGTTGTACTATTGGTATGCAAAATAATATTTGATTAGAATATACGAGCTAGAAATACAAAATATAAAACTTTGAATAAACTGGCACATTATTGGGACCATTTATTTTGTGTGCAATTGCTAAATGCCACGCAAGAATTATGATCTATGGTTTGAAAATGCAATGGACAGTAAGTAAATAAAGAAATTAAAGGGATATTCCGATATATGTTTGAAATGCAATGGACAAAAACATCTTGACTGACTGTAAAGGTGTATTGCAGCTGTGTAAAATGCATGCAATTTATGATGAAGACAAACACTAATATTGGAGAACTTTCAATATCCAATTAACAGCACATCAAAATAATGGCACATGTAATATTTTTCTTATCCTCTTTCTGACAGAAATCCATTCTTTGTCTTACAACTGATTTTTCAAGCAAGGGTACAGATAATCAAGGTAAATTTCCGATTTAGGATCAAAAGAATAAAAAGTTGATCTTTGGAAGCATAGAAATATATTAGAAAGTAAATCCTCTGCTCATGTAGGGAAAGTTTACACTAACTCTTTTGCCTATAAATATGTTAAACCTCTACAATAATACGTATTATTATTTTCATTGTATGGCCCAAATCTAATAGAGAAATATCTCAATATCATTCAAATGGGTGATGTCCTTTTAGAATTTTATTTTTATAATTTGCATTACAATGAAGTACAAACGGTTAAAGATACATTCTGTAAGATTTAGATAAAGAGCTGACCATTCTTGCTATAATAGCTCAAAAATAGATAATGTTCAATGAAAATATTGAAAATTTCATTCAAATTACATCATTCTGAGCCAAGTTATCACTGTTTGTAGTTTTGACAAGATGTGTGCATAGTGGTAACCAGGGCACTGGTATATTCAAGATTTGGCCTCGCTTTCCCATTTTTAAATTAAATTTTTTAAATGGCGAACCGTTCTAATCTAGTTAAAATCTCAGGTATCCGATGCCACCGAGAGTTGATTATGGTCTGGATAAGTTAATAAATGTCTAATTAATAATTTAGATAACATTTCAGGCCTAAAGAAAGACCTGCAATTAGCAGATTTAGCTCTTGCATAATGTATATTTAAATCATACAAGTGAATAAGCTAGTCTATCTACCATTTAAAAATATATTAAAATATAAACTTCTTTTCATGGTTTAATTCAATGCCCCTTATATACAAGTACAACAATTAACAATGACAGCAGTAAATGATTCATAAATAAATAATTTTGTCAACAGTAATAATAACAGCAGCTTGATTAGATGAAATCTAATCAAACATCTAGCAACCGCGAAAAAATATATCACATATCTGTCGGTCATAGATCAATTTATGAGATCTTTGCAGCTAATTATGAAGGAAATATCACCTAGAAATAAAGCACATGGCCCTCAGTTCACAAAGCATTCTCAGACTTAAGTTAAGAATTTACCCAACTTTCAATCACTGTTTATGAGAAATATCTTTAATCCAGAAATACAAAACTTTGCACATAGTTTCTTATTGATGTATTTGATACATTAAAACAACAACAGTTTTATAAAGGGCTATATTTTAGTTAAAATAACAATTTTGAGTTAATTATCTAAGTCTGAGAATGCTTTGAGAACTTGGAACAAGTCACGGACATTATCAGGCACAGATCGTGATCAAGACCTTGTCAAGCCTGTTATTCTGACTGGCACTGATTTGTGTTTTTTCTGTGTTTTTATTGACATTTGTTTTTACATGTTCAGCACAAAGTTGAATATGCCAGGTACAAGTTCATTAGTGCCTGACATTTTGTCAAACACCTAATCATTTCCAGAGGTGCATTGCAATATTAAATTTAATAAGATATTTTCAATCAGATTCCAAATTATAATTAGCAAGATTGTTGAGTTTTAGTGATCTTCCATATATAAAACAGTGGAATGTTATAACTTAACTTCAAATTATAAACTACATATTGTTAAAAAACAATAAAATTTAAGCATCACGAAATTAAGGCAACTTGAAATGTATCAACACACATTCGTATTTAAATTGATAAAAACACTGTACTGTATGTTTCAATCTTAACAACCGAAGTAAAGTTGTGTTGAAACTGATAAAAATGTTGAATCTTCATCTTAACAATAGACAATTACGTAAACTAATGACATTTTGATTTCTTAAAAGACTCCAAGCAATATTTTTTAGTACATATTAGCATGGATTAACCCATAGCAACTTGTATTTTTTCTGAAAAAAGCAAATACTTTAATTAAATGTTAAAAAATCAATTTTTCCATGGATTAACCCGGGAAACATAGATATTGTACCTCAAATTTAAACGACAATCTCTGGCCTTAATATGTTGCTTGCATCACTGCATATCGATTAAATATAATTACTCTGAATAAACCAAGACTTTAGCAATGTAACTTTCCCTAATTAGAAACAATTTCTTCGTTTTCTAGATCCTCGTCATCTTCTAAGTCTATAGTAGAAGATAATTTATTTTCTCTCAAGTGAAGTCGTCTGGAACTGGTAGAATCTTTTAATGCTAACATTATAATTCTTTTCTGAAAAAGAAAAAACAGAAACTAAGTTAAACTATAGAGCATCAGCTGCATGTTGACAACAACCTTGGGTATGAGAAAGAAGTACAAAACGATACTTTAAATAGTCTTTTAGGAAACTATTAAAAATGTCAGTAATCAAAGCAGGATTATTAAAGCTGGTAAATCGAAAATCTTTTAATGCTAACATTATAATTCTTTTCTGAAAATGATAAAACAGAAACTAAGTTAAACTATAGAGCATCAGCTGCATGTTGACAACAACCTTGGGTATGAGAAAGAAGTACAAAACGATACTTTAAATAGTCTTTAAGGAAACTATTAAAAATGTCAGTAATCAAAGCAGGATTATTAAAGCTGATTAATCGAAAATCACAACGTAATTGTAGTATCTGAAAAGAATTTGTAAGGTTTTGTGATTTTTGAAACAAAATGTGAGTGTCCAATCATTGACAATTGTGTCAACGTATGTTCAATCCAATTTTTAACAATCGAAAATGTTTCCTTTAAAACTGTAATAACAAGTGCAGGAGGACTGCGCTACTCGCAAAACAAAACCGAAAAGACAAACCTGAGGACAAGACAAACTACATAGACATTGCAAAAAATATATAACAAATATCAAATCAGGTGAATGGATAACGGGACCAGTTGTAAGCGTCCACTGCTCTGTACAAGATATACCATAATATAAAACTGATACTAACCTCTTCGTCATACTGGAATATTCGACCATCAACTTTAGGAGATAAAAGACGAAGTTCAGCCTCGGCTTCGTGTATACTCTTCTGACGTGTCAGTGGATTGCGTGTATTATCAATACTAGATTGTCTATGTACAATTTCATTCTTTCTAAAATATAGTATAATATTTATGCTGACATTTGTGTTCCATACATGGCATTACGGGTTTGATTCCCGACAGGAGAGTAATGGGAATCAATATTACTCGGATTTACTCGGTAGAGGAGTTTGTAGATTTTTATTCTAATGATTCGTAAGTGCACCAAGGTCTTTAATACTGAGAGAAACCTAGAGCAAACCGATAATTTAGGTCAAGCATTAAACACATTGTCTGGCAAACACCCAAACAGATAATTAAAGGAGTGTCAGAAATAGGGTGTAACATGAACTCGACACAAACTAGGTTATTTCGGGACTAACATGTGGACAATTTTTATTTCAATAGTTCGCTTGTGCATAGAGGTCTTTAACTGTGGGAGGAAACTGGAGGACCCAGAGAAAACCCAACAGATTGGGAAAGGGAATCTCTGACAATGACAAGACCTCTAGACCACCCAGCCCCCACCAAATTAAATACTAAATATAAACTACCTACTTGACAAGACAGAGTAGACTTTGTTTGTGTCCTGATACACATTCTTTATCACCATGTAATATATCTACAGATTCAAAATGATTCTGTACACTAGTTGATATAGTAGGACATGCCTCGGCTGATACCTAATAAATACAGTTAACATTCACATAATATATCATTTAAATAATAATATTGTACTTTAGCATCAACACTCATCTGTCTGAAAAGCAGAATCTTTATGCCATCATATTTTATAAATATTTTGACAAACAACCCTGTATTTTATTTGACGACGGTTCAAGCTATTTTTGATTCTGTCAATGATTTCACTTTAGACAAACAAATTGTAATTAATGGACCTAATTATTAGTCACATTCTTAAATCGTATAACGAGATTCAAGTTAGGATTTTATGGAGAGAACCCAGGGAAAAAACTGTGTTAGGCAGCAGTCACTAATGTGTGTCATGTAAAATCGTGGAAACAAACTCCTGGTCATAGGCGGGACAGAATCAGAATCTATGCTGTAACAGATGTAGCACTTTACAAGACTCTGCCACATTCAAAATTCAAAATCTATAATGAAACAATTTTATTTACCAGTATCTCCGAATCTTTCAGACTATCATAGCCATCTTTACCATTAGCAATATATTCTTTAGTACATAGACGATAATTCTAAAAGAAGACATTGATAATAATTTATCATCAAGAGGAAATTTACTAAAATTGACATCTAACAGCATGTACACCTTTAGCTCACTGTAAACATTGATATTCAAGATAGTCACAAAAAAATAATAAATAAGCAGTACACAAGCTTGATATTATGATATATATATCATATATGGATGCAATTTCATTTCAATTATAGGTCGGGGATCACGTGGCTAAGTGGGTAAGACGCAGGCTCGCTAGCCTGAAGGTTCGGGTGTTCGATCCCTGCATTGGCCAAGAAAGTTCATCCAGATTTTCCGGCGTGGTTTCCCCTTGTCAGTGATGCAGGATGGAGGACCTGACAAGGATAGCTGTCTAGTCGTTCGGATAGGACGAAAAACCTGAGGTCCCGTGTACATATTGGCGTGCACACAAAAGATCCCTTGGCAGTTAGAATTCGATATAAGAGTAGGCCATAGTGCCGCTGTCCAGGCAAAATTTCCCTCATAGCACACTGTATGGCGTATGCCCGTCTTCATTGGCCCAGGTAGGAGGCGAACAGTAGGACGTTAAACCCCATTTCATTTCATTTCAATTATAGTTCATTATTAGCTAACTGTCTTACTGTGTTTCATAAAAATTGAAAGCTTAACATCTGAGATAAAAACAGTCTGTAGAGACTATTACATTTGAATTAATTATCTGAGAGAGAGAGAGAGAAATGGGGTTTAACGTCCACTCGACACAAACTAGGTCATTTCGGGACTAACATATGGTTCAATTTTATTTCCATAATTCGCTTGTGCTAACCACTAAGCCATCCAACCCCCCGAATTAATTATCTATTTACATGTTAAAATGAAATGAAATAAGGTTTATCGTCCTACTGTTCTGCTCCTACTGGGCTAATGAAAATGGGCATACGCCGTACAGTGAGCTATGAGGGAAATTTTGCCCGGGTAGTGGCTCTCTGTCCTACTCTTACATCGAATTCCATCTGCCAAGGGATCTTTTACATGCATGCCAATGTATACACAGGTCCTCGTTTTTTCGTCCCATCTGAATGACTAGACAGCTGTCCTTGTCGGGCCCTCCGTTCTTCACCACTGACAAGGGATCTTTTAAGTGCACGCCAATATATACACGGGCCCTTGGTTTTTTGTCCCATTAGAACGACTAGACAGCTGTCCTTGTCAGGCCCTCCGTTCTGCACCACTGACAAGGAGAAACCACGCTGGAAAATCCTGATGAACATTCTCGGCCTATGCAGGGATCTAAAACGTGACCTCCAAGCTAGGTAGTCCGCATCTTACTCACTTAGCCACTGTGGCTCCCTATTTACATGTTAAAGTGCGTACTATTAGGACTTATTATTCAGAAATAGAAACCCGATATTAATGCAGGTCATTTCGGGACTAACATATAGTTCAATTTAATTTCACTAATTTGCTTGCGCATAGGGGTCTTTAGCAGTGGGAGGAAACCTATCTTTGATAGTTGGTTGGATAAGGCATGACGGTGTCCAAGATTAATAAAATTTACCTTTTGTAAGTCAAGGTAGTCTCCCTGTATTTTTACTAATCCAGGATCAACACGATGTCCTCTGGGCTTACTGGGATCGAAACCAAACTGGATTCCAGCCACTTGTGGAAATCTTCCTTCTAGTTTAGGATACTGAGATACACCATTTTCTAGCGCTTGAACAATCTGTTTACCTGAAATAAACATCAATAATTGAATGGAACATATAGTAACCACAGATGGTCTTACTCAGTTCAAAAGCAGTGCTTGGATGATTTTGTCATCTATGATATATTATAGTATATTATTTACCAAGTCTCTTTTGTTAACATGATTTGTATTGCGCAATTAGTGTTAAACTAATGATAAGTTAAGCTGAAAATGAAATGATTTTTTTAAAAGTGTGTTGATGTTGTGTTTTGACAATAAAGCTTTAAATCCATCATTCATTTTCTTTTCCATTCGTTCCTAGTCAGGATCATCAAGGTTTCATACCATCAGGATGTTAAAATTATTTGTCTATATTATATATAAAGATGTCCAGAAGACAGATAGAGAGAGAGAGAAATGGGGTTTAACATCCACTCGACACAAACTAGGTCATTTCGGGACTAACACATGATTCAATTTTATTTCTGTAATTCGCTTGCGCGTAGGGGTCTATAGCAGTGGGAGGAAACCGGAGAAAACCCACGAGGTTGGACAGGCGACCCTACTCCTTGTCACGTACAACCGGGGATTCAAAACCACGCTAGTTGACTCAATGACAGACCTTATGATACAGCACGCACGTGCTAACCATTCGGCCATCCAACCCCCACCCAGAAGACTGAACCAAGAGTAATTTTTGGATAGTATGCATACAGTTATGGGGTTTAATGTCTTATCATTCTGCAAATGAAGACAAACATGTAAAGTGCTATTGAGTCAAATTTTTCCCAGACATCTCAGCTCAGCCAATACTAATTTTGATTTCGAACTGTCTTCATGTGCTACCATATAATAATGCATCAAGTAATTGTAATTGTTTCTTACCTGTAACTTTAATGACAACTAGATGATCGACCAGGGGGAGTATAGTCAACAGATCACGTATCTTAAATTCTCCACGTGGATGTACTCTATCGGATCGAAATGTACCAGAATTTAGTAAGGCCACATCAGCATTAGTTGCAGTTAAAATCACATCCGTTATAAAATTTCCTGTAATAATTTGTTAATATATAAATACAAAAAATATATTTCATACACTCTTATTATTCTTATAAACATTTAGAGTCTGAATAAATTTCATAGAAAATCTTGATTGATTGATTTAGATATCTTATTATATAAAGTTCTAAGTTAGGACTAAACTGTCTCCATAAAAAAGGTATAACATATTGAAATCAAAAACTATTTTTCTTTTTTCATGATTTCTTATCTCTTCAATAATTTGTTTATTAAAATCACTGATTGCCGAGCTAGACAGAGGGCCTGACAAGGACTGCTGTCTAGTCGTTCGGATGGTCCCGTGTACACATTGGAGTGCATGTAAAAGATCCCTTGGCAGTTAGAATTCGATATAAGAGTAGGTCGTAGAACCGCTATCTGGGCAAAATTTCCCACATAGCACACTGTATGGCATATGTCCGTTTTCATTTGCCCAGTTCAGAGCAGAATAGTAGGACGTTAAACCTATTTCATTTCATTTCATTCACATTTCGGATATTCTTTTTAGAGATTCAAATTATACAATATTGTAATTTGCAAGGAACAATTAATGCCTCAACTGACGATCAGAGACTTTAAGATATTTTTTCAACTTTCTATACCTAAATTTGTTTCTTGAGTTCGAACTTTAGAAAATCTTCCATCTAGCTCCACTAACATTTCTCCTAATTTATTATCCATTTTATCATCAACCTGGGCTGAAAAAAGACAGTTAAACAACTAGAGAATTATAACCAAGCATTTCAATACAGTGTCTGTAGAATATATTTTCATGATTATAGTCATTTTATTTCATACTAAATTATTATTATTAATTTTATTATGTTCTTAATCAATGTCAACCATCATCCAGAAATGGCTAAATTCAGACATTACATTAATCTCCTACACTTGTTTCAACATAATGTTTTTAGTCAAAGGACTTTTTCTTACTCAACTCAACCCCAGATATTGTTGTGCTTAGATCCAGACTCAAAACTTTCATGAGTAAGAATAAAGCATTCACATTGTGACAGTTCTGATAGTTTTTAGACTTGCTTTGATCACGCTCATACATAGATATTGCACAATATAAATAGACTAATATTATTATTTATTGTATTAATCTTTAATTACCTTTTATCTTTTATAAATCTAAGTAAAGCCCCTTATTATAGTCTTATATATAGTCTTTATAAATTAAAGATGCATTATGTAAGAATAAGATCAAGAGCTGGTCGTTATTGCTATAATAGTTCAAAAATAGATAATGAAAAATATATCAAAATTAAAAATTTCAGTCAGACTATTTTGACAAAATGTTATGAGTGTTTGAAATTTTGACAAAATGTGTGCTACACTGTTTATTTTATCATGAAGCTCTTAATGGCCACAGTGTTCCAATCTACCTTAAAATACGAGCCACCCGATGGCTCAGAAAGTTGATTATGGGCTTATCATGTTAATAAATCATAAATGTTTAAAACATTTTTATAGCATTTGAAGCCATAGGCAGATTTAGCTCTTACATAATGCATCTTTAGACTTTGTCTAACTAACTGAATTAGTGTTTGAACAACCAAATGAAATAATACAGACAACTTTATAGATATCATTCAGTAAGTTTATTAACTGCTGCGTTTCATTGAGGGTATTCTTATCGTTATCAAGTACTGATATCAATTTGTATAATGATTGAAAATCTTAGTCAATATGTACATCGCCTGTGTGAATAAATCAGTTTACATACTGACTTAGAATTTCAGTTATTAAATAAATTGAATGATTTTAAGACATTAACTGAAACATAAAATTTATATGAAACCAAATTTCATCAATACTGGATGAAAAGATGACAAATGTGGATTCTAAGGATTCCTAATTAGCACATTAATCATAAAATAAATAATTAAAGATGCCTTCCTGCGTAAAAAATTTGATGATATATTTGGACTAAAAACATATTTAAATTAATTAATCTATCATAAGTTTGCTTCACTTCAAATCTCTCTCAAAACATTTTAATCAAACGAAAACTATAACACGCTTCAACTATAATCTATCTTAATCAGCCTTATTTGTCAAGTGAATTGATTGAGGCCTGAGGGAGAATCCATTTCCAGCTTGTATTTGTTGTTAGTCGCTGACTCGCTGTCATAAATATCAAAGCCTAAGTAAATTCTTGGATTATCCTCTGTCAACTTCTTTTACCGCCGTGTGATCGCAGAGTCTACTGGACATTTACGGGATAGTCTCTTAATGTTCTCACAATGATTACATCAACACATAAGAACTTGAGCAGACAAGCTGCCTGTCAGTTACATTCTTACATTTTAGTCATGTAGGCACCCCATTGGGTGTTTTTCAGAGAATCCAGTATATTTCTATGAAGAGTGAGTGTCTCTTCTTTCCATAAATATCAAAATTGTCATACTTTTATAGGAAATAACTACCCTATGATTACTTTCATGGGAATGTATCTTTAAATACCTTCTGCCTATCATGCGTTCTATTTAATAACATCCCTATAATAAACTATGAATTGTCTGCGATATCACTTTGGTGGAAGTGGACGTTAAATAAAGCTATTTCACACACACAAACTATGGACAACCTCAACAAACAAAAATAAAAGATGCCAGAGCAATTAATACAAATATTAAAGATACATTATGGGAGATTAGATACCGAGTTGGCAGTTCTCACTATAATAGTTAAAAACTAGATAATGTAAGGGCAATTTGCTGAAAATTTCATTGAAATTGATCCACTATGAACCGAGAATTAAGCGATTGAAATTTCCGCCTAGCCTCGATCATCATTACTAAATTCAGTACAATAAACGGCATAGTCTCTCGATTATCCATTTAATCATTAAATCGTGAAGGAGTAAATCGGCTCATAATCCACTAAAGGTCGCAGTCTAGCGATGCCATCGAGAGTTGATTATGGTCTGGATAGGTTAATTAATGTTTAATTAATAGTTTATATAACATTTCAGGCCTAAAGAAAGACCTGCAATAGGCAGATTTAGCTCTTGCATAATGCATGTTTAACTCTGCGACATGTATACCATATTCTTACCTAACTTTGCTATCACCATATCTTTTATAATATCATCTTCTGGTATAGAAGAATCCAGATCAACTCTTTTAATATCAATATTCCAGTTTCCATTTTCCTTTGCTAGGGAAATGTGGCTCAAATTTCGAAAATCTGTGCCACTTTTAACCACATATTTTCCATTTATCTGCAATATATTTAATTTTTTCCATATACCAGGATATGTATGCAATTGGGGCCAAACTTAAAAGTGTAAAGGATTTATGAATACCGCAATATTTCTAATGGATGAGACAGAAACTTGAAATTTTTGTATGACACTATGAACAAAATCAACCATATGTGTTAATGTCAGTGATGCTCAGACATACATGCCAGTCGTTAGTTTTTAAAATTGACTGAAATTAAAATCGAGATGGACCCTTTTTGTCAATCTACGTGCCTTGAGTATTGTACAAGAATATTAGGAGCGATCTTTTCTGAGACAAAGATGAGATAGCTTCTTTCCAATAAAACCTTTAATCGGTAGTTTATTATAATTAATTAGGATCAGGATAATAGGGAATTTGTACTTAATATTCCAATATTCATGACAACTAAAACTAAAATAGTGAAGGAATCAGCCTTATCATTGGCTAAGAGCCAAAACTTGTATTCAGATTTTAACTTTCGACCAATGAAAATGTTGGATCTTTTAAGTCTCTGTGAATAAAACCTTGGGTGCCATTCTTGAGGCATGGGTTACATTTTCACTTCCTAGAACACCTAATAGCATTTTTCCATTAAAAAAACATAGCAAACGTTTTAGGTTGAAATTGTTTTGTAATCCAAAACTAACCTGTTGAACAATATAATCATGATCATGTCCACCCAATATTATATCGATATCATCAACTTCTTCTGCTAATCTTGTATCATTCGGCCATCTCATATGAGTTAAGGCAATCACAATATCAGCACCCTATATGTTACAATATCAAAGAATGTGTGATAAAAAATGTCAAAATAATAAAAATGAATAATAAAATTTGAATCTAAAGAATCATGGAGCAAGGAAAAAGAACGTTACAACAGGGCAATGAACATCCAACAACAAACATACAAACGATGTTCTTGTCATTTCCCACTTGGCCAAGAGTATATTTTGAGATCAAAGAATGTTTACAGGATCACTATGTTCTAAGTCACTGCAATTATTTCACAGGGAAACTGAAATTCTGTAAATCTTCTAAAAGTATCACAGAGTATCAAATAGTTGTACAGTACTAAAATACCAAACTTCAAGAGTTCTTCCCTTCATATTAACCATTAAATATACTCTTCAAAAAAAGTAGGGGATATTCAGAAACATTACAAAACTGCAGAAATGCACTTCTGTTTTCATTTAGGTAACCAGTGTATGTTAATAACAGGCCAATTGCCTATACATGAACATAAACAGTTCATATGGGCGGCTTATCTGACGGCCCCATTTCACTCGCAAAGAGATACACCCTCAAAAGTGAAAATGGATGTTTTTGATTTTTGTCTTAATAATGAGTAATTGCTCCACCAATCCTCAGACATTCAGCAATTCGTCGTGGCATGCTCCTAATCAACCGTCCAATTACGATTTGGGGCAATCTGACCCACTCCTCTTGCAGTGCCACGCCCAATTCTTGCAGTGTTGTCGGTTGACGTTGACGAACACGTCTCACGATCAAATTGAACGTAACACACTAAAGCAAAGATACGCTAAACAGTAAATCTTATGCAAGAACCGATAGGAAAGCAAACATGGTTAGATAAACCAGCATGCGGCAGTTTTCATCAACCCTTACTTGAAGTGTCAAATTTGACAATGAACCCCTCCCACGTGTATGGCGCTATTGCGTGTCGCAAGTGCAGCTCAGTGGTTCTGTTGGGGCAATAAGTTCTTCATCTGTGAACGTACTCTCAAAGCATGTCAAGTGTCCATGACTATTTATCATATCACAACCTGCATAGGTATTTGCATTTCAATATTCCCTACTTTTTTTGAAGAGTATATATCTGATTTCCCCTTTTAATAGCTGTCTGCAGGGCAGAAGTGTGTGGTGGGTGACATGGTGTTTACCTGATGTCGAAGAGCACCTGCTAATTTTCTACCAGCTTCTACATAATCAGTATATGTAACATCTTCTGGATCAATGGTAGCTAAAGTTTCTATCCATTCTTCTTCTACTAATCCAATTAAACCAATCTAGCAACCATAACAATATATCAATTTACGTAACAGATATATATATTTGTTATTATTAAAATTTCCAAGCCTGATCATGCATTTTGCAGACAATTTTTCACAGCTTAATCCATGCTTAAGTGTATTCAAATTCACTATTTAACATTTAATTAACAGAAATGATATATCACCGACTTGGATTCAATCAGATGGTAAAGAGGGCCATCAAAAGACTTTACATAACACTTATGTGGAACTGGCTTGTTTATTTCGTCTTTACTCTGCAGAGGATGCCGAATGTTGCAAATTTTCATATCTTTGAAAATGTGGAAGGTAACTGAATCATTTTCAGGCCGATATTCCTAATACAATATTGTAGTATGCAAGGGATTCAAAATCCCCTCAGTAGCTTTAAACTTACTCGTGAATGATAACTAAGGCAGATACACAAACACAAAGGCAGAGTTTAGCATGGCTTTCTAGAGCAGTCGCGACCCCGACTTTTGATTAGTAGAGTTTTAATGCAATGAGATGTTTCAAGGGACTATTTCCTTGAATATAGATTTTACGCTAAATAGATAATTTCCCAAACAATTTTTTTCGTCTTCTACCAAATTATTACATAATTTCCCTTCAGAAACATCTATGTTGAGATAATAAAAGCTTGAGCACCAAAGATCACATCAGAATATAAAGGAGCTCTTATATTTTTGTTTTGCAAGATTCAGTAAGAGGCACCGACTAAATTGTTTACTAATTTTGGTTTAACAGTTCCACTCTATTGACAGTGGAATACAAAATCAATTAGGCTACATATCAACATTGGCATTATCTATAGAAGTAAAATTCCAAGAAAATAAACTGTCAGCCCACAAAACACATCTAAGTATTGAATCCAGTGAAAGCAACAAAATCAAAGAGGTCTAGTCATTTACCTTTACACCATTATTGATGATCATATGAGTTATCTCCCCATTAGCTAGAGGTTCATTATTTAGGTTATCAGTTACGTTACTTATCAACCAGGGAAATCTTGTGTCACCTATTAAACACTTTAAATGATCCACACCAAAATCTGAAAAAGATATATGTTTGGAAAGTTTGTTTCAAAATTTAGGAAATAGAGCAGGGTTGAGTCTTGAAAACAAAAACGGATGCCATTCGATTGCTTAAAATAGGAATAGGCCTGTTGTATTGGCTGAGAAAGTTCATCAGGATTTTCCAGCGTGGTTCCCCATTGTCAGAAGTGTGGGACGGAGGGTCTGGCAAGGGACAAAGTAGATGGGACGGAAACCCACCGTCCCATGTACACATTGGCATGCACGTAAAAGAACCCTTGGCAGATGGAATTAATACAATCATAGCACACCGGATAAAAAAATACTCTTTTGATCATTATTATATAATTAATGAACAAAATTCAGAAACAAAATCAAGATACTTCTCATAAAAACAAAATCTCTAAGCATAAAAAATATGAATGAAATTAGCAAATTAAATAAATTTCTTGCACTTACTGTATATAAGAGTACAAAAATTGACTTACCGAAATCATGGTTTCCAAACACAGCACAGCCTACTCCTATACCATTCATAACTGGTATCATTTGTTCCCCTTTTAAAAATATGCTCACTGAAAAATAATTACAAAAACATTAGCTAAACAGATACATAGCCATAGTCACGATGGAACTTAATTTCCCTACCATTGTTTTTATAATCAAGTTTTACAACAATAATTGTGGCTGTTCAATATGCATCCGAAACAAGATACGCCAATGTGAAAATTCTTTCCGTACCATCAGTAATTTCAGCACATCAATTTTAAACAAGAGAGAGAGAGAAATGGGGTTTAACGTCCACTCGACACAAACTAGGTCATTTCGGGACTAACATATGGTTTAATTTTATTTACATAATTCGCTTGCGTGTAGGGGTCTTTAGCAGTGGGAGGAAACCGGAGGCCCTGGAGAAAACCCACGAGGTTGGACAGGCGACCCTACTCCTTGCCACGTACAACCGGGGATTCGAAACCACGCCAGTCGACTCAATGACAGACTTTATGATACAGGGCGCGCACGCTAACCATTCAGCCATCCAACCCCCCAATTTTAAACAAAGTCTGTAGCTGAGATGGCTTCATCTATATGTGTGCACTAATCTGTACAGGTCAATGATTTTGATACATATGTGGCAGAGGTCAATCGTAGTCAACTTTGAAAATGTGCGCAGGCGGTGGGGGGGCAGCGCTTTACTCAATGAGTCACAGCGGCTTCCTCTATCTATGAGGCTGTGTATATGATTTTTTAATACCGGTATGTTATCTAAAATCATCTTGATTTATGAATAAGGTGTTTGAACTATCCTAGGGCCTTTGCACAATATTTAAAGTTCCTAACCGAGAAAAGTTCTTTAGAACCTTAGAGTAAATTGTTCAATTTACATCATACTATGTGAGCAAGTCATTTATGCTCTCCGTGAAATGAGGCCTTTGAATCAATGTATTAAACATGCATTATGTAAGATTTAGTTTAGATAAAGAGCTGAAAGTTCTCGCTATAACAGTTGAAAACAAAAGATAATGAAAAGGGAATATGTTGAAAATTTCAGTCAAATTACATCATTCTGGGCAGAGTTATGGCCGTTTGAAGAACAATGTAGCGTTCGATTGTCATTGCTACCATTGTTACGATAATAAACAAAGTCTCAATTATCCATTTTCTAATTAAATGATTAACTGGCAACAGTGCTTATATCTGTTGAAAATCAAAACCATGAGATGATCTAGAGTTTGATTATGGGCTTGGCATGTGAATAAGTGTCTAATTAATGATTTATATTATAACAGTTGAGGACAAACGAAGGATCTGCATTAGGTTGATTTAGCTCTTACATAATGCATTTTTAATCAAATCTTTCTTTACCGTTGAGTGTGGAGTGTGGAGACTAAAATTCTGTATCAAAATTACTTAAGAAAAAAAAAAAAAAAATCAACTTACTTAATGAAGGATTCAAAACATCTCCACTGAATAAAACCACTGGCTTTTCATCTTTGCACGACTTAATATATCCAGATAGTCGAGCAGCTCCTCCTGTAGGCTCTGTTGTACATGGTTCAATGTTGTAGACATCATTGAAATGGATAATAGAAAATGTCGCCATAGGGTCTTAAATATATTCTTGTTTAGATGCAATAAAATCTATGTATCCTAAGATTCTATTGTGGTATATGGGCCATGATTGATCCTCTTTATAAATTTTGTTTCTTTTCTCCACCAATCTGAAAAAAAAAACGGTGTTAGATTTAATAGAAGTATAACCTTTTAAATATCAATTGATTTTGTTCATAAATGTACTGCTAGCACTGTATAGGGTATTTGCATTTCTTATATGACATTGCAGTTTGTTATACAACTATAACACATACCGTACTGATTATACTGCTGATCAGAACGGGCATGCATGCATCTCGAATAAGAATTTTAATCTGTAACTTGGTGTAGTATAAGTAAGGAGATATTATTATTAGTTTTGAATTTTATACTGGTATTCTATACTTCAAACTTGCCTTATTTTACACTGCAAATAATGCAAGTGAAACAGTAGAATACTGATATTAATATTAAAGATCAATGAAGACCAATGATTTGAAAACATGAAGGGTGTATGGCTCTATTTTTTGGAACCTTGAAATAGATGAAAATGGTTCTAAAGTACATATTAATGTAATATGAATTAGTATGTAAAGTGATTAGTACCGTATATTCAATTTTTGAATAAAATATTGTAATTTCTAATCAATTGTTGTTTACAGGTGCTTAGTCCATTCTATTTTTTTTTTATTTATTTATTAAGTCTTTTGTTAATCAGCAATTACTTCTGTATTGCCTTGTGTAGGACTAGGATATATTGTTATTTTTTCATTGCAAAATGGCATCCGAAACCATAGAACACACGATTTGTGAGTTGTGTACTGATTATAAAAGGTTAATTGTGTCTGAAATATTGGATATTATTAGGTCTAGAATCCCATATATATATATATTAATATTTTCAAGGCAAGATAACATAACAACATCAATTGATTGAAATTGACTAATTAGATCTTTAAATTATTTTATGTTGAATTCTATTTTGTGTTTCAATTTCGAATATTATGGAAAATATTGAGTCAGAGATTTAGCTTTTTTAAATAAAATCGTAATACTTGTTTTTACTTTAACTCTCACCATGGACCTTATAAATATAAAGTAAAGGCACTCACTAGACACTCGCCAGGACTTTCATCATTATCTGTCACGACACTTAATATCAATATCATCAGATCTAGAGTAGCCTATCAGTATCACTTCAAATCTGGCTTGACTTTGTGTGGGTAGGTGCCATTTGGCTTCTACAAATTGTAAAATATTGTGGTCCGTATGAAGCCTAAATATATTATTTCAAAATTACATAACGTAAAATTGTTTATTCTTTTTATTCAGAATACAAAGTTCCTGAAAGTTTCAGAAATTCGTCTGCATGGCCATGCCGACGACAGGAAGCATAGTAAATGTAGCGCCCCCTATTCTACTTCCTTTTTCCGGTTGACAGCATAAACGGTCAGGTGTGTGAGAAATATTTGGCCTTAAATCCAGTTAAATCTTGAAAATAAAAACCATCCTTACCTTTAAAACTTATTTTTCTGAATAAAATAATAATCCTTTATGATAATAAAACATGTTTCGAGTCCCTCAGTAATGCAAATTGTGTCCATTAAGAGGCAAAACGACTGCCTGTAACATTTGTTGATATCTCATGAATCAAGTTCTCCATTGCCGCATGTAAATGTTTATTCCGTTTGTTGTGTTTGAATACGTTGTCCGATATTTATTTCTTTAATTATTGATAACTCCATTCATTGTGAGATGAGAATCGAATTGTTGAAATTAAAACTCTTTGACTGTTGCAAGAAAGAGAAAGTACCCCCCCCCCCCCCAACATCTGCGCATTCAGGCATTGGTATCAATCTCAATGATCAACTGACAAAAAAGGCAGCACACGTTGGATGTTACTATTGAGTTGACAGGGTGGTGATTTTCAGTTATTTCATATTTATAGTTAAAGAACAAAAGTATAATAGTGGGGAATAGCTAGCTGTTAAAAAATGTAGGACTACCTTACTGAATTTTATAAGTTCTAGTAGCCTTCTAGTTCTAGAGCAGAGTAGAGGGGTAGCACGATTTACCCAAACCATAGATAATACCGTATGATTGCCAACTCGCGAATTCTCGACGTTATGTTGCGAAACGCGTGAAACGCCGAGAAAGGGGGTTCATTACTTCCGGTCGTCTGCTCTCGCTGTTTGTTTACAATAGGCCCATTATAGCGATATTTTATTTAGCGCTTTCTTCTAATTTTTAAATCGGTATGGCATCATCTGGTTTATGGAACCAAGAAATAGAAGCGATGTTCGAGGTAAGAATAAAATATCTTTTCTTTTTTTTTGGTATTTGCTCTTGTATCTCGAGACTAGTCTAGTACTACTACTACTGTATTATTAGACCTCGTAGTAGAGAAATTTTGACAGTCGTGACCTACTTTTAGTACCGTCAACACAGAGTTTTCAATTCATTAATTTTTAAAATAATATTTTTTTTTATCTTTATCAATTGTATGTCCAACTTGCAGAATTCTTCACTCTGGAAGGAAGAAGATACTGGTGGTAGTAATAATGATATAAGTATAAGTAAAATCAATGATGAGGATGATGCTGATATTGACCTTGTGTTTAAAGATATGGAGTTTCTGTTCAATGTAAGTAAATTAGCCAAACCATTAGAAATATAAACTACATTTTTGTTTTAATTAAATAATTTAATCTTAACAATATATTATAAAATAAGGCTATTGAAGTTTTTGATGTAAATAATTTAATCTCATCATTTAATGAATTGTAAATTGTAGGAAGAATTTGAGGAAGAGTCAGCATTGGTGGAAGTTAATAATATTAATAAGGTGCCTTTTTAAAATAGTCTAATTATTCATTTAACTACGTAACATTAACATTGATCTCTTTATTTAAAAACACAATTATTATTAATATCGTAAAATTATTGTTAATTAAAGATGCATTATTTACGATTTAGATAAAGAGATGACTGTTTTCAGTATAATAATAGTTAAAAAATAAATAATGAAAAGGGAATACTGGTATGTTAAAAATTTCAATCAAGTTACTACATTCTGAATGAAGTTATGGCTGTTTGAAGAATAGTGTGGTTTTGATTGTCATTTCTACCCTTGTTATGATTATCCATTTTCTTAATTAAATTATTAAATGGAAATCATGTTTAAATCAGTTTCAAATAACAACCATCTGATGATATAGAGAGTTGATTATAGGCTTTGCATGTGAATACATGTCTAATTAATGATTTATTTATACAACATTTGAGGCCAAATTTACCTCTTACATAATGCATCTTTAACTGTTAAATTTTATTTGGGGCATATAAAAAAAATATTCTGGTTCTTCGATAATCCTTCCCCACTTAAAAAGACCTTGTTGACTACACCACATAAATATTTTACCCAAGTTACAGGAAGTAACTCTATGAAAATATTTTAATGGATCCACTGGTTAATTTGTCAATTATGAAAACCTCATAAATGTAATGCCATTGATGATACTGGGTAATCAAATAGTCCTATTTATATAAGCAATATGATGAGATAAATCTACATGTAGTGCCTTAAAATTTGATGGCCATGAAAAGTCATTTAGTCCAGTAGTAATCCTTTCACAAAATAAAAACACAAAAATAAAATAAACCCAGATTATTGGCACAGGATATATATTTTTTGTATTGCCCAATTATATTACAGGATACACAAGTAATCAACAATACTGACATTATTAATGCTTTGAATGAAATTTTAAAATTTAATATGATGGACGAGAAAACAATATTACATCTGAAATCTAGAGGTAACCAAGTTAAACATTTTATTTTCAAATGTCCACAATCCACATGGAAATGTGGGAGTATAAAAATACTTACATGTATTTGAAAACCAAAAGTATGTCTCCATACTGTTGAAAATAGGCCTGCAGCCAAAAAAATTCTAGCGTGAAGTTCCGCTACAAAATTCCCCAATAAACAAACTATACATTTTTGGAATGCTTATAACACCAGGAACACAAATCCGGAGAGTTCCAAGCAGAAAGTTTGCACTTGTCAAGTAAATGCTATATTTATTATAATATTATCTTTGTATTTTTCAGTTGCAGATATCAAGGATGAAGTTGCCTTTTTGAACTCCTACCAATCAATTAATAAACAAGATTCCTGGAGGAAATATCATTTAGGCCTATCTATTTTAGAACATAAAACTATTTCGTTCATACCTAAACTAATACTTCCTTTTTTTACTCTAAAAGTTTTTTCTTTTTTCTTAAATAGAATTATTATATCCGCTGAAGCTAATTTGATTTCCCAACCAAACCTTGATCAAAAAGACTATGAAATAATTGCGTATATTGGGGGGTGGATTATTAATAAACTTGTTTCTAGATATGTGCAAGCTGAAAAAAAAGAATGTGTTCATATGCTTGCATGCAATGTGGATGGGGGGCAAGCTGCATTTATCAAATTAACTAAATTAAAGGACAGAGGGGGGTTAAAATATATAAATGGCCATTTTCTTAAATTATTAATTAGATTGGAAAAGAATTTTGTAGGGATATTTACACCTTTATCGACCAAAGTAGATAAAGATGAATTCATTAAAAAATGCACATTTGAATGTAAACAAGATTTTTTAAACTGTTTTGATAAACCAATTATTGATGATAAAATCCAACATCTAATTTTAATAGATATAGTAAAATTATTTTTCAATATAAGAATACATCATAGATGTAAAGTTATTATTGAAAAATTGAAACTGAAAAAGTCTAAAGGTCTTAGAAAAACATTAAAAAAACTATAAATTCTACTCATGTCATCATCCAACAATTTAGCATATTTATACATGTATTCTATGAGAAGTACCTTATTTATTTATTATATGACATAATTTTTTTAACAGCAATCTTTATTTATTTATTATGAAATTGTCTGAACATTATCATATAACCAAGCATTTCAATATAGTGCTTGTGGTGTGTATTTTTATGTAATAAAATTTTTTAGTAATTGTCGACATTTTCGATTTAAATCATCTCTGTGCAAATATCTGAAAAAAAAAATGTAACAGATATATCCAATCTAACAAAATGTTTAGTATTTCAATTGAGTAAAATGACAGTATTCACTGATTATATCGTTTACATATTTCATAAATATATAGAAGTGTAATATTGCAATTTTACCATGTGTAGATAATCCTAATTTATTTGCATAAAAAGTCAAACATCTCACCACAGTTTCCTCTTTTTCAGAGGTTGTGCATTTATTTTAATGGAACCACTTTCTTTCTCAATATTTCCCTTATTAGATTGAAAGAGAATAGACAGGTTTCTTTGAAGTCTAATCTTGTTTTCCTGGTATCTATCAAATTATAAAGAATGGACTAAATAACAATATCCTAACAATGTAAATGTAATCAATGAACAAACTTAATGGGGTTTAATGTCCTACTTTTATTTTGAATTTAATTGAACAAAGACAGACAATTTTTAATAATTTTCGAAATTGGCAGTAAAAATAAATATATTATGTTTACCCAAATGCATATAAAGTCGGGTTGTCGTTTCTCCTTGCCAAACCTCTGTGATTTCCAAAATGCGACTCCAAAGGGTCTTGACAAAAGGAATTGGTATACACCTCTTTGACACCACAAGACAAGAGATACTTGGTGGCTTCTACTACAGAATTTACTAAAATAAAATTGTTGGTATTATATCTGTACATAACAGTTAATGTGTAGCTTCTACTATAGAATTTACTAAGATGGCCATGCATATGCATATGATAACAATATTTTATGCTTACTTGTTACAAAAAGGCCTTTATATGTCTGCGCTGAAATAAACATTTTCGATTTTTCCGATGTGCCGAAGCCTTCTCTATTTTCAACAGAAAATTTCCAGTTTTTGAAATAGCCCAATGCATCATTTAACAGAAACTGTAAAAAAACAAACAAACAGAAATAAATAAGGATTATGCTGCCAAAGATGGTTATCAGTTATGAACATCACACATACACAGGACGGTACGGTACTTATGATGATACATGCAGACAAGATGTGCAACACTCTAGACCAGCAGGCGATCTCCCCCTCCCCCCACTACAAAAAAAAAAAAAAAAAAAAAAAATACTTGCCTCAAATCTTTTATCTTCAACATCTGTATATGGCATTAAATCAGTTTTTTTAACCCTGTTACCTTCTGACTTTGATCTTACATTAAGGCAATCAAAAAGTCTGTCAACAATTTCTATAAAGTTAGCTGTCTCCCAGGTATCTTCTGTCATGTATGCCTTCATAACACTACTGACCGTTTTGCTCATTACCTGATAAATAAGTCATAAAAAATACCAGTACTTGGTAGCGATCTACTATATATTTTACTAAAGTATTATTCCATTCAGTAGTGAAAAAAACACTTCTGTATCGCAATCTTTCTAAAAGTTCACAATAGAAATTTATTTCTGCTTGCACAATACTTTTAATCACAAAAGTTATAAAATATTCTTACCTGAGCAGCAAGATTAACTTTCATTACAGAATACGAATTTAGATCTACATGAGCAGGGGTCAGTTTTGTTCTTCGTAATTCTGATTTGCTGTCTTCAATAAATACTTGTCTGACATGGGACCATAAAAGATGTTTGCCATCATTCTAAAAAAAGATGTTTGCCATAATTATAAAAAATGTTTCTATTTTACAAATTATTTAAGATTATACATTTCAATAGCAAATATAATAATTCAAAAAGTACAAACCCAAAGGTAACGTGTCTTCAGTCCAGATCCTGAGTTGGCAAGATTATTTCTTAGCGTTTTCAACAAATGGGGTACATCTGATACAAAATAAATTTGTCTTTCCCGAGCAAAAATATTATTTGTAGAGTAAATAGCTTCCTTATCTTCTCTATGCATATCGATAAGCCTTTGATTAGGCGATGCTTTATCAGAGGTGGAAGCCAATACCTGTAATAATATTTTTGCAGGTTAAAAATGAAATGTATTTAATCAAACTGAAGCACAATAATTTATTTTCAAAACATCATCAGTATTAAAATGATAAAAACAACAAATTTTAAAAATTGTCAATACCATAAATGCTTTTTATAAAATTAAAACATGTTATTTAGCTTTACTTAAAAGTATTGTTGTTATATTAATCTTTAATAAAAAAACAAACATTTTTCATAAGTATTAAAATGATAAAAACAACAAATTAAATAAATTGTCAATACCATAAATGCTTTTTATAAAATTAAAACATGTTATTTAGCTTTACTTAAAAGTATTGTTGTTATATTAATCTTTAATAAAAAAAACCAAACATTTTTAATAAGTATTAAAATGATAAAAACAAAAAATTAAATAAATTGTCAATGCCATAAATGCTTTTTATAAAATGAAAACATATTATTGAACTCTACTTGTTTTGTTGCTATTTTTATGAATATGCAAAATGAATTGTCAATACAATAAATGCTGTTTACAAGACGAAAACATATTATTTAGCTTACTTAACAGTTTGGTTGTTATATTTATGTTAAATATACAAAAAACATATTTCGTAAGTTGTAAAATTATAAAAACAACAAATTAAATAAATGGTCAAAGTCAAAACCATCAACTTTGAATAATAAAAGTATAACCATGATACATAATAACATCTCACAGCACATTTACAAAAGAAAAATAAACAAAGATTTAAAAAAACAAATACAGAACTAGTAATTTTAAAAGTATTGAAATTTAAAGTTTCTGTAGTGATTTGATCAAAATAGGAATCTCTTGCAAACAACAATATTGTCAAATTTATTTAGTTTTATTTTAGTATTCTAATAGGAATATCAATCAAAAAAAGTGCAATTCCGTTCGGTGAGTTTGGCAGTGTTTAGTGGGATTAGGTCTAATCGAAACACTGTAAAAAGTTTGACAATGAACTGAAATTCTATTGATCTATGTTGCTCCCGGATTACCTATGTAAATGATACACTTTACTTTTCTTTTTTCTTGATTAAATGTAAAATAATCTGATTACATTGTATATATAATAAGCAAGGATTAAGTCATGAGAAACTTAATATTTTCTGAAAAATGTGAATCACACACAGTTACTTTAACAAACTATTAATTGCTCAAATTAATAAATGTATCTTTTTTATAAACCTTTAGTTTACAGGTAATTTCTAAATGACAAACTGCTTCCCAAAACAAAGGGTATATGTCTTCAGCTCTTGCTGAACATGTACCAAAATAACCAAGGCTGAATCTTATTGGCCATTCAAGAGGAGCTGTTAATCCTACAACCATGAAAACTAGAACATGACTAGCTACCTTACTTCCATCAGGTATGAAGCCACATAATTCTCCTGATCTTGGGTTATATACCTGCATAGACAATTATGTAGAAAATTGTCACATTAATATTGAAAATGTGAAATTAATAACTATTGTCAATGTACTATATAAAACATACATACTAAATCAGACTTGATAGTCATTTCATCATGAATCAAAACTACCCATCTTTCATTATCTTTCAGGTCTTTAACCATGTCTTTCAGATCATTAATCACCTAAAAAAATTAATTGAATTTTTATGAAAGCAGTATGTAACATATCGTCTGTGGGGAGTCAAATGGTTGTATCTGGGTTTTGCGAAATTGTCCAGTAGAGCCAATATTCGCAAAGAGATTAAAAACATCGCGTCAAAATGTTGTATGTAAAATGATGTATTTCTAAAGATTTGGGTCAGATTTTTACTAACTTCGAACTCAACCTTCATTGATGTGTAACAGGGTCATAATCCAGGGAGTTACGTTCGGATATATGCACCATTATCAAAGGAACCAAGATCTTTGTTATATAATCATAAATTTAAGTTTCATCAAAATTATGTGGCCACATCCTTGATACACCATATATTTAATTGTAATGAATGCTTTGGTAATTGGTAAGACACAAAGTGGATTTTTTCAAATAAATAACAAATTAAGATCTACTTACATTTGGATTGAAACCATGAGTTGGACTTATAGCATTACTGTAATCCCGCAGTGTCGATTCTCCGGGTAGATGCAAAAGTCCAGTTTGTTTTAATGACCTGTAAGCTTGGGGGGATTGAGTGTGTAACAGAATAGCTAATCTTATTATCATTGGGTGCCATCTTTTCCCAGAAGACTTTCTGTTAAAATTTTTTTTTTGTTCCTTCCAAAACAAGTCCAGAAAAGGGTTTGAAATTGTTTCTTTATTCATAATATTTAATAAGCTGTCATGTAATTGTTCAGAAACTTCTTCGCTTTCATTTCTTAATCTCTTTTGGATGGTCCTTAATTCTTTTTCCAATCTACTATTTTTTACTCGAATATCTTTTAAGGCTTTTGATAGTTTTTCTTTTGACGTTTTTACTAAAGGTGTCTTTTTGTTAAAATTTATTGTTCTTTTTCTAGCAATGTCTAATCTGTTTTTTTTTTGTTTTAGAATATTCTTTGTTTTTTTACATTCTATGCAGACTGGCCCAATAACAAGACATTTAACGCTATGGACCATAGTCTGCATAGAATTTATCTGTTGGTTGATCACGACCTCCTTGTTGTAATTGAGGTTAGTAAAATCGGATACATCTATTAGATCTTTTTCAAAGACACCCATGCATGGTTTTATCATGGTAATCTTCTCAATAATTCTTTTTAGATCTTCCGATTTTGTGATAATAGATGGTTCATTAATATGAATAGTTTTAAGGTTCATACCTTCTATAAATAGCTGGTACTCCATTCCATTATCTATTTTCACACAATGTGATATCTAAATAAAAATTAAGTTAAATATATTACTGCTGTACATCTTCCAACTATTTTGTTAGATCTACTTTAGATGTACATTGATAATTTTGATTTACAACAGGTTCAAACATAAAGCTTTTACAGCAAAGAAAAAAAGGGAAATATACCTTCATATCTGTATGTCTGTATTTAACAACATCTACCCCATTTTCATGTTGTGTAACAAACCAACCTGGTATGGTACGAAGTGTATTCAGAACAGTCTCTTTTGTGATAACTGTCTGAGTTGATTCGTTAAATTCTTCAGGTTCAGTTGTCAAATTTATCCTTTTAAGCTACAATTAAAGGACCCAAGTCTTTAACTCAATATCATCCACAGTTTTCGACATTGCAAACATAACCTATTGGTTAATTTAAATGTGTTAACATTGTTGAAAGAATATGCTTGTCAAGTGAAATATCAATAATATCCCACTGTTAAATATCAATAATATCACTCTGGCTTATGATGTCATAGTTATTAAGTATAACGTATTACGCATCCTATGACTTCTTGTACCAGTAGTTATGAATTGTAATTAACATGTTAAATACCGGTACCTTGGAATTATATTTTAAAATAAAAACTTTACATGGTTAATGAATTGTAATTTATATGTTGAATAACTTGAAATCATATTTTGTTTTACTTTCATACAACAGTGATATTAACTTGTGTTTTTAAAATTTTGTCACACACGTAACGTTACATGTGTAACACAAATCAAACACTCGTATTTTCAATTTTATTGTCCAGACTTATATAGATTTTTGGTAATGATAAGATCCATCAGAAAGGAAAGTTCTACCAAATTGTTACATGTTTGACCTGAAATTTCCAATTATCTACAAAAAAAATAAAAATATAATTTCCTTTTATGTATTTTTTACCTAATAAATTTTAGATATAACTCCAAGTCTGTTAGAGATTACATTTGAGTTTGTTTGGAAAAGATAATTAGTATTCCGGACATGTTCTATAAAGTATGGTAAAAACAGGTATTTCGGGTATTGTAATCCAGTTGTGTCATGAATTTTTTTTTTTTTATGAAATTTGCGTATTATCAATGACATTTTGGTATTTTAAAATGGTAATGAATATATTCTTTTGGAAAAATAAGTTTTTTGTGTTATTTTAATATATCTAATTTTTAGCATATCAGGACCACTTTCTGAAGCGTCGCCCAATACAAGAATTATGTTTAATAAATATGAAGGCCTTTGTATGAAGTAAGATGTATATCTAGTCTATAATGCAATCAACCAATATTCAATACATTGTTTTGTGTATATGTATAAATACAATCATGTTAAAAAAAAGAGACAGAAAAATACGAACAGGTGATCTTCTTTGAGCAATTTTCTTTTCGAAAGACTTTTGTGGTATATGTTTTGTAGGTAAACTATTTTCCAACAGATCTCTTTTTCCAGTTGATTCTGTAAAATATCAATCATATTAAATTACACTATATAATATTATTACCGGTACTAAAGAAAGTATGATTGTGATAAGAAGGGAGTTCAAAATTTTTAATATTGTCAAATTATTACATTAAATTTGAAAATCTAGATCTCTATATTTTTTTGGTTTTTTTTACATGACATGTCACCCAGTGTGCCAAGTCTGCGGGTTTTTTTTAAATCATTTTTTCTTTTTACCAAACTACAAAATTTAACTTACCATTTTCTTTGAAACAACTATCCTCAAAATGACGAGAACAGATTGTAGCAGCTTCTGGATTGAAACTGGTATCAATCCTGTTTATAATGCTGATTAACTTCTTCTCCCATAATTTATTGTTGTTTTTTTTTATTTTATGAAATGATAATCCTCTACATTTTTTTTTAGAAGCAGAACAATTTACTACACAACAATTATTTACCATGATTTGCGATAGGCCTATACTAATATAGGCCTAACTATTGCCTATTAACAAAAACTATAAAAAATGCGTACCAAAAAAAAAACTAAATATAACGTATCTTCTTAATAAGTAAAGGTAAATAAGTCTATACTTTACTCTATCACAATATTATTATTATTATTATTATTATTGTTACTGTATGACGGCCGTTATCACAATATTATTATTATGGTTATCTATTACGGTAAGTTGTGTCGGCTGCTAGACCGGAAGTAAACAACCCCCCCGGCGCAAAAAAATGTGCGCACGAACCCGTACGCAACATCACGCAAAGAACTATACACGAGTTGGCAATCATACGGTATTATCTATGCCCAAACCCACTTTTATTTCAACTATCACAATAATTTTAATTTATACCAATATTTGATACCATTCTTTATGCAAAATTATTAAACATCAAAAATGCTATGATTTTAGATTAAAAAGGACAATTTGGCATGAAGAACGATATACATGTATTATTATTATTATAAGATATCGAATTGTGATAAGTTGAAATATAAGTTCTCGAATGATTTTGCACACAGTTCCGTTATATCATCCACAATAGATGGTAAATCACAGATTTTTCTTCTGTTATTGTTAAAGATACATTATGGGAGATTAGATAAAGAGTTTATAGTTCTGGCTATAATAGTTAAAAAAAATAGATAACATAAATAGAATATGCTGAAAATTTCAAACTGCTCCACTCTGAACCAAGATATTAGCTTTGAATTTTAGGCTAGACTCATCATTGTCAGTACAATAAAAAAAACAGTCTCGATTATCCATTTTTTACATTTTTTTTTTTTTAAAATATATTCCAATCCGCTAAATATCGCAGGCTAACGATGGCATCGAGAGTTGATTGAATATGGTCTGGATAAGTTAATGTCTAATTAATAATTTAGATAATATTTCAGGCCTAAAGAAAGACATGCAATAGGCAGATTTAGCTCTTGCATAATGTATGTTTAATTTTTTTTTTGTTTTCCAGCCATGGCTCCTAAAGGAAATAACATGGTGCCCAATGGGCACTTCCATAAAGACTGGCAGAGATATGTAAAAACATGGTTTAACCAACCTGCTAGAAAGAAGCGAAGACATGATACAAGATTAAAGAAAGCCAGACGTATTGCACCACGCCCAGCTGCTGGTCCTCTTAGACCAATTATTAGATGTCCAACCTTCAAATACAACAGTAAAAGACGACTAGGAAAGGGATTCTCCTTTGAAGAACTTAAGGTTAGAATTTCGTGTATTTAGAGACATGAAGTGCAACAAAAATTAAGTTAAAGGGAGATAAATCTTAACGTATTTAAACATAAAGATGGGTCAAGTACAGTTCCTCATTGATAGCAGTATGGCAGACAATATTTGCTATTAAAATTGAGAAAAAGTTCAAAATGTTTACAATTTATTGCAACCATATTCACTGCACATAAAATAATGTAAGTGCTTGACAGAAAAACATTTTGCCAATTAGTGTAGAGGTAGCAATATATTTAGAGCTTGATGTATGTTTAGGTTGCACACTTGGCACAAATTTGAAAGTTTGTAATCACCGTGATTTAAAAAGAAACTTACCTGGACAAGACAATATGAATAAAATTCTCAGCTTGAGTTTTGTCAGTGTGCTCGACACCTAAACATAATTACCTGAACATCTGTCATTTTGACATAAAGTGACCAGTGAAGCAATCGGTAAATTAATTATTTATATTTTGCATGTTTCAGGCTGTTAATGTTAGTTGGAAAGAAGCTATGGGTATTGGAATTGCTGTCGACTTTAGACGTAAGAACAAGTCAGTGGAATCCCTTCAGGAAAACGTACAAAGATTAAAGGAGTACAAATCTAAACTAATCTTATTCCCTAAAAGCAAAAAGAAGGTCCGACAAGGAGAGGCTTCTGTAAGTATATTGCTAGTTTTGCAATTTTGTGAGGTTTGACTGCGCGAGAAGATTGAATATTCAGCTGTTATTTTGTGTGTAGAATTTCAATCAGTTAACTGTGCATCTTGTATTTCGGTCAAGAATAGGGGACAGTTGTCAAACTTAAGATTTTCTGTGGTTCCCCCCCCCCCCCCCCCCCATCTAACCCACAACCTGCTAAAGAGCTTGGTGCCAGTGAATTATTGAAATGAATTAGTGATGAGTGGAGAAATACTGGACACTGTTTTGCACTTAACCTAGTCGGTCAACACCGATGTGGTTATTATAAGAAGAAAGGCAGTTGAATAAAAAAAAATTTCTGGATTAAATAGAATACATTTTCTTTTTTGCCTTAGAGCAAATATCCTGAACCAAACAACCTTTTTTTTTTATCTTGGTGTACATAGCAAGATTCTACTCCCCATCTAGGATCCTATGTACACATTGGGGAAGTTGAATGGCCGAATGGTTAGCATGTGCGCTCTTTATCATAAGGCCTGTTGTACGTGACAAGGAGTAGGGTCGCCTGTCCAACCTCGTGGGTTTTCTCTTGGTCCTCCGGTTTCCTCCCATTGGTAAAGACCCCTACGTGCAAGCGAATTATTGAAATAAAATTAAACCATATGTTAGTCCCGAAATGACCTAGTTTGTGTCAAGTGGACGTTGAACCCCATTTCCTTCTCTTGTACACATTGGCGTGCTCATACAAGTAATATAAGGTTTGTCATTGCGTCAGCTGGCGTGGTTTCGATTCCCCGGTTGTACGTGACAAGGAGTAGGGTCGCCTGTCCAACCTTGTGGGTTTCCTCTGGGTCCTCTGGTTTCCTCCCACTGCTAAAAAGACCACTGCGCACAAGTGAATTATTAAAATGAAATTAAACCATGTTAGTCCTGAAATGACCTAGTTTGTGTGGACGATAAACTCCATTTCACTCTGTCTTACAAGTAACATGAACCATGGACGGTAGGAATTAGAAAAACAGTAGCCGGGCAAAATTTCTTTCATAGCATACTGCATGACATATGCCTATCTTCATTAGCCTAGGCCATACATTAAACTCAAAGCTGATCATATCAAATGTAATGACCACAAGTAATAAATATCATTGTATTTTCTAGTCTGAAGAAACCAAGATGGCTACACAGCTTCAAGGTAAACTCATGCCACTCAAAACATCTTTCAAACCTGAAAAGGCTCGTGCTATCACAGCTGCAGAAAAGAAGGCCTCAGTCTATGACCAGATTGTCCGTGCTCGTAAACAAGAAAGATTTGTTGGTATTCTCAACAAGATCAGAAAGAGGAAATATGCCCGATCTATGGTTCGAAAGGCCAAGAAAGATGGTACATACAAAAAGGATGATAAGGGAAAAGGTACCAAGGTTGCAAAGAGGAAGTAAATTATTGAAATGGACGTTAATTACTTCAAATAAAAAAAAATGTATAAAACATTTTATGTGTGATTTATGGTCTATTGGTCTATTGAGATGAGTTTAGAAGAATGAATCACAGTGCATTGCTAAATAGATTGTCTCCTGTATTTGGCAGAGAAAATATTCTGGCATGGTTTCCCCTTGACTTCTTGTTGAAAATTTGTATTTGAAGTAAGAGTAGCCTTCATTCCTGACAAAATTTCCCCTATAGCATATGTCCGTCTTCATGGAGGCTAAATGCCCTTTCAGACCCCAAAACACCAATATAAAGTTGAAGGCAAATATAATAGCATATACACAGTAGCCTTCAGTCCTGGCAAAATTTCTTCCATAGCACACTACTTACATATGCCCGTCTTCATTAAGACACTAAGCCCCATTTAAATTAAAGTCCCCTACCCCCACATTACAATATAAAGCGTAGGGTAAATGTAACTAAAATACATGTAAGAATCATGATTTGAAAGAACCTTTAAGATGGGATGAAATGAGGTGACACTATCAACCTTACATACCTTTGAATTGGAGATGAATGAAATATCAAATAAGATATGGACAGTGGGTATATTCATGACGGGACTTGAGATTGCCCTATATAGACAATGCTTGGAAATAGGGCAATCTATTTCGGCTAAGCTTCAGAATAGGCTAACATGCCCTATGCTATAAGCTGTAACAAACTGTTCCGCACTAATATACTGAGCGCCATGGAAAACGCATCACTTAGTTTTTCGTATAACAAAATGGGAACACTTCAATAACAACACATTTGTTCACTTATGGATGTTTAATCTGTAATCAACGGTACAAAGTCAGAGGGGTCAAAAGTACGACACAGATGTCAGTAGCGTGTGTGTCCTCCACGGGCTCTTGCGCACGCTGTGCAGGGACGTCGCATGGAATTTACCAATGTTTGAAAGAAGGCCTGGGACAAGAGCAGCTTCTTAAGCAGCAATGGTGTGCATCTGGTCTCAGATACAGACAGCGTCCAATCTCATCCCAGACATGTTCTATCGATGCCATGTCCGGAGACATGGCTTGCCAGTCCAAGACATTGATGTTGTTAGCAGCCAGGTAGTCCATACTAAAACGGGCGGTATGCGGGCGTGCATTATCCTGTTGGAAGTGTTGAAGTTGTGGGTGCACTCGAAACATCGGAACAACAATTGGATGCAAGACATCACGGTAGGCTACAGCGTTAACGCGACCCCTGCAAATGTTTATTGCGGTCCGGTGATGAAATGTGAAGCCTCCCCACACCATTAAACTTCGCCCACCCCATCGATTCGTTTCGAAGACGCAGCAGTCTGCAAGACGTTCCCCAAGACGCCTCCACACACGTTGACGGTCACCAGCGTGATAAAGATGAAAGCGACTCTCATCACCGAAGAGCACACTTTGCCAGTCTACTCTTCTCCATGTCTGGTGTCTTGAGCCCATATCAAACGCCGCTGACGGTGATGATCCCCGAGGATAGCTCCAACATAAGGTCGTCGTGCACGGAGTCCTACTTCTCTTAGACGACGTCTTACGGTGTTGGCACTTACTGGTCCTTGTCTTCCGACGACTGCTGCACCTGTTCGAGTCGCTGGGCGGAATCTGTCACGCAGATGAGTGACCCGGATGTAGCGGTCTTGAGCCTGGGTTGTAACGCGTTGTGGACCAGGACGTTGACGGTCACATTTTGATCCAGTAACTCGAACACGTTCCACCAACCTTATAATAGTGGACTGATGACAATTGAAGTGTCTGGCAATAGCACGTGTAGACATGCCAGCCCTGGACATTCCCATGGCTTCATTCCGTTGATTTTCAGTAAGTCTCGGCATCTCTAGCTCGATTCCTTCACGCGTCCAACAACAAATTACGACAGACTGACGTTTCACAGTTCATGTACTGCACATTAAGTTGAAAACATGCTTTTAAAGGGCTCACACACAATGCTGCACATGAATATTGGGTTTTTCATGTGCCTCTCGTGCAATTTTTTTTTGTTCACACGGGCCGATATTTTTTGCGTTTGGGAGCATTGTGTGAAACAATAGTTCATAGTATTGCATAATATTATACATACAAAACCACCTAGTAATAAAATATTTGGGGAAAAAAAGTGATGCGTTTTCCATGGCGCTCAGTATAGATGAGAAAATTTGTTCCGGGTCAGTTTGTAGCCAGATATGGAACAATATATATTGTTAAAACAACATGTTTGACAGATTATAATATCAAAACCCATACGCTTTCTAGTGCCCCGTTGTGCCAACTTGTAAATATTGATCCTCTTGCTCCGCCCAGCTGAATGTTTTTTGTCCAGTAATATAAACCAAATGAGAACTATTTTAAAATATTTATTCAAGGTATTTCCATTTATCATTTAAAAATAAGCACATTATGATGGACAAAAAAGCACTGATATAAAGTCAACAAAAAAATACAGTAAAACAAACAATCCTGGAGAAACATAGTTCATTACAATGTTTTAAATACACTTTATGAGCACTAGAGGACAAGAAAAGTTTATATATAATGTCCAACCATAACTTTTTTAAATACAATGTGAGCACAAGACACAAAATAAGTTCCATTATGTCCAACCATAACTGTTTCAAATGGGCTATGAAAGCCATAACTGTTTAGGAGCACTGCCACTAGGGCACAAGAACCGTCGATTATAATGTCGGACCATAGGGGACACGAGAACCTTTCATTATGTCTAGCCATAACTGTTTATAATACACTTTATGCTCACGCAATAGGGGACACCAAGTTCGAATACACGATATGAGCACTAGACAAGAAAAGTTCATCATAATATTTAACTATAACTGTTTCAAGTTTACTAAAAGCACTATAGGATACAAGTTCATTATATTATATGAGCATACATTATTAAAATGTTTTCAAACGTGACATAAGCACCAAAGGACTCCTGTAGGTCCACCACGGTGGTAGGTTTTAAGAACAATGTGTGAACATGCAAACACACGCAAAAAACACAATAGGCCTACTAGCACTGATAAATACACATAACCAAAGACGTTATCCATTCACGCATATGTAATGTAAACTGGAAAGCCTACGTGATTAGGGCTGTGTCGACAAGACTTCGTTAATTATCAACAGGAACACGGTACTTAAATAAATCTATTGTTCACTAGAAAGTAAACAGTCCTTGCCTTCTAGAAGACAAAGGAACCAAACCGGGTTGAGGAGAGGTATATTTATCGGTGGATCAATGGTGGGTAACTAAGACAAGATATCTGTCAAACCAAAGTCATTGGCTATTCGAAGATTCTGCAGCGTTGCTTCTGTGACTATCTGACCAGAATCGTAAGGAGTAAACGCAGATTGATGAAACGAATTGTTGAGTAGCGGAGATACGGGGTTGATGAAGATAGTACCATGGTCATGATCTGGAAGGTACGTGTCTACAGAAGAACACCTCGAAGATACCGTAGAAGCGGATCTGCATCGAGGTTCGTCCCACGTCGTCGAGTTCATAGATTCTTCTAAATCATTTATGTTAACCGGGGACGGATCGATTCTGTAGTGTTCATTCAAAACTGGAAGAGAAGCTGGCCTTGGAGTTCGACTTAGATCCATGACGCAATCGGCTGTCGGCATCACGAAGAAACTGGTGTTTTGCTCTGAGTGATAAGTTCCAGGAGTGGTATATCTTGGGGTTCCATATTCATAAGATACTATGTTGCTGCTGTGACTTTCTGGGAGGGTGAATGTACACGGGGTTGTAGATCCACTTTCAGAGTTTGGCGTCTGCAGTAGTGGTGTACTTGTTTGTCTGTTGTGGTAACTGGCTGGACTAGGCATTGAAGAACCATTACTTGGCGATCCATAGTTGAAGGTATCTAACGGAGTAAAAGTGTGTCTCTCCTGGTGGGTGGTTAAACAGGGTGTTGAAGATCTAGGGGTTTCGTAACCGTAGGTTACCATTTGTGAAGGGGAATATCTATCCTGGTCGAACTTCTCGTGGTGTTTGTGTGATTCATGTTTTAATTCAGGACTTGGCAAACCAAAAAGGGTGGAACTGGAAGCTCGCAAGTCAGAAAAACTGCGGACTGGTGGATACAATGCATCTTTGGACACTTCGTATTGGATGCCGGACACGGAAGGTGGCGTATTATAGGATAGTGGATTGGCGTTGCATAGGTTACGTAAGTTTTCCAGCGCATTCTCTGGGGTCTGATTATCAAACATGGTTGGTGGGAAGGTAACTATTGGTACATGACTAATCAGAGCATCACTGGCAGTTGTGGGAATGGTTGATGATACCGGTTTTAGGTCTTTGGAATTTAACAGAGAATCAATTGTAAAAGATCGTTTCTTCTTTAGCGCTCTCGTCGATTGGGGCGTTTTGAAAACTTGGCTTGTTGATGCTTTAAGAGGAGTAATGCCATGTAGGGGAAGTGTCCGTGGCTGAAGCTTCATGCAGGGTAGAAGATATTCAATTTGTGGAAGTCCAAAATGTTCTGTGAGTGAAGAAGCATACTGGTACTGGTAGTCGGTATCTTTGGAAGATTTTTCTTGTTTTCTCAAAGCATCTGATGGAAGTTTATTCAGATGTACAGCCCAGTCACATTTTTTGGTCTTAACTACGTTGTTAATAACTTGAGGCACCTGTAATGGAAAAGGGTCAGATAGATATTGCAATAGGTAAATATTCATGAAAGCGAGTCGGGGGTGGGGGGCAACTTTTATATAAATTCTAAGGACCTTGTGTACCTCTAATTAAGAATATGTTAGTGTCGTTATCAGTACTAAGGGACTCTCAATATCCGTTCAAGCTTGGCTTAGAAATGACGAGTTTCTAGTAGTAAATGGGTCCATTTTTTTTACCGTGGAATATGAAAATTGCAGGTTTAACGTCCTATAGTTCTGCCCCGAACTGGGCTAATGAAGACGGACATACGCCATACAGTGTGCTATGAGGGAGATTTTGACAGGACAGCGGCACTACGGCCTACTCTTATATCGAATTCCAACTGTCAAGGGGTCTTTCACGTGCACGCCAATGTGTACACGGGACCTCGGTTTTTCGTACCATCGGAGCGACTAGACAGCAGTCTGCTTGTCAGGCCCTCCGTCCTGCAACACCGCCGGAAAATCCGCCAGTGATGTCAACCAAGATGCCCCATGTTCCATGCGGACAATATGGCTCTGGACAGATAATGCAGGATTAATACAAGGCTGAAAAGCATTCATCTGGGTTTTATATAGCTTGTTCCTTTAGTCATAAAGCAAATGATTAACGTTCGAACGTTCGTTACGAAAAATAGTTAATTGTATATGGTAGAACCCCCATTAACCTTAAAGTTTTAAGTCGCATATTGTTCTTTGCGTAACCACAGACGCCCTTGCTGCTTTCGGGTGGATATCACAGGTTGAGAAACGGTAGAAACCCACGTTTACTGCTCCCAATAATATTTTTTCTAATTGAAAATACAGTAAATTAAGCTGAAGATCGGATCAAGATTTTCAGTGAATAGCTGTTATTTTATGGATTTTAATATTCAAGACTACTAAGCAAATATAACCAAACAATAACAATCATAACGAGCTATTTGAGTGAGGTTTAGCGTAATGTCTAGACAAGCATGCAATGGTTACGGTTTATCTTTTTTGTCCACGATGAATTCCGTTTTTTGTCCCACCCGAAAACTATATATGCACATTATATACATTCTCCTTCCTTGTCTACAAGTGAGATCCGTGCTTGGAAATTACCGGGGGGGGGGGGTGCTCTTCTTGGTCGACGCCGGGAGTCGAACCCGGCATATTATAGTCGAGAGGCCAATACATAGGCCTGTAATGTTCATGCAGACGGTCGTGTTTTCTTTGAAACTGGTTTCATTTGAAGAAGGAATTCGTTTATACATTACATTACGCCCTATGCAATTTCTTTTTGTCAAATTGTAACATTCTTCACTGCAGTCTTTACTTAGTTTCAATAGATTAAGATCAAAGTTTCTGATTTTTTAAATGATATTTTGTCTTACCATGTAGAAGCAATCATTGTGAGAGAGATTATGTCGAACAGAATCCCTCCATCCTTGGTATTCTCCTTGAAAGAAAGGAAACAGGTCTTTAAATGCTGCTAGGATACCAGCTAGAGATAGTTTATGTTCTGGTGCCATACGTATAAGAAGGGCGATCATTCCAACATAACTGTACGGTGGTTTACCATGTCTTTTATAATTCTTCACAGTTCTACGACCAAGCTCACCAACTCTTCTTCTTTTCGCTTCGGGCTCCATTCTCGTCTGAAATTAAAATGGCCATAGAATTTAAAATTATGGAGAAATAAACGAGATTAAAAGATTGTGTTATCTTGGCGATAATTATCGCTTGTGTTGTTTCGGCGATATAAATGATCTTGATAATCTATTTGATTCATTCGCAATATATAAATTGACATCAAGGATTTGAAATGTATATAATTTGTTTATTTAATTAAAAATAAATTGTATTGGCCTATACTAATTGTGGTGTGGTTTTACTTTAACGAATATAATGATAGATATATATTTTTTTAATTTCTGCATTGATGAAAAATTGAATATAGATTATTAACAAATTTGAAACTATTTATCTTTTTGCAAATAACATTATTTACAGACAATTTCCACAATAAAGTGATATCTTAAACAAGTCTTTATTTTTTTTTATCATAAATTTGATCTCAAATAGAGCTATTTAACGTCCGCTCTAATAATACTTCTCTTGCGTTCACAATAAAGCGATGTTGCAAAAACACCCCCCAAAAAATGTACTCTTTAGTTGTTTAGGCCACTGTGTGAAATAGCTTCCATCCGAAGTGATATCGCCAGCAATTACATTATTAGGTGATATTTATTTACATGTGTGATTCAAAGCTATATCATATTGGTGAAAACTTATACCTGCGGGTATTTCTTTAATCCTATCTGATCTTTTGACACTAACAGTGCAGAACAAGTTCTGTCGTGAAAAGAATTCTGGAAATTATATATACTGACGAAGCCATTCTGATTTCGTGTTATGCCCATTTAGGTGACGCTTCTTTTATTTCCCAATCAAGGCCCATCCTGTCCACTTCCTTCCTAGATTGAGATACTGAGCATGCAAAAACAACCCAATCAGACATTCTGGCGTTCTCTGTTGTCGCCTCATCAGATCTGCAAGGTTCCCTACCTTAAAACAAAAGTTAGCTTTCCCAGACAAAAGGTATGAATGTCATTAACTGACAATATACTAAACTTGATTAGTTTTAAATTAAGTCATATGTGAGTAAAAGAATTGGGTTTTTATTGAGAAACATGTTCCTTGCAATCTTCTCAGGGTACTTAAAAAATGAAAGGGGAAATCTATAATTTAGAAAATAACTAGATTGTTGTTTTTTGAATCGATTTTTTTTTTAAAAAAAGAGGTGTGGAAGCATGCCCATATAATTTCTGAGAACATTTTATAAGTTTATGAATTAGATTTTTTGAATCGGATTTTTTTTTAAAAATAAAATCTAAAACAATTAGTGTATTTATAAATATTGCGCCAAAGAAACGTGGAGGGGCTTAATGGCCATATAATTTCTGGGAATGTATCATGGTTTTACAAATAAGTTCTACTAATCTGCTTTTTTAACAATATATAATATCTGATTGAGTTATGCTTACAGATCTTTTCCAACTGATTTCCGGTATGCTTTGAATGTCATGATCGGTAACTCGAGATCTTAGATAGAAAGTTTTATCTTTCAATTGATAGTTGTTTCTGTGATTTAATTTGCCATTGGTCAGTTACAATACCTATTATTACGTTGAGAATATTTTGTTATTAGGAAGGACGTCTTTCCAGATTTAATCGTTTGTTAATACAAAGTGAAGTCGGTTTGGGACTTTTAAAAAATAACATAGGCCTACTTTTCGACTTCAGCGCGATATGATTTGGATATGAATTATTTTGAAAAAAAAATACATAATTTATAATTAAGATATTTTTCAGGGATATCCTCCTTTGTCTGTATGTTTGGTCCTTTGTCTATATTTCTTAAAGCAAAATGTAAATAATTTTACTTTATTTCTCTATTTCTTTAATTTCACATCTATATGTTGCTTTTCCGAGTTTCTGAGTGGGCGCGTCGAATTACCCAATAACACCCAATAACTGCCCAATAACACCCAATAACTGCCCAATAACACCCAATAACGCCCCAGTAACACCCAATAACTCCAAAATAACAACCAATAACTACAAAATGTTGACTTTGGAAACACAAAATAACAATTTAGTTGAATATAAGAAGCATCGCTGAATTGAGCCCAAATCGGAGTTTCACGCTCACTCGCCTGAAGGGAGATAACTCGTATATGTGATTTTTGTTGACGAGAAATTAATAACACCCAATAACTGCTCAATAACACCCAATAACTGTCCAATAACACCAAATTGTTGACTTTGGAAATACAAAATAACAATTTAGTTGAATTTAAAAGCTTCGTGGATCATGTTTGAAGAAACTCGCGATATTCAAAGCTTATATTGTGAAGTATGTCAACGTTGGTGCCATTCAGATTGTGAGAAAGTAGATACTACTCAGTTGAATTTTTTTCAATGTTCAAGTGACGACTACATATGTAGGTCTTGCAGATCCAACTATGCTGGTTTTAATATTCAAATCGGAGTTTCACGCTCACTCGCCTGAAGGGAGATAACTTGTGTATGTGATTCCCAGGTTATACCTGACAAGAAGCAGTGTCGTCTGTCCAGAATCGTGGGTTCTCTCTGGGTCATCACACTGGTAAAGACCCCCTCCCCCCCCCCCCACACACACATTTTTTTATTATCATTATAATATTTTCATATGAAACATTTTTAAATATGTGTATGTTTTTTTTATAAAACATTGTTTTGTAAAGGAATTAAAAATAAACGCCAAGTATCTCGTTACCTCGTCAGGTAGAGCCATTGTGGGTGTTATTGGGTGTTATTTTGGAGTTATTGGGTGTTATTTGGTGTTATTCGACGCGCCGTTCTGGGTTTCTTTATCAGCCGCCCCATGAGCAAGACTATCATACGACTAAGGGGAGACAATTCACATAAAAATGTAAACAAACATGGCTGACAGATCTAATTGAAAAATTGTTGATCTTGCTTGATTAATTAATTGATCGCATTTACCAATGTTCTTTCGGTAATTATTTTGATTCATGCTTCACGAAACGCTAATAAATCTTTATGCACTCCAAAGTCGATAAAATGTGGCAATGTACACCGTAAACATGGCTTGTCTGTAGTAGAAGTCCTGATTTTCATTTATCAGTGATTAATTTATCATATTAATTGAAATTTGCTGTCTTCTTTTTAAAATTATATCGACAGCAATGCAAGTAGTTATTAACCACCGAAATTTAACAATAGATCTACATGTATAGTGGATATTAGGAGCACTGTCAAATATAGTACCTATAAATTATTAAATTAAAAACTGTATGTAGGCAAATAAAGGAAGGGTCATCCACTAATAACATGTTTGTATGAATATAATAATTAATATTATTAATAAATTTTAAAGGCTGAATGCATAAAATGGGAAAAATCAACAAGATCCTAGTTTGCGGATTTTCTGGAGTTGGCAAAACATCTCTGATAGAACAACTATTGTATGGAAACCACAAAATTGGCAGTGTAAGATATAAGACTTATTTAATAAAACATTTTTTATATTTTTTTAACCATACTGATCTGGTAAAAGAAGGGGTACTAAGAGTTCTTTTTATCGAGCCATTATGACATTTTTCTGATAATGTCCCCTAAATGAATTGTGTTTATTTGAGATTTAATTTTCTCACCATTTTTGCCAAAGTGCATAGGCCTATTCTGTGATAAATTTTGTTTTACTTACAGCCTATGCATGCCACTATTGAGGATATATACAATGCCGTAATTGAGACTGACCGTGGAGTTAAAGAAAGAGTTCGAATATATGACACAGCAGGATTGGTAGGATGTATTTATGATTCTGATATAAAATTATAAACAACATTGGCAAAGTTAACTACAATGGAGCTATCCTTAACATTCATTTGGTTGATGAAGAGATGCTTTTTTGTTGATCATTACTGTTATAGCCAATCACAGTGGCTCATATCAGATTTCAAAAAGAACAGATAACTGCTAAAGAATCAGTTAGATATTTATGTAATATTTAAATCAAAATGAAATGAGGGTTAATTTGGTGCCTTATTTATTTCAGGATGCTATAACAGACATGCCTAAACATTATCTTACTTTTCCTGATGTAAGTAATTTTGTGATCTGTTTGATACCCTTTTTGATCAAGAATGAGTATTTGGTTCAAAGCTTCATTTAAGAATTTGTTGCAGGTGGATAGGGTGGGTTGGGTGCCCAAATGGTGTGCCAAAATATGTGCACGACTGCATGTTAGATCAACAGGTCTGTCATTGAGTCAAGCTGTGTTGACTTGATTTTCCACTTAGGGTTGCCTGTCCAACCTTGTGCGTTTTCTCCACTTTCCTCCCACAGCTAAAGACCCCTACCCACAAACAGATTATTGAAAGAGAATTGAACCATATGTTAGTCCTGAAATGACCTAGTTTGTGTTGAGTGGATGATAAACCCCATTGCTCTCTCTTTCTCGCATACTGATAGCAAAATGGCTCTGTGAGTAAGGAGTTGGTTTACTAACCTGAAGGTAACGGTTTGGCCTCCTCAAGATTATCTCTCTAGCCTTGCTTCCCCTTGTTACTGGTGCAAGATATTGGGACTGCCGGGAAAGTGTCTAGTCCTTTGGATGGGTTAAAAAAAAACCTGAGGCAGCATGTTATAGATCCCCGGACGCTGAGAAATTGAAAAAAAAAGTCGATTATTGCACCACTGCCAAGGCAACATGTCCCTCATAGCACACTGCATGGCTTATTATGATCTTAATTACTAATTAGCCTCTTAGGTGCAGAAAAGTAGGATGTTAAACCGCATCACCTGTAAATCCAACAAAGGAAATTATTATTTTCTATGTATGTTTATTAAAACTCTTTTCCAGGGTTTTGCTCTGGTTTATGATGTGACAAGCTGGGATTCATTTCAAAGATTAGACACTTTAAAAAAAGAAATTGAAAAAATGAGAGACAAGGTTAGTCAATATAAAAACTGGAGAATCATTGAAAACACCAGAAATTACTCATAAAATATTCCTACTAATATATATAACACAACACAGTTCTTTTGATAACAATCACTATATGATATACATGCGATGTTTCGACAAGGTTTTTTGAGTTGTTCTCAAGCATACAGAATTATAAATGAGGAAATAATACGAAAGCATAATGTATAATATAGTGATACTACACTGTCACATTATATCCTCAAGCGTTGTTGAAATGTATGAAGGTAATAATTTATACCTGTGTATTTCGACAGGTGAGTATTATAGTTATTGGTAATAAAAGTGAAGTCAACGAAGCTCGACAAGTAGAATTTAATACAGCTTTAAAATGGTCAACTAAAGAAAAAGGTCAGTACATAAAGACTTAAATGTCTAAAAAAAACAAAACTGCCCTATTAAAAAAAAAAATAATAAAAACTTAGTTATTTGAAACTAATTTGAAACTTTTGTTTTCTTTAATTTTCTTAGATGTTAAAATTTGAGGCTTAACATAGTTGGATACATTCATATTTACAATAAAATTTTATTGAAAAGTAATTGGTTTCTGGAGTGCAATTTAATTGAAATGCAAAAGTACTCTCCAATACTAATTACTTTTCAAACCTTCCATTATTCCTCACATGTATAATGATTGCATTAAATTACCATTACCGATTAGGTCTACACTAGTCCTGCAATATTTCAATCTGATTAAAATACAGATCTATATTTCGTTTCGTTTTTTTATACTTTCGATGGCCTACACTAAATGGAGATCTGACAAGTTGTAGTGATAGGTCATGTAGAAGTCATACCACCGGCTTTTGACCCTATGATGTCAGACATTTGATTAACCAATCAGGGTTGATGTTTCTAATGGATTACCTAGAGTGCCGTGCAAAACACGCCTAAAGCTCACCGTAGCAGATCATTTCATTGGCTAATTCCTATCACCATCCAGAACACGTCATTGATAACAACTCTTCCATATCCTAGTGTAGTAAAGACAAGTAAAACAAAATTTTGAACTATAAAAAACGAAACGAAATAGGATCTGTATTTTAATCAGATTGGCAATATTGTTGTTTGTATAATGATTTTAATTTTGTGGTAAATGTTTTAATTAAACTATTTTCATAATACAGATATTTAACTTAATTCATCAAATTGATTTGTTTATTTCAGTTCGATTATGGGAAGTTTCGGTTGCTAATCGACAATCTCTAGTTGAGCCATTTATTTATCTAACATCAAAAATTACACAGCCACCTAGTAAGTTATAAATTATTTTCATTTTTAGAAAAAAAAAATTGACGACTAGAAAAGTTTTTACTGCCCTTTCATATTTGCTTTCATTTGGTATTAGAATTTGAATAAAATTTGTAAAACTCCGCTGTGGATTTGAAAACAGAATCCCTGTTACTGCAAGAATCCCGTAATTGCTAAAGCGGCTGATCATCATTTCAGTTATTTTGAATCCCTTGTAAATGAAAATATTGTGAAAATTGAATCTCGGAATATAAAAATGAAATGGGGTTTAAAGTCCTACTGTTCTGCTCCGACTGGGCTAATGAAATTTTTCCTGAACAGTGATGGCGCTACAGCCTACTCTTATATCGAATTCCAACTGCCAAGGGATCTTTTACGTGCATGCCAATATGTACAGTTGACCTCGTTTTTTTTTACCCCATACGAATGGCTAGACAGCTGTCCTTGTCAGGCTCGCTGTCCTGCACCTCTGACAAGGGGCAACTACACCGGAAAATCTTGATGAACTTTCCTGGCCAATACCGGAAGTGTAGCCGCGACCTGCATTGGCTGAGAAAGTTCATCAAGATTTTCCAGCGTGGTTCACAGATGTCAGTGGTTTTGATGGGATGAAAAATATGAGGCCCTGTGTACACATTTGGAATTAGATAGCACACTGTATGGCATATGCCCGTCTTCATTAGCCCAGTCAGAGCAGAACAGTAGGACTTTGAACTCTATTTCATTTCATTTCATTTCATTTCTTAATTAAATGTTAAATAATGAATCCGACTAATCCATGAAATATTAGATATTAGATAACACAACTGCCAATCACCGGTTTAAGGTTTTGATTGCTAAAATATGAATTCACATTGACCATTAATAAATAATAATAAATTTAGGATATTTATCTAGTTTATCAAGATGAATTCTAAGTAGAACAGATTTTTTTTCTGTTAGGACCAACCAATAATTATTAATATTTACTTTTTTAGGCAAGTCAACATTCCTGCCAGGTAGAAAGACAAAGTCGGCTGTTAGCAACAGTGTAGAAAGTTGAATTTATAATAGAAGGTTGAATTAATAATAACAGAACATTGAATCAATAACAGTGTAAAAAAGTTGAATGAATAACAGTGTAGAAAGTTGAATATTTTAGTTGGGACTTTAACTGCTGTCTGAATATTAAAGGACACAGATGTTTCTAGATCACATTTTTTTGTTATTCGACATGGAGTTAAAGGGGAAGACAGTAATAACTACAGTAGTAGAATTACAACCATCACTTGAGATTTTGATTAACTAATTTGAACTATAATAAGCCTTCTGTTTCATTGATAAATTTTCCCCACTGTTACAATTTTCAGCTTTATAAACCTTTCTATATTTACATAGTTTACATAAATTAATGACAATTTTCAGCTTTATAAACCTTTCTATATTTACATAGTTTACATAAATTAATGACATCACTTTGTGTAGCAGACTTGAAAATAGACAGGTTGGGTGGCCCAGTGGTTGAATGCATAAGCTTTAGATTTTAAAATGGCCGGCGTTCTGATTTTGGCTTGTACGTGACAAGGAGTAGGGTTTTCTGTCCAACCCCATGTGTTTCTATGGTCCTTTGGTTGCCTACCACTCCCACTGCTGAAGATAATATGTTTGTCCTGAATTGGGACATTAAACCCCATTTCCCTCCGCCCCCAGTCCCCACCCTGTTTTAGACTGACTTTAAACTCTTGTTAAATATAGATACATTCATAAAGCTACAAAGTACAATTACAGGGGAGGGTGGATAAAAGATAAAGGAAGCACAAAATCAGAAATGATTGTAATCTATATGTAACCAGAGACAAGATTGGTACTAGTGTGACTTGCCCTTTAATGAAACTATATATATATTGATCTAGTACTGGTAATCAACTGTAAAGATAACATTATTTTTTTGGTCTCATATGACGCATTATCTAAAATTGCATAAAAATATTATTGTATCAATATTATTGCATTATGTTTAAATGTGTATTTTTTTTATTCAAAATAATTTATTTATTCTGTATGTTGTAATTATTTCTAGAGTTGGTAATTTTTTGATTGTGTAAAGATATGCCTTAGCCTTCTTCTAATATATCATGATTGTCTTTTGCATTTACAATATGTACATATTCTGAAGGTCCCATACACTGTGAAAATGCTGGCCTGAAACAAATGTACATGTATTCCACGGCATTTAGTATTGAACTGGAAATACACAGGACATAATTTCTATAACATACAATTACTGCTTATTACTGGATCATAAGGTCCAGTGGGGTGGTTTTGATTCACCCGCTTGTACATATCAAGGAATAGGGTCTTGTCCAACCTCATGGATTCCCTCCTGAAATGACCTATTTTGTGATTTGATTTTGTGTGGAGTGGGCATTAACCCCCCCCCCCTCTCTCTCTCTCTCTCTCTCTTTCTCTCTCTCTGTCAAAATATTATACAGTGATAAACAATGATTGTATTCTATATTGTCTATGGCATAGAATGGTGTTTGAGTTTGTCCAATCTATTGAATCAATCAGCAGTGTATGCTATTTTACTTAAATAAGGAATTTCTCATGCACTTCTCATTTATTTGGAAAGTTAACATAGGTAATAAGTTATTGTCTATCTTTGTCTGAAAATATTTTAATTTGAATAATTTTTTTTTATTTATTAAACAATATTCTATTCAAAAATTGAAATTTTAAGATATTTTGTCTATAAATGTGGGAACCTAGTCAAATTTGTCAAATTCCTCTATCCATGACAATAATATGTATTAAAGCGATAATTTCATATTTTTAAGTTATATTTTTAAAATGTATTAAAATAAAGCCTTAAAATAGATGGTATCTATAAACAGTCCTACCTTGTTAAAGAATTATCCTATTAATCCTATAATTCACTATGGCCAGTTGAGAAATTGGAAAAAATATCATTTTCAACTTCAAATTCAAACGTTTGAAGATAGCTATTCCATGGGGGTAATAGAAAAACACGGGAGGTAATTGTGTTATTATTTCCGGGGTGAATGATTTTTAAGTGTGGGAATGATACCTATAATCGTATAATAGTGAGTTGACAACCTATTGAGCAAAAGACATAGAAATAATTATGTTTTGACTTTCTTAGAAAATATGAAATTCTCGCTTTAAGATAATATTGGATTGTAATTTTCATTTAATCTTTGTATCTTTTTATAACAATATATATATGGAGAGATTTTTATAGCTCCAAATTGCTTTAGTTACTTTAGTCTTTTTAACGCACTTTGAGAACATCATCTAGCATCTAATATTTTGGTTTGAATCTTAGAATATGACAGTGACAAATATGTGTGGTTTAATGGTTGAGAGCATATGTGTGCATAGTGGTAACCAGGGCAATGGTATATTCGAGACTTAGCCTTGCTTTCCCATTTTTAAATTAAATTTTTATATGGCGAACCGTTCTAATCTAGTTAAAATCATCGAGGGTTGATTATGGTCTTGTTTTGTTAATATAACATGTTTATATAACATTTCAGGCCTCAAGAAAAACCTAAACTAGGCAGATTTAGCTCTTGCATAATGTATGTTTAAATAACTTAAAATACATTCACATGCACATGCTTTGCAATGAAATACATCACGCAGGCAATGTGCCAAGTCTACATTAAATAGATCAAAGGATAACATGACATCTGTTTTTTAATAGTATAGATAATATCATAGATTTGTATCAAATATATTATTTCAATAAAAATGTGCTAATATGTTATATTCATGTGTTTTGTATTAAAATATATTTATCATTTAATATTTGGGGTTGAATTTTTTTTTAGACCAATATACATGTATTCTTAAATGTATTTATTGGTTGTTGATTTGCCTGCCCCACTGCTAAAGGCTACTAAGCACAGGAGAATTAAGAGACATAAAATTGCTCCTTATGTTAGTCCCGAAATTACATAGTTTGTGTCAAGTGGATTTAATACTCAATTTGTTGCTGTTTCTTTATATTTTATTCATTATCTAGTTTTAAACCATTTTACCTTTAATTAACAAAAACCACCAGAAGAAAACCAGGAAATTTCTTGAGGCCATCAAAACAAAACATATCAAACCCAAGTTTAACTGTGATGTGGGACTCAATATACCAAGGGCTTATGACCAACTTAATATACATTGAACCCCTTTTTATGCGCTCACATTTCAGTGTGGGCGTATTATGTCCTCACCCCGTCTTGTCAACCAACACGATAGAGATTGTAATTTTTACTGGATGTTTTTTAAATTGAGTGGGAATGATTGGGGTCATGAGAGGATGAACCCTATTGATTTTCAACATTCTGACCTTCAGTTCCTCGATAGCGGATATAGTTTTCGACGCATTCTGTCTATTTAAATTCTCTGTGAAGCATTGTGGTCATGAGAGGATGAATCTTATCAATTTTAAGTGTACCACAACTTTCCAACTTTCCTTTCCTGAGTTATCCCCCCCCCCCCCCCATGTCAAAAATCTTGTGCAGTATATATTTTAATTGATTCCTTTCAGATTTGGTGGGAAGCATTGGGGTCATGAGAGGATGAACCCTATCATATCTAGCGTTTTTCGATATTCTGTTCCAGATTTAAATGTTCCATTCCCATTTAAATAGAGGCCATCGTTTTTAACAGATTCTTTCCAAATTTGGACCGTGTCAAGCATGGTGGCCATTAGAGGACGAAGCCTTCCGATATTCTGCATTCTTCAACTTTCAGTTCCACAGTTTTCGAAATGTCAAATTACCCTATTGTGTCCAGTTATTAATCTGAGTGACATACAAACCTTATTTTAGTAAATTCAGTGTATGTGCAGGGGTCTATACTGTGGGAGAAAACCATAATACTAAAAGTAAACCCACAGGGTTGAGAAGGCCTCCATATCTCCAAACTGCATACATAAACTCCTAACTAGCTAGAGTTTGAAGCAAGCCTCTGTAGAACACTTGGTCATTCCAATACCTTACCTCATATGGGAGCCACGTAGCTAAGGCTAGTCTGGAGGTCGCATGTTAGATCCCTGCATTGGCCATGAAAGTTAATCAGGATTTTCCAAAGTGGTTTCCAATTGACAGTGGTGAAGGACAGACGGCCTGGCAAGGACAGTTGTCTAGTCGGTCGGATGTTACGAAAAACCGAGGTCCCATGTATACATTGACTGCATGTAAAAGATCCCTTGGCAGTTGGAATTCGATATAAGAGTAGGCCATAGTGCTGCTTCCCAGGCAAAATTTCCATCATAAGACCAGTATAGGAGCAGAACAGAAGAACGTTCGACTCCATTTCATTTCATTTCATTTCCAACCCCTCATATGCAATTTGTGGGCCATCCATCCTTGCTAATGTTCTCATTATTATTCCAGTTTTATTACATACTGTATACTACAAACAAGTATACTAATATGCAAGACAACTCTACATTTAGCAGATAAATCTCTCAATATTAAAAAGTAAAACAATGTAAATCATTTTTTGTTGTTTTTTTTTATTGGGTTTGAGTGTTTTATTTCTGATAAAATTATTTCAATACATTTCTTTATAAACTGGCTTGACTTTTACTACATTATTTATTGCACACTGACAATAATCTTTTATTCTATTGACATAAAGAGTCATTCGGATAACCCAAAAATAGGAAATAGATCATTACATACGTGTATCACCCATGTATAACATATTCAATAATATTCATGTGTTTTTATGAATATATGCACTAATATTGCACATAATTTTGTTTATGAAATATTTTAGCAATCAATATTGATTTGAAAGGAAATATTAATAAATAACACCTTTTTTGACGTTTTATGCCAGTAATCTGAATAATCAATTTTCATAACTTTTCCGTGAATGTAAAAAAAAACCCCCAAAAAACCAATATGTAAATTTATTGAAACTAGGCAATAGGGTACATACACCTATGTAAGAATCTATTTGTTCCTTAAACTAACAGGGAATTGATCAGGAAATGGATTCATTTCATTGATAGAAAGAATAAATAAAACTGGATAGAAGAATGAAAGACAGGAGAAATTAAATTAAGAGATATTTCTAAAAAATAAATGGCTGTATTTACATAGTCACTTCATTCCAATATTTTCACAATTTTTTTTTATTCATTTTTTTTGGAGTATATTTTTGGTATACTTTCCTCATGATATATATGTACATACAATGTAAGTTAAACCCATCATTATCTGAATCCAAATTAATCACATAATGCACAGCTAGAATCTGCTCTAATTTCCTCAATTTAAATTCATATTTTTATAACCATGTATGAAGTAAAAACTAACGCAAATTGCCCGAAAGTTTCCTCTGTCTCAATTCAATTGTTTTTTTGTATATATATACGAACGATGAGAAACTCCATTTCAATCCATATTTTTTTGTAAATGAATCACTAATTGTTCGAACTTTCCTCCGCCTTAATTCATGCATCTTTTGTATATATACAGAAAGATGAGAAAATCGCACATAAACTATTTAAATTTCAACCATTCAATTCATATCTTCTCCAACACGAATAATGAGAAAACCGAATGCAAATTACACAGGATTGTGATTCTTTCCGATTCAGTTAATGACATGTTACAATATGAAGGATTTTTTTTTCAATATTACAATGAATAATTACAGCACTATATACATCAACTTATTCAAACAGGACTCAACAACATGGAGAAAAAAAAATATACTAGAGGATAACATAGCTTTTTTTCCCCTTTTAAGTATGATATGAACTCATTTTAACTTATGAACAAACATAAATAATATTAATAAAAGATATTTGTTGGGTATAAAACTTAAATAACATTTTGAATTGAATATTATTTGAATAATGAGCAGAGAAACTAATGTATAGTAGTAGGTATGTATAAAATAGGGAATCACATGAGCAGAGAGATTAAAGAAATGAGTTAACACAACACAAAAAGAAATAATAGATTTTGAAGGAGAAAAGATTAAGATTAGACAAAAAGAAATTAGAATAATTCATTAATTACTTAAGAATACTATATTCATTATTAAAGTAATTTTATGTTTTATAAACAATTACATTTATGTACTAAATTCAATATTGTATTTAATAATATAAACTATGCAATAACACATATATGATTCAAATATCACTTTGTTCACAGAAAATAATATCTAAAATTTCCATGATTTTTTGACTTTTTTTCTTATTTTGTAGCATTAATAATTAATTCAAAAGGGAACACAGATTGATATTATCAAATAGCTTATTGACCTCATGCCATTAAACAAATTACTTCCAAGGTCAGTTAATAATACTGATCATCTTATTCATGGCTCTAACCGATGTCTTATTTCTTTAAAAAATTAAACAGCTCCTGCGAAAAGAAGCCAAGGCAAGTTTTAAAATGACACTCAAAGTAAAACAACACTCAATTCTTATTTCAATTTTTTTATCTGGACTAAAATCAATCGAGAATAAAATCACGGGTTGTTTCGTAGGACTGGTACTTCTTAATTCTTTATTTTTTATCAAACAATGGGGTGGGGGATTTTTTTTTCTGTAAATCAAATTATTGTAATCTAAAATATTAATTATGATTCATACTTGAAAATTAGATACCTGCATTGCTAGATTAGGTAAAGCAGAGGTGGAGTAGAATTTTAAATTTTTAAACACAAAAGATGAGGAACACAAGCTCTAAGCAAAGAGGGATTATTAGCACAGTACATGTAAATTAATTTGGCACTTGATCCTTATTATCATACATTGTATATTTTCTTTAATAAGAGATATATGAAAATAGAGATCATAATGAATATATGTAAGGTATTACATTAATTTCAATTGTTAATGGCACCTGCGGAGGAATTATCAAGAAATATGTATATAAGAATTTACATTTCTAAATGATAAGAACAACATCCTGATTTTTATGGCCTTAATTAAAATGTGAGAAATGATTTTGCATTAAACAAAATCTTGAAACTTTCTGACATGAACCGGATATATTATAATTAACTTATAATTAATACTATTTAGCACTTCGATTAGTCAATTTTTTCACGTACTATTTTATCAATTTAACTCAAATTATTAATTTAACTCAATCACTGATTGACCAAAATACATTTCATTAAGGAGTTGTATTTTTTATTATAACTTCATAGTAAGTACAAGTATATATAAATTCTACATTAGGATCTCACCATAAATATGGTTCTAAAAAATGTGGAAGTTTCAAGGATTATCGTACACATTAACATAATGTGGATCAATTCAATGATTCAATCCCAACATCAATTTTGATCCAGTGAGATCTCTTTTTTTTTTTTCAAAGCATGAACAAACACAAAATGGAAATACGTACAAAGGGTATTCCTAAAAGAAATAACACAAACTCAAAAATCGAAATAATCTTTTAGTTCAGCAAAAACAGGAAGTTGCGAATTACGACTTCCATGAAAAGACTTCATCACTGCGATTTAAAAACTTTAAAAATCTTCAGAATATCTTTCTACCTCTGAATGATGGTATTATTTTTTTTGACTGCACTTTTAAAAATATTTTTCTTAAAAAAAACCAGAGGTAAAGAGACAGCCGTATTTTTAAAGAAGTTACTGGAATGTTTAACATTTATTTTTGTAGCATCAAATAAGGCAACTTTGTGAACTAAAATTTTTGAATCCGCTGATATGCACACAATGATTTTCATACAAACTACTTCTAACTAGAACCTATACAGCATCCAGTCAAACAAACTTAATTTTTGGTTTTTAATTGCATTTGATATATATATTTGAGAATTTAAACTTCTAATTGCATTTAACATTTGGTGTATCAATTCCAACCATTGGGTAGCAATGATAATTAAAATACCAGTAAAATAAAACAAGACTAGCTCCAAGAAACTGACTGACTAATTGCGTTGTTTATTCCACAGCTAACCAAGCTTGGAACAAAGTTTTCAGCTAGTCTTCTAAAAAGAAAAAAAAAAAAATTAACTTAATTTAGTTTTTAACAATTAACAGTATACCAATTAGGCATAAACTTCAGTCTCTAAAACGCTAATCTCTTCAAATCGAGATTTCCAAATGGTATCCATCAAAAAGGCTAGGTCATATAAAGACGTGTAGCCCAAAACTTTTTTTTTAAATCCAGCATCCGTCTCTTCTTTTTTTCTTCAAAACTTCAAAATCTTTTTTTTTTTAACAATATGTCACAAAAACCACACATACATTACACATGCACCAAATAAATGTACACCAAGATATTATCCTTTCACACGACTAATCCTTATCACCTATGATTTGGGCCCTGAATATTCTCTTTCTTATTGACTGTGTTTTTCCGTCGTTTGCCACTCGTTCGGTTGAACACTTTTGTTGCATTTTGATGAGAGACGTAACTACGAAATTTATTTGAATTGCTGTGACCTCCACGGTTGTGATGATGTGAGTCTGTTCTTTCCGAGTGATAACTTGTTGGAGTGTTAACAGATGAACTACGGTTGTGAGCATGTCCCGACCGAATGGACGAAACACTACTTGCACTTGTGTCTCTGGATTTAGAAGCAAACCCTGTCACTGTATCTCTGCTGTTGCGCGGCAAGTCGCGTACAGGCACTGAACTGGCACGATTCTTGGGTGGTGATTTGCTGACTGTGGCCACTTCTGTATTTGTGTCACTATCCTGAAAATAATAATGGCAGTTTTCATTTTTTTTGTCATCATATTCAGTTTATATTTTTGTATACAATTAAGAAGTACATAGAAATGAAATGGAGTTTAAAATCCTACTGTTCTGCCTAGACTTGGCTAATTAAGATGGGAGAAGTACATTAACTTTTTCCAGTTTAACAGGACATAACCAAAGGTGGTATCAAGCACCAAAAACTCTCAATCCAAAGTTGTTTTTGTTGAGGATTTGGAATTAAAGATTTAAAGCGACAGTAATTTCATGCTAGTCACAATAACTTGAAGTTATTTTAAAGCCATTGAAATTACATTAATTGTTCAAATTCTGATATATATTTAATATTTGTTTTTACTTATTGCAATGTCTGTAGTTTGTCTTGTTCCCAGACTTGTCTTATCGATTTTTTTTTTGTGTCTGTAGTTTGTCTTATCCCCAGGTTTGTTTTATCAATTTATTTTTGTGTTTAGTGTAGTCCTCCTGTACTTACTATTACAGCTCAATTTAGTTCAATCCTCTCACATGCCATCCTTATTTCTTCATAAACTTGTTTACTCAAAACAAATCCTATTTCGGTTGCCAAATTTCTAAGAACATGACTTTTCAAATCGCAGTATTTGAGAAAATTTGTTGACACTTAGCTCTAGTATATTTTTTGTAACCCGTGTAAATGGTTAACTTGATTCAATTTGGAAATTAACATCAATATTGCTACTTTAAGGCCTAAACAACTCCCTGCAGCTGCAGAGATCTGATGGCTGTAGGCGATCTGTTCTGTTAATCTTATAAATAATGGTATAAGAGAATGGGGTTTATCGTCCACTCGACACAAACTAGGTCATTTCGGGACTAACACATGGTTCAAGTTTATTGCAATAATTTGCTTGTGCGTAGGGGTCTTTAGCAGTGGGAGGGAACCGGAGAAAACCCAGGAGGTTGGACAGGCAACCCTATTTGTTACGTACAACCAGGGAATCAAAACCATGCCAGTTGGCTCGATGACAGACCTTATGATACAGCGGGCACATGCTAACCATTCGACCACCCAACCCCCCTATAAATCATAAAGATAAACTTACTGTATCGGGACCAGAACTAGCATTATTAGAACTAGCTGATGATTTATAACCGGAACTATTACCACACGAATCAGAATTTTCACTATCTTGATCAGGTGTGGTTTCTGTACCAACATCACGCTGATTACGATTAGAATGAGAGGAGGGATCATGGTTATTATTAGATCTGAAAGAAGAGAGAGATATGTATATAAATGTTACTGTAGATTTAGCAAAAATCTAAGCTGGACATATTAAATATTCTTAATTCCTGCCAAGTACAATCCCACTGTCAGTTGGGTAATAAAGGGAAAAATGGGATTTAAGGTCCACTCGACACAAATTAGGTAATTTCTGAATTAACATATATATGGTTCAATCTTATTTCAGTAATTCACTTGTCCATAGGGGTCATTAGTAATGGGAAGAAACCGGAGGACCCGGAGAAAACCCACAAGGTTGGACAAGCGACCCTACTCCAATCACGTACAACTGAAGAATCAAAACCATGCCAGTTGACTCGATGCGGACATTATGATACAGCGACCACGTGCTAACCATTCGGCCATCCAACCCCCTACAGTTGGGTAATAAACTATAACACACACTTATGGAAATAATATATCTTTAGGATCAGTATTTGATATATCTCAATTCTAAAAGGTGCGGATGATGTCTTCTTAACAACTAGGCAAACCACTGATTTGACATTGCACTGACCACATGCATCTCTAGTACAGATTTTCTAAAATTGCAGGAAAACTGGATCATTTCTTGATAAAATGTCAGGAACCTGTTTAATTTTTTACAGACATAATCAAATAAAAGCTGAGAATATAGTGATTGCTGAATAGATTACTAATGAATTTAAAATTGATTCTATAGCAAGATGATCTAAAATCAGTAATAAACAACAAAGTAAATGTACTAACTCTAAATGTAAATCTTGTGATTTTTTCTCTGTGATGGGTAGTGTGACCATACTAGCATACGTTGGAACAATAGGATTATTATTTTTCTCTTCTTCCATGTTGGAAATTCTGTACTTCTTCCATATACCTTCACGATATGACACAACTTCATCTGTTACTCGAATAATACGACCCAAAACACTGAAACAATAGATCGTATATTAAACCATAAAATTTACACAGGTCAATTTGAACCCCCCACATACAGAAACAGGTGGATTATTAATTACCAGAAACCAGAACAAGGCAGCAAAAAGGGAATTAAGAACTGAGAATGGAAGTACCAAATTGGTTTGCAATGGATCATAATCTATTGCCGAATTCAGTGAATAATAATAATGATCATTTTCTATAGCAGTAGCACTGAACATGCATTCAGTCTGACTTCTCTGTGGCGCTTTACAATGTAAATATGATTATATAAAAACATAGATGTATATATATACAAATAAACCAAAGAATACAAAGCAATAGTCAAAATACAATATACATAATGGAAAGTGAAGGCATGACAACAGAAGCTTCTGAAATTCAGATTGGGTATGCACGTTGTGACTGGTCAATCCGATTAAAATATAGACCTATATTTCGTTTCGTTTTTTTATACTTTCGATGGCCTACACTACATGAAGATCTGACAAGTTATAGCGACCCTATGACGTCAGACATTTGATTAACCAATCAGCATTGATGTTACTAGTTGATTACCCTAAGTTCCGTGCAAAACACGCCCGAAGCTCGCCGTAACAGACCGTTTCATTGACTTTTCCCTGACACCATTCAGAACACAAGTTAAATAACAACTCTTCCAGATCCAAGTGTAGTAAAGACAAGTAAAACGAAATTTTGAACTATAAAAACGAAACGAAATAGGATCTGTGTTTTAACCAGATTGTGTGACTGGCTGCATGTGAGCTATGCACATCCATAAATTATTTATAAGTTAAACTCAGTTATGTATGTACCAGTAACAATGTGGAATTACAAGTTTATCAAAATAAAACTACCATTTCTTACCTTCCTTTCATAATACAGGAGTTCTGTGGAGCCACGGCAGCATTTAACACTAAATATGCATAATCAAAAGCATGTCGAACTTGCATGGCACCATATGAACTACGTCCAATGTCATTTTCTGAAAATAGATATAAAGAAGTCAGTTAAAACACTGGAATTTAATTGTTACTCTGTCCACATACTCTTTTTTCGTTTCACAGAATCTTTTAAATGACTTAATCTCATAGTATTGCCAAGCAAAAAAATAAAAAAAATAAGCCCACCAGCAGTAGTTTGAAAAGGTGCTATCGTGTTTCTACGGATTAAAGGCAATAATGAAGTACAAAATTGAAATGTGGTCATGTAAAAATCCCTCTTTCGATTCCCCACATTCAAAGGTCCAATCAACTTACTTGGCATCAACGGATCTTCTATACATAATAAAGATGGACGGTATCCACTCTCCATATTTTTTGCTATTTCTTCTTTAGGAAGATAGGCCCCACCTTCCTTTATTCGAATAGCAGTCTTCCAGTAATTAAAGTTTCTACCAAACAGCTCAAAGAACTCAATAAGTAGAACACCCAAATTAGCATCAGGAGATCTTGCATCAATTCTTGGATGGAGCTGAAAAACAAATAAAATAATATCATACACCCGTGAAATCCAGTCAAAAAAATTCAAACATTTTTGATACATGAAATGCAATGGGTTTGAACTGCCTGATCCGACAGGACTAACGAAGACGAGCATATGTCATACAGTGGGCTATGAGGATAATTTTCCTCGGGCAGTAGTGCTATGACCTACTCTTATATAGAATTCCAAATGCCAAGAGTTATCTACGTGCATGCCAATGTGTATACGGGACCTCGGTTTATCGCACCGTACAAACGTCTATACGCGTAGGGATCTTTAGCGGTGGGAGTAAACTGGAGGACCCAAAGAAAACCTACGGAGTTGGGCAGGCGATCCTACTCCTCGTCATGTACAAGTGGGAAATCAAAACCACATCACTTGACTCAATGACAGACCTTCAGATCCAACGTGCATTCGTTATCAAGTGGGTCAACCAACCACCTTACAAGTGGAGAACACAGTACAGTTTATATACAATAAAAGAGAGAGAGAAATGGGGTTTAACGTCCACTCGACACAAACTAGGTCATTTTGGGACTAACATATGATTTTAATTTTATGTCAATAATTCGCTTGTGCGTAGGGGTCTTTAGGAGTGGGAGGAAACTGGAGGACCCGGAGAAAACCCATGAGGTTAGACAGATGCCCCTACTCCTGTCACGTACAATACAATAAAAGAACATTTTCTACTAACCTGAAGGAAGTTGATACACATTAATATTAAACTGTACGAACTAATACCACCAGTAAATACTTCATTTAAATCTCGTTGTAACAAGAAATGTTTTAAAACTAGGACTAGGTATCGTAAGTTGGGGAATTTTTTCATATAGTCCTGTAAGTAGATACAATAAAACATGTTTTAATTTTAAATGGAAAAAGAAGGTGATTACAATCTAAATCCTCTGATATTTGAAATCCAGTTACTAATTCTAACATACTTCATGAATTTTTTTTTTTCACAAAACTAATGATTCTAAAAACTTGACTGGCCAATGTCTCATCGGGACACGATGATTACTGAAAGGGGCAACTTTATAGTTCGACGAGCCAATAATTTCGTCAACATACATGTACCTGAACTCTCAGGAAAACCACAGTGGTGATATTTTGGGAATGGGAGTGTGGCTTATCAATATAAGTGAGAAGATTTCTGCAAATGGGAGGGTAGGAAAACGAGTTACAAAAGTCAAAAATGTTTCAAACATCACTTATTTTTTTCAGGGAATCGGGGTAGTCAATGGTTGATATGTTAATTTCTACTTACTGTGATTAAAGCAGCACTTTGTACTCCACTCTTCATATTGAAACTAATGTCAACCTGAACATCAGTTTCTTTATCAGTCAGTTTCACTATAGGGACCTACAAAATAACATGCTTGAAATTAATTTCATTTCATTTTAAAATCAAGTAATAAGGCACTTAAATGAAAATGTTCATATTTGCTATTCCACCTAGAAGATACGAGTAGATTTCAGTTTCTAATTTCATTAAAATTTGTTTTTAATAAAGAAGCCCATATTTGAAAATATACTGTGATTATTATACAATTTAAAGCTACATGTATATGTTTGTTTAGGGCGATTAATATTTTATCTTAAAAATATATTTGTTACTCGAGTAAAAGGGAAACTCTCCAGAATAAAAGTGAAATATTGACCATAAAATATCAAATAGTTCAATTCTGGCCATTTGAAGTTTACATTTGTGTCGATTGATTTCACACTGCCATGATTTACATGCAATTACCATGAATCATCTGATTATGTCTTAAAAGGCAACGAGTACTTACGGAGGCTTTGTCAAGAACTTTGATGTCTTCTGGATAAGCTATTTCACGCTTTTGTAATTCATCACGTAAAGACCACAATGGAAGATTTTTCCATCTTCCAAATACAACAAGGTCAATATCACTAGAAATATAAAACATAATTCATTATATTTAAATAAAATCATTAACCATACCTTGCAGACATAGACATAGAGATTTAACGTCCACTCAACACAAACTACATGTAAGTCATTTTGAGACTAAAATATAGGTCAACTTTATTTCAATAATTCGCTGGCATGTAGGGTCATTAGCAGTGGGAAGAAACCAGAGGACCAGGAGAAAACCCTTGAGGTTGGTTAAGCAGATAACTTTTCCCCAAACTTTGTCTAAAAAGTTATTTTCAGTCCTAATGATCTACATGTAGATCTGTAGGCAATCCCGATAATAAACAACAATATCTAAAGACAGTCTGGTCTGTTTAAATGGTATTCATACAGATCAAGAATCAGACTTTTAATCAATTTAAATCTGCACTAAAGACTTTCCTGTTTCGATAGTTTTACCAGTAGAGCCATTACTAAAAGCATTTTGAGAATGTGTCAACAAGGAGAAGACCCTCATTATTATTATTTCATGAAGTAGTAGTACTACTTAGGGGTATTGATTTTCATATTGAAGTATAGTGTTATCGACATTTTTCTCCAAACATCGTGAATTGTTTTAAAACTAAGTTTTTTATTTATTAAAAGCAATGTTGAATAAATTTACCTGGTAGGAAGGTACAGGCCAGTTCTAAAACTTCCAAATATTTCCATCTGAAAAACAAAATGTAATGAAACAATTTAAATGAATTCAGGTCAAAATTCTTAAAGTAAAGATGGATGACAGATGCTGCTTTAAACAATCTGATTAAAATACAAATACATGAAGATCTGATCCGTTGTACAGGAAGGTCGTGCCATGGATTGTTCGTGTGGCTTTTGACCCTATGACATCAGACATTGATTAATCAATCTGCATAGACGTTTCTCGTGGTTTACCCTAAGTTCTGTGCATGGCACATCAAGAAGTTTCTGCAACAGATCTTTTCATTGGCTAATCCTTCACTTTAACTAAAACACTGGGAATATAACAACTCTTCCAGATCCAAGTGTAGTGAAGACAAGTAAAACGAAATTTTGAACTATAAAAAGGAAACGAAATAGGATCTGTGTTTTAATCAGATTGCTGCTTCCAAGAAATTGAAATGAAATGGGGTTTAACGTCCTACTGTTCTGCTCCGACAGGGCTACTGAAGACGGACTGCTTCAAATAAAAAGGAATTAATATTAAAAGGTAGCTAAGTAGGATAACCACAGTTTATATTCGACAACAATTAAACATGCATTATGCAAGAGCTAAATCTGCCTATTTCAGGTCTTTCTTTAGGCCTGAAATGTTTTCTAAAGTATTAATTAGACATTAATTAACTGATCCAGGCCTTAATAATCAACTCTCGATGGCATCAGATTTCTCCGATATTAAATAGATTAGAATGGTTCAGCGATACTTTGATTTAATCAAATATGGAGGACCGAGACTTAGCTTGCAATAGAGTAATTTGAATGAAATTTTCAAATTATTCATTTTACATCATCTACTTTCGAACTATTATAGCAAGAATGGCTAGTTCTTTATTTAAATCTTACATAATGTATCTTTAAGGGTTTATTATACACAGGCACAAAATTTCTGTTACAGTGAGCATAATGTTACATGTATCAAGCACAAATCACTATTGTCCAAAACCATCTGAGAAGGGGGAATGTTAATTGATCAATTATTGATTTGATAAGAGCCAGACATGTAATACCATGTCATCAAAGATGGATTAATCATTTACCTGGGCATCAGGCCACAAATCTGTCATAACTTTTTTGATTCTTGCAACCACCTCATTACGCATCCGATGTTCTTCCTCTCTTGGGGACATATAGCTGTAAAAATCTTTGATTTCTTCATGAAGACTGAAATATAGAATTAACATATATAATTAAAACCCATGTTTATATTCTACCGGAAGTTCATCTACATCTTGAATAAAATAGCCTGAACAGTTCCGGAGTTATTTTTTTGGCCAAGAAATAAGCCTCAACAACAAGTCTCTTCGAACTAAGTAATGCACATTAACAGTTTTAGGCATATAACAAAATATGTGTAATTTATCAATACACATGTACATGTACTTCCAGCTGTGACAGCTACATGTATTACTGAAATTAAATGAGTCAAATTTTCCGTTGCTGTGTCTTTAGGCTTCATAAATGCAGAAAATGTTGTTTGAAGTTTAATCATATGTAACTTAAAACTTATGATTGTAGTTGTTTAATAAGCTCTTCACTACATGTATTTGGACACTTATCATTTAATGTACAATCACATGCCATTTTAAAACTACTGATTGCCATTTGAGAGATTTTAAATAACTTGAAAACTACCATAATTTGGCAGTCGAGTACGGTACATGTATCTACAAGGTAAATCAGCCTGAAAATGGTTTAATTCCTTTCAGTATTTACAAAGAATTCAAAACTTCCCAACATTCAATATCATCAGTAGATGGCTAGAGCTACATGGAATTCTGAAGGCCAACTCAAGATTTCGTCACGGTCGCTGAGATGTAAATAAGGTTAGGGTATGTGATTGTTGGCGAGATTGTAGGTTAGGTTTAGGGCAAGCATTAGGGCTACGTCAAAGGTTAGGTTGTGATTAGCCTAGCCCTGTTCACATCTCGTGACCTTTGACCAAATTTGGAGATGGCCTTATGAAAGATCTAACCCTCAATAGACAATATAAACAAGCCAACACCATCTTACCATCATTGATATTTAGTTTTTTTTTTTTAAATTAAATATAAAATAGTGTGGATTAAGGTGTGATACATCTAAATTAGATAATATACATGTAAAGATAAGATCAATGGTGAGTATAAATCTGTTTATGTCACTCAACAGCTGATTAATAAATAATCCTAATTACAAATCGGATCAGTGATTTATGATGTAGGATTAATTTTTCACATGTACATGTAATTGATTAATTATAAATGTGTAACAAATGGAATAGATATTGACAAAACAAAATCTAAAATTATTCATCGATATCATTTGATGGACGTCTTTTTAATCCAATTATATGCAAGCGCAGACATTATCTTCCGTTTGTATTTTGATTTCGTTTTTTTTTTAACTACACGTAATATAATCAACACAAGTTCAATTTTAGCATGGATCAAGTTGTGAAAATTTGATATTGTCCGAAAAATGCAAATGATTATCAGTAACTTCATAGTTCACTAGAGGTCATGCCTTTTAAAATAAGCCTGCAGATTTTATTTTATAATATAATAAATATTTATTGACCCGTTTTCTTTGATGGAAAATATTGCCAACGCGAAAATGTAAAACTTGAATTAAATGACCTATGTGTTCAAACCAAATGACCGTTGTCTCTCTACGTATACCATCAGATCTAATTAAATCAGATAATTTAACCTTAGTACATGGTATCCATTATACCATAAATATGGTCAATAAGTATAATATAAATGTCAGACGCCTAAGGCATGGCCCAAGGGTAGATAATGTAATTCATGTACAAATCATAGTCAATAATACACCATCCATCAATTTTAAATCAACTGACATCGAATTTGTGCTGATGGTCAGATAGTTTGTTAGTTTAAGAGAGAGAGAGAGAAATGGGGTTTAACGTCCACTCGACACAAACTATGTCATTTCGGGACTAACATATGGTTCAATTTTATTTCCATAATTCACTTGCGCGTAGGGGTCTTTACTCTTTAGCAGTGGGAGGAAACCGGAGGACCCGGAGAAAACCCACGAGGTTGGACAACCGGGGAATCAAAACCACGCCAGTTGACACAATGACAGCCATCCAACTCCCCTTGTTAGTTTTAGATCTAGTCATATAATCCATTGCCAGCTAGGTGTAGATGTACCACATGTAGTTTTAAAAAATCAGATAGACTATAAATATAACACATCAACTATACTTCAGTTCATTCAGTTTATTAATATTTTATCAATGTGTGTCTCAAAGTTTTTGCTAGTGGTAACATAAGGTAGCCAATGCACAAACCAATGAATCGGCTGAATAAAATGTCCAACATCCCACGCTGTAAGGGTTACTGACTTATAGTATTAGAAGGTTAGACAGATATATCTAGTGAATTGTTGGTCTAGTACATATTTTATGTCTACTGTATAACACCTACATATTATGCAGTTTGTAGTACATAGCTTGGTGATCTATTTATAAATAGTTGTAACACCACATGTAAGATATATGATGATGGTATGTAGCTAGTGGTGTGTGGGTTAAAAACTAAAGTATTATTATAATAATCTTGTAGGCTGGATTTGTTAGCAATGAGTAACTCTACATGTATGTCAAATAAAATTGGGTTGAACTTCTTTCTGCACCAACTGGGCAAAAGAAGACGCACCTACGCCATGATGTGTGCTACATGTACTTGATGAGGAAAGAATATTGCCAAGACAGCAGCGATATTACCTATTCCATTTTCTGTCCAGCAATCTTTTATGTACTGAGAATGGTACACAAGGACCTTGGTCTTTATACATCCTAGTGACTAGACAAATTTCCATGTTAGACCCTCCGTCGTACACAATTGACAAGTGGAACCTTGACCGAAAAATCAAAAGGAGAATTCTCTGCCTAAACCCGTATTAACCTTGCGACCAGACAGAAACATACTGTACTGTACTTCCAAGTTAAACTTACAGCTGTATGTTGCACAAGAACATATCTCCAAATTATCTCTCAGCATCAACTGGTTAATTCAAGTGGTGTGTTTTCCCTCTCGAAGTTTGTAATTATTAGTAATCAAATGTTATTTGTCCAATCAAAAAAATGATTAATTTTTAATATTGATTAAGTTCTAGAAAATTCTGGCCACTAAAGCCGCAGAAATAAATTCATTTCCTCCTAAAGTCATGTCTTAGTAATTATCAGTCAAAAAAATTGTCCAATCATAAATGATTTTTTTTTATATTCCATCAAGTTCTAGAAAATTCTGGCCACTAAGGCCACATAATGGGCAACTAGGTCAATGATTATTGAAAATGATATATTATTTAGTGACCTTACATGGTAGTAACTTTCATCCAGAACAAGAGTTAAATAACACTCCCTGGCCACTGAATGTGTATAATCAATACAGGCAACTGGAGTAAACAAGATACATTTATTTACTTTAGTTAACAATCATAATTTGGAAAATAACCATAAAAATGTCTGTATTAATCAAATAGTTTACAAAAAAACAAAAAATCATCTGACTTAGATAAATTTTACTAGTGTTGTAAGTAAAAACATTTCCACATTCCTGGGTTGTGTTCATGGAAAAGGTCAAGGTCACTACTCGACATCCACACCGACATCAAAAGGAAAAAAACAAAAATAACATTAAGATAATTTATAAATAAGGAGGTTAGTGTATAGCTAACTGATAAAAGTTTATATAGTAATATAACATGATCTGAGGTAAAATAGATCTGAGAATGATATATCATATGAATGAGTCTGATGTTAAAAAATTTATACTAAAAATCAATAAGCAATTAAATTAAACCCTTTTTGATTCAAGTTCGACAATACCATATAATGGAAAACACTGGAAAACTGGAAAACTATCGGAAAACACCATATTATACTGAATATCAGAAAACACCATAAAACACTAAATACCGGAAAACACGCTAAATATGTAACCCGTAGTCTGGTCCTCTGTGTGCAGGGGTTAGGGTTAGGTTTTTCCGGTATTCAGTATAACATGGTGTCTTCCAGTGTTTTTCCGGTTGTTTTCCAGTATATAGTATACATGTACCTCTTCAAGTCCATATTTAAAAAAGCGTTATAGTCTAAGTTCTCCTCATTCATAGGGCATGTACGTACACGATATAATCAAAGTTTCATATTCCCGGAATTAAGCAGAAATCAATTACTGTAATACTAGTTTTGGTTTCATTTCTTTGAAAGAGATTAAATTGTATTTTGAAAGATTATGAGGAAGTCTGGTTGTTTATTAATGCACAATACATGTAGGTCAACAGTGTGATACAAAATTGCTTACATACATGAACATGTATCTTCACACTGGTTTATATGGAATTCAAATTTTATAGACAGATTTCTTTTCACTCCACAAAACAAATCAACATACGTGTATGAAATAAATGAAACTGACAATTTTATTTTTGACCCCAATCTTAGCGGTAAATTCAATTAAAACCCTTAAAGGTTACAAAAGTACATCTATTCTATATATCTTAATACAGGATTAATCAAGGGACACAGATGGTTACATGTAGACAGATAAAATGTATCTGTGAATTATCCATCTACATGTTGACATGTACATAAAATAAATATTTGATGGCCAGATTCTGAAACTGATTGAGAAATTTATACTAACAATATAAATGTACATGTATTATCAAAGTTATGGCCAAAGTCACACTGCTCTACACCCAAGTGAGCCAAAGTAGATGTCACTATTTATACCGGTACTACATATATGATGTACATGTTCAAATTTCCGTTTTCTATTTCATAACATTTTTATAATCAAAATAAGTGTCTGAACCTTAAATATTTGAGGAATTTTTAATCTCTTGTGAAAACACATAAAGCCAAAAATGGTTCAATTCCTTTTATTAAGCTTATTCACAAAGATTACATGTAAGTGGATGAGAACGGTTCGGCCATTTAATGATTTAATTTAATAATGGTGAAGCAAGGCTAAGCCTCGCACAACCAGTGTCCAGTATGGTGGTTACAACCAGACGGTTCAGTTCACACATCTTGTCAAGGCTAATATCTTTACTCAGATTCTCAGAAAAAAGTAAATTGTATGAAATTTTCAATATATTCATTTTGCATTTTTTATTTATGAACTAATGTAGTTCATAAATAAAAAATGCAAAATGAATATATTGAAAATTTCATACAATTTACTTTTTTCTGAGAATCTGAGTAAAGATATTATAGCAATACCAACCAGCTCTTAATCTAAATCTTACATAATGTATCTTTAATATATTGTCTGAACAAATTGCAAATAAACCGTGACCTTACTTTGAGACTGATCTGCTAATGTACATGTATCGGTCAATGACAAGTTACTTTAATCAATCACCGGTCCGTAATCTACACACTACACAATATTGACCAGTTAGGTGTGTACTGTTTAAGTCTAAGTACAGTAAGAAGAGCATTATACATGTACATGTGTGGATATGTATGAATAGCCTATCTCATAACCCGTCGTACATGCTACCAACGGCAGCCTACGGGGAAAATTTTTAGTAAACCCATGTGGCTGTCAAGACTTTTGGTCCTGCACATACCACTGGTACTGTACATGTACATACAAAATTTTCACCCGGTTTCTTGAGGCTGGTCTGGGACCTGTGCGTGTCAACTAAATGTGTAATACAGAATAATGATGTTTATGTCATTTAGATGTCAAAATATGATAGAAGACACAGAGACCATCAATTATATTGGCAACAAGTGATACACATTTATAAGCTTACATGCACTGTATTTAGTGTAGACTTCAACTTAAAGATTATCCCACCATACTATGATGAAGTATCAGTTACATAATATCCAATAGACTGTCCAGTCTCTGTCAAAGTTATTATAAAACAAACTCTCGATCAAAAGAACGTGACGGTAGCGTTCGTTTTATAGCCAATATTGTAAAAATTACTTTTTGAATTGAGATATACATTGTACATGTAAGGTATCATAAGACAGTTTGAATATATGATTAATTTCAGTGGCATTGTTTGTTGTCCATAAACATTAAAAATAGCTTCTAAAATCAATTTTGACAAATAATAATTAGGGAAAACCCCAGCGACTGACATTTCAATTTGTGTGTGTGTGGCCTACATTTGTATAATGTCTGAGTGAAGACATCCAAGTCTACTGTAATACATGTAAGCTTATAATACATGTACATCATATTTGTAGGTCAATGCTTTCCCCATGGTAAAAAAGCTTATTTGATAGAGTACAATTTATAGTAATAAGCTTAGCTTATTATAATAATATGAACACTTAATACTTAATAGGACACAAGACTTGTATACCTTTGTTTAGCATGTACATGTCTTATCAAACTCTGATTTAATTATTAAATCTGATGTGTTGATCTAGTTATTTTTAAGATGGATCAGCTTATTATATTATCTACATTAACTTTTCTTTTATATCAGCAGATACATGTATGTAGAGCCAAACTTTTTAAAGGCTTGATGTATATTGTCAAGTTTAATCTCTAATAGGAATATCAGTCCAAAAATGGTTTAAATCATCGATCTATGTTGCTCGAGCGTAACAAGATGCCGTTGTCTGTTACATGTATTGGTCGCAGAGAAATCTGATGGGGAAATCCGTTTGAAGCCAGTAGATTTACTGGTGTTGATATTTTGAATAGCAGTATTTTTTTTAAGCAATATTTTTATTCAGATTTGTATCTGAATAGGGATTGGGGAAACAGGCATAGCCTATATTAAACCCCTTTCCCTGTCAGATATAGATACTTGTCATTACATGTATTTACATTTTAGAAATAAATAATCAATGTACAAGTGAAAATATGATTTACAGTGAGTGTGTTATAGTTGTCTCTGGAATGGATTTACATTTTAGAAATAAGCAAGCAATGTACAAAAGAAACTATAATTACAATGAGCGCATTATAGTTGTCCCTTGAACTGTCTGGTGATTTCAAAAAATAAGTGAGCAGTTCTAAAAATATTGAGGGAGTTTTCCATGTCGTCAATTTCGTGCAATAAGACAGTAGTGTTTCGATGGATAGTAGGTAAATTATTTATTGTATTCTTTTGTGCATCTGAATAATATAAGGAGCAATTCAATAAAAAATGTTCATTATCTTCAAAGTGATGACCACATTTACAGCATGGACTGTCGGAAATGTGACGTAAAATTTTATGTCCGTTTAGGTTGACTGCAAGAGAGACGCAGTTTAGAATGAATGATATGGCTTGTTCAGGATTCAAACGAAAAAGTTTTTGGTGGTTTTGAATCTTGAGCCATAAGTTTCGAATTGAAAATATTTAAAGAGATATCAAACTTTTAAACAACTGACAGATTCACTGGGTTTTTTTTGATAATGTTTTTAATATGTTTGTTCCATTTGCAATATTGTTGAAAAGTCTAGCTTGAATGTTTGTGATGTGGGACCTCCTCGATAGGAACACTATTTACAGTACGGGTAGGTAAAATAGGATTTTGTTTGGTTGTCGGTGCTAATGTTTGGTCTTTAGTGGGTTGAAGGATACCAGCCATGATTTAGCCCATGAGTTAATTTTATCCAGGTCATTGTTCAGAATATTTGCGCATTGGGTAGGATCATCAGTTTTCAGATATGCTAAATATTAAGCATGTATTAAGTCTGACATGAGAAGTTTTAGGGGAAATGCAAATGACAGGACACATCAGGCCTTATCAGTCGATATCATGCATGAAACAACTGACAGGGACACTGAGGCTAATTTCAACATGTAACAGAACATAATAATAAAATAAAATCTATAAGAAGATCACGGACTTGGTACACTCTACATAACTATAAATGAATGCCTAATCCAAATACATATTGTGTACATGTATACATCAGCCTAATTAATGATTTTTTTTTGATTTTTTACCTCAATCAAACCATTACACTGAACTAAACTGGTTAGCCCTTGGAACACAGGCGATCAGACATGTGTTGCCAACAATACCACTGGTCTCAACCTTCACTTGTTATTCCAGACAAATGTTCGCATGACTTGCACCACAATAGTTACAATGCTAACAGCTGGTTATCCGGACATCACCTTTACTTGTTTACTTCCAGGCTAGTGCTGGGTATTGCCACTGCAGTCATGATACGATACATACATGTATTGCGATTCAGGTGCTACGATCTGATTCATATCACGACTCACAACCAGGTCAATATTTACATGCTATGTACCTAGTAAACAACGGGATAAATGAATAATCAATATTTTTAGTCTTACCGATGTCGTAGAAATAAAATGTTTTATATCACGATATTATTGACGTGGATCAAAATAATGACCAAAACAATTTAAGACTGTTTGTGTACCTGTGGATAATGTGTGACATGGATTATTAAGAGTAACAGGTTACTTAATCAAGCAAAAAACAACATTAAAAAGAATTGTAGATTCAGCACTTTGCGATTCAATACGAGAATCGCGAGTTGATATACATGTATAGTGCCAGCACTAATCCATGTAGGCTACAGTCCCGGAAATGATGATTCCAGTTGTACCTGATAAAATGCCGAACACTAATAATACTAGTACCGGTACCCAACATTCTGAATTTAGTGTCGGACATGTGAAGAAAATCTATTAAATGACAAATCACTGCCAGACAATGATTGGCATCAAGATTGATTGTGTCTGACAAAGTCTGAATTTGTGACTGGCAATGACTGTTGTGACAGGTGCCTTAATTTAAGACTTGCAACAACATGTATGTGTATTGTTTAATTGACTAAGTATCAGCTTAGCTAAAAAGCCATTATTTTTTTTTTTAACTAATTTTAAAAAATTGTTTTAAAATATATTTCCAGGTGGATATATTATAAATAATTATTCCACAGACCACAATATGGACTTTGAATAATTTAATGGAACATTACACGTTGACTGGAACTTGACATTCAACCGGAAGTGAAAGGAAGAGTTACCTCCATTTGCAATTCAAGCTTCTCATCGTTGGCTTCATTCATTTTCAAAATAAAATTTTCAACGCTCTAATTCCCATCCCTCTCGCCTTTGTATATTTTGTAAAATATTTGTTGTAACTTAACAGATTACTATTTTTTGTAAAACAATGTATTATTTTCATGCTAGGTTTTAAGTACGGGGCGTTATTCCATCGGCGTGTCTCGCTTTCAACTCGCCGCATTGTGACCCTCGGCTTGTTTGGCCGGACATTTGACTAAAAATGGAAGTGTGGTGCAATCGTAACCGATTTTTTCAGGGTTATATTTCATTTCCAATGAATAAATATCATAAAAAAGGTAATAAAACAGATAGAACAGAACAAGAACATATTAATAAAATGTTTCAAAAACACATATCTTACCCAAGAATATCTGATCTGTAAATTTTCCCTTTAACTCGCCAAGGCATGAGACCGCCATGTTCCCGAAGCAAATGTTTTTCAGAAGAATGGTTCAAACCATAAGTACTGGCACGATTGTCTCTTTTTCGCTTATGCGGCGTGTAGATATTATATCCATTGTTCCTGTTGTAGCCGATCTGTTTATTTTCCGTTAACGGAATAAAATCCTTGTTATTATGGTCCGAGTTTAGATACATTTTCTCCACGCCTTTTTGGGCTTCCCAGATTCTTGTCCAGAAGTCATGTGCGGGTCCCAGCTGTTCAGGAGTGAACCAGGCAATTTTTGGATCCATCCAAAACGGCTAGGAACACCTTATGATGACAGTAATCAACTGTCCCCCTAGTCCCAAACGGATCGTTCACTGACCTTCGGGTGGAGGGGATAAAACACAGCTTTTTTTTTCAAATCACAGAAAACGAAGGTACTGCTGCGCATGCGTCATGCGAGCGGTTTTGACATTTATTGCCCGGCACTATGTATACTTAACTCATAATCGAGCACATGCTCTTCACGCACTGGTTAGAGTAAGCTATGTCGGTGAGCTCTTTCAACCGGTGACAGGTACTCTCTCAATGATCTACTTGGCTATTGATATGTTTAGACAGTTGAAGTAATACTAATACCAACAAATTAATCTTCTATAAAAATTTAGAATCCTCTAGAACAATTAGATTTTGTCATAACAATTAAATTGAAGTGCTGGAGTTTATTTATTGTGCATTAAAAAAACATCAAAAAAAACTATTTTTAATTTGATCAGAAATGTGACGTAAACTTTAGATCTGCTTGAATTAAATTTCAAAATACCAAGAAATTGTTTTGAAATTCCTGTTACTCAATACAAATAGGCTATTTTGAAATAAAACTAATAGTTATTTTTGCTCAAGGTCAGGGTGCTTTGTGGCGCATGTTTTGTACCGGAATATAGTATTTCATTTCATCAGCCACATCACTCAAACAACAAAATCCTCAAATTTACATATTTAATGGGAAAATATATTACATGAATATGTTTTTCTGCTATTTTGGGAGACGGTATGAGGGCGGGCTTCTATCTAGGGCCCACCACCTGGATCCGCCACTGCCCCAAACAGATGGTATCTAAATAAATGCGTGAACACACTTTTTTTTTCTGAACGTCATATACATATCACTAAGAAACAAAGTGTGGGCAAATATAACTGTCCAAAAGTCGATATATCAGGTTATTTTAATGAACGTTTTTTTTTTATTCTCCAAATATTTCATTTAATTGGCAAAATGTTCTTAGTCTTTACACTATCTAATTTTTGTTGGTTAACAGAAGTCACTTTGATAGCTGTTCTCAAAGTTATATTTATAAGAGCGTCGAGCATCTTGCTGTGGGAGAGAGAAAGAGAGAGCAATGTTGTTTTTTTCCCATTTCGAGACTAACGTATGGTTCAATTTTATTTCAATAATTCGCTTGCGCGTACGGGGTTTTAGCAGTGGGAGGAAACCGGGGGATCCACAGAAAACCGACGAGGTTGGACCGACCAAAGGTAAAATGGCGGCACGCCCTCAAAGCCCAATGTCGTTAACTTGGGGAATCTGGTTGAGCAGTCAGTAAACGCAGATGTGTGGAACGCCGAGGGTTTGTAATACATCTCAACGGATCCACGAGTGGAAAATAGGCTGGGAACCCCTGTTTAGGAACATTGTGTTCAATTGAATATAAAAATTTGTATAAGATATTACACAATTTGCTTTCAACTACAACAATTAGTCCCAAATCGATTGGGGGTTTAATGGCGCGTTGTATCATGGTCTTTCGATTCTCCGGTTGTACGCGACAAAGAGTAGGGTCGCCTGTCCAACCTCGTGGATTTTCTCCGGGTCTTCCAAGTGCTAAAGACCCCTACGCGCAAGCGAATTATTTAAATAAAATTGAATCATATGTTAGCCCCGAAATGACCGAGTTTGTGTCGAGTGGACGTTAAACACCATCTCATCTCTCCCAAATCGATTGACCCAGCCTCACTAAAGATAATGGAGTACCAAAATATATCATTCTTATTGAAACGTCGCTGAAATAGTTATCGTTGTTTATTACGAATTTAACGTCCAATACATTGAACATAGTTTTAAGTTATTTACACATAGTATTAATTAATAAAAACAGTATCACTTTAAAACACGATGTCGTGAGAACTGAGAGCGGGTCTTCTTCTCCCTTTGTCATAGTTAAATCAATTTAAATCAGGAGGTCCAGGAATTTAATGTTTGGTATCATCAATGTTATTCCATAATAGTTATTTTAATTTATGTTTTTATCTGATTTCGCTGTCAATATATGGCTTCTTACTGCAGTGTTAAGTTGATTAATACCTTTACGTAAACGAAATTTAATCATGAGATCAACCAATTACAATAAAAGGATATGGTTTGTTCACGCTATTTAGGTGATTAAGACAAGCTATGCATGACGTAGAGGCCTAAATATAGACCAAAAATAAATCAGATTAATAACCTATTACTACTACTAGATACGGATTAATGACTGCTTCCACCGAGTGTGATATCGCAGACATTGTTAGCTCTACTCTATGTATTTGTTTGTTACGGCGATCAACGCAGAATATGACCTGATATATAGGTTAATAACACCTTCTGAGAGATTATATAACACGTCACGGCTGATTTCTGATCGGAGAGAGAGAGACCACTCGACACAAAATAGGTCATTTCGGGACTACTATGTGGTTTAATTTTTATTTCAGTAATTCGATTGCACGTAGGGCTCTTTAGCAGTGTGTGTGGTGGGGGGGGGCACGGAGAAAAACCCACGAGGTTGGTCAGACCACCCTACCCCCTCTTCTCACGTACAGGCGGGGAATCCAAACCACGTCACTTGATTTAATGACAGACCTTATGATCTAAAGCGGGCGCGTTAAACTATTCCTAAATTAAGAACGGTGGACGGACTAGACACGAATAGTTTGAGATAGGATCCTTCTTATCGATATGTTTATAGTAAATAGTTTATATTTCGTATATATTTTTTCTGGCCATTAATGCACGGACAATTTGCATTTATTTATGAAAAATATCATTTATTTAACGGTGTTCCGTCCTGTATCAAATAATATTACAGATGTCGTTTATCAAGATCAAATTTAAACACACCGTGCATTGTCGAATCTATGAGTCCGGTGGCCTATACAGTTCCGTTGTGTCATGTCACGTATTCTTATCAGCGATGGGTGTGTGTGTGTGTGGGGGGGGGGCAGTTGATCCGAGGGTTCAGGGCTTACCAGTACGCCCGTGTAATATACCAATTTATTAATACCACTTTAAATAATAATATTTTTTGTATCAATATTTAATTACTTTTCCATTAGTATCAGTGCCCGACAAGGACAGCTGTCTCGTCGTTCGGATGGGACGAAAAACCGAGGTCCCGTGCATACATTGGCGTGTACTTAAAAGATCCCTTGGCAGTTTGAATTCAATATAAGAGTAGGTCATAGTGCTGCTGCCCGGGCAAAATTTCCCCCATATCAGTGCCCGATAAGGACAGCTGTCTCGTCGTTCGGATGGGACGAAAAACCGAGGTCCCGTGCGTATATTGACGTGTACGTAAAAGATCCCTTGGCAGTTCGAATTCAATATAAGAGTAGGTCATGGTGCTGCTGCCCGGGCAAAATTCCCCTCAAAGCACACTGCATGGCGTATGCCCGTCTTCTTTAGCCCAGTTGGAGCAGAACAGAAGGACGTTAATCCCTATTTCATTTGTATTGAAAATGGGAAGCATGTGATTGACGCATACGTGCACACAATCAGTACATGTACTGAATAAGTTCTCATGTTTATACATAATACAATACCAGACACGTGTTTCATCGACGAAATAGTTGTTGCTTTAATATTGTTTATGATTTAATTGTGGAGGTATGTGTATACAAACGCCCAAAATCATCAGATCCGGGTGGGCGGCTGAATGGTTAGCGTGTGTGCGCTGTATCATAAAATCTGTCATTGAGTCAACTGGCGTGGTTTCGATTCCTCGGTTGTACGTGACAAGGAGTAGGGTCGCCTGTCAAAACCTAGTGGGTTTTCTCCCCACTGCTAAAGACCCCTACGCGCAAGGGAATTATTGAAATAAAATTAAACCACATGTTAGTCCCGAAATGACCTAGTTTGTGTCGAGTGGACGTTAATCCCCATTTCTCTCTACCTCTATCTCATCAGCTCCGTTGGTGCAGAAAAGTAAAACGTTAAACCCCATTTCATTCAATGTATAGAAATGACAAATCTGTAGAAAACGAAACTCACGTTCAATCATATTTTAAAACATCAAAACATTCAAACAATAATTATGAAGTGTAATTCTTTAAAATAAAACACGAAAATTTAAAAACATCCGAAACTGGACATTAAAGGTCTACGTCTCTTCTATCATTAGGTTATTCAGGGACTGACTGAATACCAAAATACCAGAGGCTACTTTGCTTAAACAACGTAAACTCAAAACTAAAAGGGGGACCTCGAACTACATGAGAGCCCCATCTTTAAATATAATGACAATGCACGGGAGTTTGTTCCATTTCGTCTTATTCGCCTTTAATGTTAGTGGCTTGGGAAGTGTTTAGAGGAGGTGGTCCATCTGTTTCCTCAACAAAAGATTCGTGGTGTCCCATTGTGCTAAATTTAAAAAAGGGTTGATGACATCATCAATAATACCAGTTCTTTCATTGTTGATCTGGTGTCCCCGAATTTTAAAATGGCGACGTTTTCTGTACAACCGTCAAATTCGTTTACCTTTTGTTAGGAATTCAGATTTTGACCAGAACTTTCATAGTCAGATTCTGATCTTGATTACTTCATATTGCTCAACGAGTTTCAGACATTGCTGGTCTTCATTGGCCCAGTCGGTGCAGTACAGTTGGACGTTAAACCCATTTCATTTCCTCGTGGAAAGTCAGCGTTTACCACGCCTTTGTTTTGTTTGTCGAAATGCACTGTTAATTGCGTCTCCACCCTTCCCAATTCACAGTTATTGTTAGTTAAGTTCCGCCAGTTACGTCATGTACAAATTCTTCAATTTAGAATATTTAATTCTATAGTTGGCTCATAGGAACAAGCTGGGGGTTAACGTCCACTCCCCCCTAGGTTGATATCTCAGACAAGTCTCTATACCTTAGAGTAATAAAATACGGGTGTCAATCACGCGTGTCCATTCACGTCATATGGTCGACAATAATGTGTATTGTTTATGATGTATCTAAAATAAAACTAATAATTCATATTCACGTCCAAAATATCCAGTTGTTGATCAAGTTGTTGACTAAACGGATTGCGATTTAGGACATATTTGAAAGCATACCGGATGATGTAACATATTTATGAGATCTGCATCAGCGTTGATTTCAAGTCTTTTATTACATAATTGTGTAAATTTATCCTCATTATCGAATACCGCACTACTGAATGGATATGATAGATCGGGAAGTATTTAAATAAACAAACTATTCCTGCTATCTTCCAAGGTGTATTCTTATTTAGTTCCATTGCGTACATCATCCAACAATTAGTAGTTATTAGTTCCTTTGTGTATATCTCATGTCTATTATTATTACGGAAGTTCCGTTCTCTACTATTAGTTCCGTTGCGTATTTCACCCCCCTTTATTAGTTCCGATGTATATATACATCTTGGGTTGATTCCGACCTCTATTGTTTCAGTGATCACGTGTAGCCAATCCCATGTGTGTTAAATGCGTTAATTCCGTTAATTGTTTTAATGCTGAATATCCCGTGATTCACCCGATGTACCGGTATCTACCGCCTTAGATCCGATGTGTGTGCCGCTTTCGGATGCATGATAAGATAAGATGTTTATTGCATAGACATCCATTAAGGACAGCATGCATACACGTAGGTTTAAACTGAATCACATACATTACACATAAAGGTTCCGGCTTCTTCGGAATACGAGAAGAGAACGTGTCGTGAACACAGAAGAGAACGCGAGTGGCAATTAGACCACAGTGTATAATATTATTCAATTTGATTATTTTATCTCTAGGTTTTATCAAAATCATTTCTGTCATTATGTACAATATATAAAATATATAAGTATTTTGGTATTATATAAGTAATTAAACAAAACAAATTACAGTATACTCAAACACCAGTCAATTCTCAGAAAACATTCATAACACTGAATCATCCATTTTTGAAACTATACAACTGGGTAATATTTTGAAAGCTATAATTTATATATTATGGTTGGTGATATAAATTACATTGTTAGTTATATGGTCCTTTATGTTCAATACTGAAAACCTGAAAATATCATTTAATTTTTTGATAATAAGACAAAAAAGAAATTTGCCTTCAATTTTTTACAATGAGTTCTGGCATTTAATCTCCGATTTGTGAAACGAAATGAGCTTTAACGTCCTACTTTTCTGATCAACTAGGCTAGGAGCAAATCTTGCCCCTAGAGCGGCCTACTTTTATTTTGATTTCCAACAATCGGGGGATCTTTAATGTGCTTCAAATGCTATCCACTATATCTTGTTTCATCCATCCAAACAACTAGGCATTTTTTTACCACATCGCCCAGCACAGGGAACTACAAAAGATTATCTGTCCTTGACCCAGTTCTAGTTGGACACAATCTTTATATTTCTAAATGCCTTTTAACAGTTTCTATATAACAAAAATAACCCCTTAACAGGGCTAGAAAGGTACCATGATTGGAAGGTCCAATTAAATAAAATACAATCTACGAGAGAACCAGACAGGGTTCAGCTGCCTCATCGGTAGTCAGCCTATCCTTAGATAATCCAGCCTGCGAGCAATGAACCTAAACTCCTGAACCAGTCAGATTCACAGAAATTTCACAATGAATTACGCTTGGATGATATTTAAAAATACTGATTATGTTTTTTTCAAGCTGGCTAATTATTTTAAAATATACTTTCTGAAACCTAAAGACATCACAGATAGATGGGAGGGAAGAGACATATGAATAAATTGGAATCATTCATTAAAATACTCTATAGTTTATTATATCAATTAATTTATCACACTGTTTTTTTAACGCACAGCAAATGTTTGCTTAGAGTACTCTGGAAAAACGTCTTCGATTAATTGTTTTTTATTCACTTTTCCCATGGCGTTTCTAGGTATAAAGTCTAAACACCTGATCACGGTTGGTATTTGATAAGGGGTCATCTTGTTACAGGCCCATTGTTTTAATTCCACTTGACTGAGTGACGTGCCGTCTTTTAAAACTAAAACAGCACCAACTTTTTGACCCCAAGTCATATCTGGTAGTCCAACAACAGCACATTCACGGATGTTATGATGGGTTAATAAATGACGTTCTATGTCTAAAGCTCCGATTTTAAATCCACCACTTTTAATAATATCCACAGAAGTACGACCAACTATTTTATAAACGTTGTCTTCATACACACAAGTATCACCTGAAAAGGTTATGTAGTAAACTTATAATCCTTAGTAAATTTAGGGCAGGGTGTTAAACTTACAATTCTTAGTAAATTGAGGGTAGTGTGGTAAACTTTCAATCCTTAGTAACTTGAGGGTAGGGTGGTAAACTTAAATCCTTAGTAAATTGAGGGTAGGGTGGTAAACTTACAATTCTTAGTAAATTGAGGGTAGAGTGGTAAACTTAAATCCTTAGTAAATTGAGGGTAGGGTGGTAAACTTACAATTCTTAGTAAATTGAGGGTGGGATGAGTAGGTGCTGGTGTTGATACTAATGTCTGTCATTTAGTCATGTGGTGTGGTTTCCTTCCCAAATCTGTACATGACCAGGAGTAACCCGTCTACACAACCTTATGGTTTTCTCCAGTTCCTCCAATTTCCTTCCACTGCTAAAGACTCTACAGTCTACGCACAAGCGAATTATAGAATTAAAATTCACCTATGGTAGTTCCAAATTTACCTAGATTGTGTCAAATGGACATTCAGCCCCATTTCCCCCCCCCTCCCCCTTAAATAACTGCTACAGAATATTGAGAATATCTTTCCAAGTCCTAAAACATTAATCATTTTGGGATCCAGTTTCACATAATTTTAAACACAACCCTGGCTTAAACCGGACAGTGGCCGGATAGTGGCATTACAGCCTATTCTTATATCAAATTCCAACGGCCAACAGATCTTTTACATGTACACTAATGTGTAGACAGGACCTCGTTTTTTTTGTACCATCCGAATGACTAGACAGCTAAACATTAAGCAATATCTGAAAGACTTATTATCATGTTAAAGATGGACATATAGAGGATGACAGATAAATATTACTGTACCAATGTTTTAGCATAAGAAAATAGAATACAGGACAGGTAACTACTACAACCAAATTTCAAATTAAGTTTTCAGTACCTGTTCTAAACCAACCATCATTAGTAAAAGCCTGTTTTGTGGCGTCTGGCTTTCTCCAGTAATTACTGAATACAGATGGACCTTTTACCAATAATTCTCCAGATTCTCCTTCTTTACCTGTCGATAAATATACAATACTGTAAAAACAGACTATATTGTTGTAGTTTGGAGACAGCAAGATTTCATGCATGGGGCCCCTGAGGGAGTATGTAAAGGGAAACAACTCCACTTTATGGATACAAAATTTTCAAGAGAGAAAGAAAGAGAGAGAGAGAGAGAGAGGTTTAACTCCACTTGACACAAACTAGGTCATTTCGGGACTAACATAACATAAGGTTCAATTTTAGCAGTGGGAGGAAACTGGAGGACCCGGAGAAAACCCACGTGGTTGGACAGGCGACTTAACTCCTTGGGAAATCGAAACCATGGCAGTTGACTCAGTGACAGACCTTATGATATAATGCGCACACGCTAATCATTCTGCCATCTAACCCTTTTTTTCTGTGACTGAATCGGAGTAGCAGAAATCAACTCCCGGTCAGAGCTTTCCATAATCGATTGACATGTTTAATGTCATCTATCCGCTTGACAAGCTTCTCCAACATTTTCAGAAGCAAACACTTGCAGTTACTGGTAACAATGGGGGCTGGAATACTGTCAGTTATACATAACTGAATGATTTCGACCAGATATCAACCGCTACTCAAATGTTACAGTCATTACAGAGAGAGAGAAAAATGGAGGTTAACGCCCACTTGACACAAAATAGGTAATGTTGGGACTAACATTCAATAATATGCTTGCATGTAGTGGTCCTTAGCAGTGGGAGGAAACCAGAGGAACCAGAGGAAACCCACAAAGTTGGACAGGTGGGGAATCAAAACCACACCATTTGAATCGATGACAGTCCTTGTAATCGACGTGCACGCATTAAACCATTTGATCACCCCCTTTATCCCCACTCATTACAGTGGTATATTTTTGTTTAAACTTAAAACAAAACTATAAAATATAATGAAACAAAGTATTAATCATATACCCAAGAACGGTATACAATCTAAAATTACTAGTGTATGTGTAAAACATCAATAAAGATAAGAAAAACAAGACACCCTCCTAATGCCCCCGTCAGACTAGCTGCGACCGCACAGCGACCAGAAAATGCACAAGGTCGCCGGCAAACGTGAACAAAACGCCATAAAATGTCCCCAAAAATTACAAACTTGAAAAAAGTCACGTTCTCACAGCTTTCTAGGTCAGATCGCAAAACCTTGACGTTTGTTTTGAGCATGCTCAAAACAAACGCTGTGACTTGGTGATCTTTAGCGATCATGGAGACCACAGCACGCTAATGGCGATCTTGATGCGCTCTGAGACCATTTTCCGTCGCCGTAGCAGCGCAGTAAGGACACCACCCCAGTCTGATGGGGATATAATAAACACCAACACCAAGGTTGATCATTCTAGCTGGGAGGAGATTCATAATTTCTATAATTCGCCTGATCCATTTGTAAATTATTTGCAATAAAATATGTTTAAACCAACATTCTTGCTCAATTAGAATTGTGACAGACAGATAGTAAGACAGACAGACGAACCATTTTAACAGTTCCTTGCTTTCTTTGAAACGAGTGGACCAATAAACCTGATTTAAATTTACCTGATACAATGTTTGTTATTTTTGAATCCCCCTGTGCAATAACATCATATCCATGTAGAGCATAACTGTTGGGCCTTGATATACAAACTTCAACTCTAGGCATTGGATGTCCTACATAACCTGAGAATTTAAATAAATTACTTCAAATGAAAAATATAATTCTTTCAATGGAGACGCACGTAGATTGATTTATAATACCATATAGAGGCCGGTTCATTGTTTATCAATCAGCTTTTTTAAACATCAGTTGGCTGTAGTAGCTGACCATGATCAGCCGTTGCGTCACTTTCCGTATCTTCAAATCTTTGTTACGCATCTACCGTAGCAATGATCTGTGTGTTAAAATTATATTTGGAATGTGTTTAACCAGTTCTATCACATATGTGATAATGACCGACACCAATATTGTCCTTTAATTCTCAGCCAGTTTCTCCTTTGACTAAAATTCTTCCCCTTATTCGTCCCCGAACTAAAATTCTTCTCCAGTTCTTCCCCTGACTAAAATTCTTCCCCGGTTCGTCTCCTGAATAAAATTCCTTCCCAGACTAAAAATCCTTCCCAGACAAAAAATCCTTCCCAGTTTATCCCCTGAATAAAATTCTTTCTCTGCTTTTCCCCTCGACTAAAATTCCTTCCCATTATATTTGAAATTCCTTTCCTGGGAAGAAAATTTTATGGTTTTACCATACAGCTACTATGATATAAGAAGAAGAATAAATAAACAAAACCATACCTGGACATCTTTTCCCATGTAACGGGTTACTAAGAGCCATTCCTATTTCAGTCATCCCATAGCGTTCTAGTAATTGGTGACCGGTTATTTTTGCCCATTGTTTCATTACTGGTTCTGGTAAGGCAGCCGAACCACTAACCATTAATCTATTATACAAAATAAAACCTGGTCATATAATTACAAATATAGACAAAACAAAACAGATTAAAGGAGCTTAACTAGAAAGTAAAAAATGAAATGAAATGAAATGGAGTTTAACGTCCTACCTTTCTGCTCCTAAACTGGGCTAATAAAGACGAGCATACACCATACAGTGTGCTATGAGGGAAATTTTGCCTGGGCAGCGGCACTATGGCCTACTCTTATATCGAATTCCAACTGCCAAGGGATCTTTTATGTGCATGCCAATGTGTACACGGGACCTCGATTTTTCATCCCATCCGATCGACTAGACAGCTTTCCCTTGTCAGACCCTCCGTTCTGCATCACTGACAAGGGGAAACCACACCGGAAAATCTGGATGAACTTTCTCGGCCAATGCAGGGATCGAACACCCGACCTCCAGACTAGCGAGCCAGCATCTTACCTACTTAGCCACCGTGATCCCCTAAAAACTAAAATCACGAATTCGAATTCAATATTTTAATCAATAGTGATGCTTTTCTCTTTCCGTGACAATATAACCTTGATTACACTATGGACATAATGATTTCGAGCACTATTTGTAATGAACTAAGAAAAATATATTCCAGAAGACCATGCTGAAGTAATTCAATATGGCTGATTCACAAATGACAAAATAATGACAAAACAACCTGTGTAGAATGGATTAAACATACATTATGCAAGAGCTAAATCTGTCTATTGCAGGTCTTTCTTTAGGCCTGAAATGTTTTCTAAATTATTAATTAGACATTAACTAACTTATCCAGGCCATAATCAACTCTCGATGGCATCGGATTTCTCCGATATTAAATAGATTAGAACAGTTCAGCCATATTTTGATTTAAGCTAAAAATGGAGGAGCGAGACTTAGCTTCGAACAACCAGTACGGTGGTTGAAATTATTGCACACGTCTCGTCAAACATTCAAAGGCTAATGTCTTCGCTCGCAATAGAATAATTTGAATGAAATTTTCAAATTATTCATTTTACATTATCTATTTTCGAACTATTAAAGCAAGAATGGCTAGCTCTTTATCTAAATCTTACATAATGTATCTTTAAAGGAGCTTAATCTATATTCTTTGGAACCTATAAATAGACACAAATGGGTCACAACACATATAATAATGTAATAGGAATGTATAAACTGATCTACATTCAATCGTTTCTGTTTTAACTGTAATTTCTAATCAGTTATGTTAGGTGAAATACACAAAGAGTGGCGGTCTTTGGCATTTGGTTATTCCAATCTACATCAGTAATATTCTCCTGTCGGATATGTTTCGTCTCGTTCATCGAGTCACTTCATTGCAAATTTTCATTTTGTCTTAAATATTGGATACCATAAGCTTATCTTTTCATGGCAAGATAACAACATCAATGTTGATTTAAAGTGACCCATGAGTCGTGTGTGCAATGTCGAAGACTGCGGATGATACTGAGTTAGAGACTTGCTTTCTTTAAGCAGGCGAAAAGGACTGTCATTCAATTCGAACTGTTTGTATATTTTTGAGTCAAGTACAGTGGTTTTGATTCCCCACTTGTACAAGGGCTGGCTGAAAAGTTCTAAGCCTATCTGTGAAAGACCTGTCAATGTATTTTTCTACATAATCCCCTTCGAGGTGTACACACTTTTGCCTGGATGCTGGTCAGAAAGAAAGTTTCTTCAGCCTCCCTAAAAAATCGTTCACAGCTGACATGACATCGTCATAACTAGGAAAATTAGGAACAGCTAGTTCCTTTTTCATTTTTGGAAAAAGATCTCATCCATGGTTACAAATCTAGCCAAAAAATCATCAGGATCTGCTTCAAAATGATCCAGATCATCAAAGGACGTCAGGGATCTGACATGTTTCTGATCCGTACTCAAGAGCTTTGGCACCCATCTTGTTAAAACTTTTGTCATTAGTAAATCGTTGGCGATAATCTGCCCACATTATTGGTAATATTTAGAGTGGTCAATCACCATGTCATGCCATGCATCTGGGTAATGGTTTCTTCAGTGGTTTCTGTTGATTGCTACTCTTTCTGCCAGGCTTAAATTCTGTAGTCCACTTCTTTACTGTGGTAAAGGAAGGGGCATCATCCCCTAAAGATAAGACCATGTCGACATGTATCTGTGTTGGGGTCAGTCCTTTAAGTTGGAGGTACTGGATGACTGCCCTGTAGCCAGTTTTGTCCATTTCTGGTGATTTCAATGGGTATATTCACAAGATGGTCTGGTACAAAGACAGTAATAACCCTATGGTTTATTCAATGGTAGTACTTGTTAGTGACAAAAGTTTGTTTCAACCCAATTGATCTATCCTTTTCATGCTCAGAACCTATCAGCCAGCCAGCGTATTTAACAAGGAATAGGGTAGTTTGTCAAACCACATGGTTCTTTTTCCCAGGTCACCCCACAGCTAAAGACCCATACGTGGAAAAGACTTATTGAAATATAATTGAACGATATGTTAGTCAAGAATTGATCTAGTTTATATCGAGTGGACATTAAACCCCATATCTCTTTCTCTCTATTTTATACATAAGTCATATTTCTTCATACCTTATCTTATTTTCACATACAGCCTTTATATAATTCTCAGCATAGCCTCCTCTACTCACTGTCTCATAATAATGCTCCATCAATTTAACATAAATGGTTGGAACAGCCATAAAAACATTGATTCGAAGACCTCCCATATTTGGTATTGGATCTACGAGCCCTGACCATACCTGCAAATGAAATGAAACTTGAGTTCAAGGTCTTACTTCTCTGTATCAATAGGCTAATGAAGATCGGCATCATGATTACCTGTAAAAACCATAATCAGGTCTGCCACATAACAATATTAGAACTACTTATGCGTAAAAAATAGGTCTTAATAAATGAAATAAAATGGGGTTTATCATCCTACTTTTCTGCACCAACTGTCTACTCTTCCAACTGCCAAGGGATCTTCAATTAACGTAATGTCAATGACATACAGGAGACCTTTGTTTCTCGTACCATCCAAACAACTAGGTTTTATTTAATGCTAGGCCCTCCAACCTGCAACACTAGGAAACCAGAGTGGAAACTAGCAAGGAACTCTCTCTGTCAAGCGAGTGATCGAAATTCATACCTCCTCCTACAAACAACTTTCGTCAATCAAAAGTGTAATACTGAGACACAACTGTCAAGAACACTAGGCTGCTAATCAACTTCATTTAAACACAAATGTTTGGGAGATCAAATCTGAAATAGTCTATATTTGACACTTATGCCATTGCAGGGCAGAGAGAGAGAAATAGGGTTTAACATCCACTCGACACAAACTAGGTCTAACATATGGTTTAATTTTATTTCAATAATTTGCTTGCGTGTTGGGGTCTTTAGCAGTGGGAGGAAACCCGGAGGACCCGGAGAAAACCCACGATGTTGGACAGGCGACCCTACTCCTTGTCACATACAACCGAGGATTCGAAACCATGCCAGTTCACTCAATGACAGGCCTTATGATAGAGCGTGGACTTGCTAAACATTCGGCCATCCAACCCCCCGCGATTGCAGGGGGTTGGGGGAGAGACAGGGACAGCATTCTTGTACCCAGATTCAAATACAATTCACTAACTCTGACATCGTCACTTAACACATTTGTACTACACGTTCATGCGTATGGAAAATGAGGTAATAATAAAGCAATAAACACTACCGAAACAAGTACGATCATACTATGGACCAGGAACTGAGCATGTTGTTGGATGAGATTCAAAAATATAATTCACCAAATCCATGCAGAATTGTTCAAAAAAGAAGCATGCCAATTTTCATTTTGATCGAACTTGAATTGACAGAGCCTTAGACTTTTTCCAAGAGCGCCACCCAAAGAAGAAGAAGAAGAAGAAGATGAGTAGCGGTTAGCGACCAGTTCCTATATACCTCTTCTTACAAAATTTGGTATTAAAAAAAACAAGCACTTTAAAATAAGAAGTCGAAAATGTAAAAAATTGACAGATAGACTGCAGTTATGGAGCTTTAATTAAAAGGAAAAAATATAATAAGCCTTTAACTAACTAACTTTTCCAGCATCAAATTTTGGCATCATCACACATACAGCTCCGCAGTGTAACGCAGTCATTAAAACATTTACAATACCATGTACATGATGTAAAGGCAAAACATGAAGTATCACATCTTGATTAGTCCAGCCCCAAGCCTTGATCATACCAGTTATTTGAGCAGATAGATTACCATGTGTTAATACCACTCCCTGAAATATCAATAATTCATAAAGGAGATAAATATGTAGTTCAAAGAAAATAAAGTAAAAGTAGAAGTGTTGGCACCTGTTGGTCTGACAAGGAGAGTAAGCCTAGTCATTCCAGTGGGACTAAAAACTAAGGTCCCCCTGTGTATACATTGGAAATGAAATGAAATGGAGTTTAACGGCCTACTGTTCTGCTGAGACTGGGCTAATGACGATGAGCTATGAGGGAAGTTTTGCCCAGACAGTGGCGCTACGGCCTACTCTTATATCGAATTCCAACTGCCAATGTGTACACGGGACCTCGTTCTTTTGTACAATCTGAACAACTAGACAGCTGCCCTTGTCAGACCCTCCGTCCTGCACCACTGACAAGGGGAAACCATGCTGGAAAATCCTGATGAACTTTCTCGGCCAACACCGAGATCAAACATGCGACTTCCTGGCTAGCAAGCCAGCGTCTTAAATTAGCCACTTTGGCTCTCGTGTACACAATGGCAAGCACGTAATATAACCCACGGTATATTAATGTAGAAGTTGAATCTCTAATAGAAACATCAGTGCATAAATGGTTCAATTCAGTATTTACAAAGATTTGATTAACTGAATTTCATCGTTCTGTGATGTTAACTATGTTTCGAGAAATCTAATTGATGGGCCCTCTTAATTAATCAGATTGAAGTCGTGACATAATCTGGCATTGATCTTTTGATTTTGTTGTCTTGATTATAAATGTTATATATATCCATGGTAACTTTAATATTATCAGTTGATTGGATTTTATCTTTCTTGCTTGTTCCTTTTTCCTTAGTCTGGATCGTAACAGTAGAAATCAAAGCCTGGTTACAGGCCTTAGTGTTGTATAGTTTTGTACAAACTTACAATAGGATAAGGTACCAATAATATACCAAAGGACTGAATAGAGTTTTCTCCCTTACCTTCGGTCTACCAGTTGTACCACTTGTATAAATAATCATTGCTGGTATGTTTTTATATTTGTTAGTCATAACAAAATCATCATAAAAACCTTTTGAACGGGCTGGTCTACCCTCAATTAAAGCAGGAGTTGTCTCCCATCCAATCCATCTATTATCCTCCAAAGCACATGTGCCAATGTAACTATTTTTTCTTAGAGTTAACAAGGGTACCTAGTAATAAAATTTATAATATTAATGCCTCAAAAGATCTTAGGGCTATTCCATTTAAATGCAATTTTAATATAAAAAAAAAATTCTGTTGGCAAATGGAACAACAAATATCAGATATAAATTTATTGATTATGGTGAGCTCGAAAGGGCAGGGATGTTTGTGGGTGTATTAAAGATATATTATGTAAGATTTAGATAAAGAGCTAGCCATTCTTGCTATAATAGTTCCAAAATAGATAATGTAAATTGAATAATCTGAAAATTTCATTCAAATTACTCTATTGCGAGCGAAGATATTAGCCTTTGAAGGTTTGACAAGACGTGTGCAATAATTTCCACCACCGTACTGGTTGTTTGAAGCGAAGTCTCGCTCCTCTATTTTTAGATTAAATCAAAATATGGCTGAACCGTTCTAATCTATTTAATATCGGAGAAATCTGATGCCATTGAGAGTTGATTATGGCCTGGATCAGTTAATTAATGTTTAGTTAATAATTTAGAAAACATTTCAGGCCTAAAGAAAGACCTGCAATAGACAGATTTACTTCTTGCATAATGTATGTTTAATAGTGGCACCCGAGAAAATAAAAGTTATGTGCAATACAGTTCAATGCCATATATTTTCGGACTAAATACTAGAGAATACTACTTTTTATTGGCATAAGACAGGCCAAGAGACCTGACTGTAAAATAAAGATGGAAGATACAGAAGAAATATTAATGAAAAGATTTATGATTTGGGAGCAACCCGAGTAATGAAAAGAGATACCTGAAATTTATATGCAATTGGTTTCAGTACTTTTTCATATTCTTCTGTTGCTATGACAATAGATGCTTGGGCATCTTCGACAAAATATTCTAGTTCTAAAGCTGGGTGAGTCTTACATAACGGTACAGCCACACCTCCCAAAATCCATGTTGCCCATTGAGCAATTACATATGAAACATCATTTTCACATAAGAAAACCACACGGTCATTGTTTCGAAAATATTCTTTATCAGACAAGCCACACGTTTTTCTAATTTTTTCTGCTAACTTGGCACTATGATGTAAAATATCTTCGTAATTTGATTTTCCATGCTGATCTATAATAGCAGTTCTTCCTACATATTTCTCAGCCACCAAGAACGTTGGAGTCACTTTGTTGACTTTCAAATTTGTGTACCCAAATCTCGAGGAACATTGTGGACATAAATGAAGATATCTCTGAGGAGAAGACATAGGATAGATTCCAACTGTTCCATTGGTCCATAATTGTTGGAACTTCTTTATCCGACTGAAGAAAAATGTTTTTTCAAGTTGAAAGATTTTGATCATGTTGATGCTAAAGGAGGTAAATCCCCTTAATTAGAACCTGAAAAACAGAATTATAATTTAAAAAATAATAAAGAAAACAATACTGTATAAATATATATAAGCAATAATGACATGCATAAAAACAAATCTTCCAGGATTTCTATTATTGGTGTTTTGTCACATAATTTTATAGAATATATGTGTTTGAGAGAGAGAGAGAGAAATGGGGTTTATCATCCACCTGCCACATTTTGGTCATTTTGTGTCTAACATATGGTTCAATTTTATTTCAACAATTCCCTTGTGCATAGGGATCTTTAGTAGTGGGAGGAAACAGGAGGACATGGAGAAAGCTAATCGGGTTGAACAGGCAACCCTACTCCTTTCATGTACAAGTGGAGAATCGAAACCACACGACTTGACTCAATGACAGACCTTATGATGCAATGCGCACACGTTAACCATTTGGCCACCCCAGGTGCGGATCCTAGGGGGTGGGGGCGCACTCGGCACACGCCCCCCCTCCTATTTTTTGAGGCGGCGAACAATTTGCGGGAAAGAACAAAAATACTTAAAAATGGTAGTGATCCCCGTCGTAATTTACTCCGAAACGAGCCGATTGGTGACTTGGTTGACTGTCCTACCATTCTGCACCAGCCAGGTTAATGAAGATGGGCATATCAAATATTAGGGGCTCTTTTTTCATTGTACGGAAAAAGGAAATAAGTTTTTTTCTCATACGAACAGGGACTAAGAGCCTCTGTGACAAGACTGTTAATATTAAAATATTAAGTGAAGTAGGGGAGGTCATGATATTTAACATTATGATAGGGAAGGTGGGCAAATTCATACACACACAGTGCTTGTTTAAAACTCAATAATACTATAGGCTACTTCAGGTCTCCAATAACTTTCCCATTTAACCAGGATTTTGTTATCTTCTTATAGTCTTCTTATTTAATTTTAATTACAAACAAATATGGCAGCTCCTTGTCATTTGGTTGAGCATTTCATTTACATGTTGGATGATCTTCCTCTACTCTATTGATGTCTGAATTTTTAAAAATCTCCATAGGCATTACTCATGGTTCTGAGTAGGCTGAATATAGTTCTTTCTCCATATATTTCAACGTTACCAACCTCTTAACCCAATCTCTGCTCCCAAAGAGAAGTTTACCGTTCGTTTATCTTTGTGTAAACTCGCCGGTCATACGTCGGCCATTTTGAATGTCACGTGATCTATCTTATGCCGGTCGCTTCCACAAAGATCCAAGGGGGAGGGGGGGGGGGGGGATAGGTGTGCAACCGGTGCGCCGCCCCAGGAAGTTCAAAATTGAAATGGGCAATTTGAATTATGCACGAATTTTTTGTTGTTCCTTTGAAGCCTATATAATTATAATTATAATTATAATTTACAAAAGTTTTCGCTTTAGGCCTATCGCAATAATCAAAATCCTCGACTAAACACAATTTTTCCTGAGAAGAACGTTGCTTTTAACCCTTGGTAAACCGATCAATGATCCAGATAACTAGGTGGCTGTAGTGTAGTGCAACTGCGAATCATCGAGATTATCACAGTGTTGGATAGGTGGGGGTGGGGTCTCGCCCCAGCACACTTTTTCCCCTCCGGGCCCTGGATGTGATTGTTGTCAAATATAAAACCTTTAAAATTAGTGTGAGAATTATTTTCATTGACGTCAAAAATGCAATCTGATTAAAATACAGATATATATTTCGTTTCGTTTTTTTTTTATACTTTCGATGGCCTACACTACATGAAGATCAATCTGAACGACAGACTCACCCTACCTGCAGAGAAGTTACTCTGACACAGTGAATAGCCATAATATCCATATGGAGTTATCTAAACGTCACAGGTCATGAGGTCACATCAACAAACAAATGTAAACACCATCATTATCATTATGATCATTATCAACATTACAAGACACGCGTACAATGTTACATTGTAAACAATAGCCTTCGTGCAGCCTTTAGGACTGTATAATCCGTACAGAACGTCTTAATATCGCTTCTTCCAATGATTTTTCACAAAAATAACATCATCTACAACTCTAGATTTGACGTCGGCATATTGGCACTATTTTGTGCTTCGGTCGTGTCTATATACATAATCAATTCTGTTAATGTTTTTAGCGTGGGGATTACTAAAAGTTAATTTATTTCAGTTCTAAACAAAAATTTAAAACTTTAACGCAATTTTAAAAAAATAGCTAAATTCTGGCTGGGATTACTGAGCAAAATGGCCATTCACTGTATATGTGCGAAAAAAAGCCAGCTAGCATTTAATTTTCGTACGTTAGTTACGTACGCATGAAGATCTGACAAGTTATACCGATAGGTCACGTCAGGGGTCAAAAGAACGACTTATGACCTATGACATCAGACATTTGATTAACCAATCAGCATTGATGTTACTAGTGGATTACCCACAGTTCCGTGAAAAACACGTCTAAAGCTCGCCGTAACAGACCGTTTCATTGGCTTATCCCTGACACCATTCAGAACACGAGTTAAATAACAACTCTTCCAGATCCAAGTGTAGTAAAGACAAGTAAAACGAAATTTTGAACTATAAAAACGAAACGAAATAGGATCTGTGTTTTAACCAGATTGTCAAAAATGTGACGTCATTGATTAGACGCAATCTGATTAAAATACAGATCCTATTTCGTTTCGTTTTTTATAGTTCAAAATTTCATTTTATTTGTCTGTACCACTATATATGGATCAGTGGTCTGTACTACATTATGATTTGGAAGAGTTGTTATGGCGTGAGGGATTACGACCACTTCTTGGCGTGCGATGCACGGAACTGTGGATAAACCAATAGAAACGTCAACGCTGATTGATTAATCAATGTCTGACGTCATAGGGTCAAAAGCCGTTCGTACGACCTCTGACGCGACGTTTTACTACAACCGGGCAGATCTTCATGGGTAGGCCATCGAAAGTATATATTATATAAAAAATAAAAAAAATGAAATATAGATCTGTATTTTAATGAGTTTGTGATTGTGAAATATTTCTTTGTGACGCGTAATCTCGCCCAATAAGTTGACACGCGCATTGCCTATTTTGTCCAGTGGATCCGGTTCCGGTCTGAAATTATTTTTTAAACAACAGTCTTTGACAGTTTCATATTACGCTCCTGTGTTACCGGATAAGAGCTTTGCTCAAGCACCGCGCAAATATCACCGACTCACTGGCATTGTGCGCTAAAAATAGTCCCTGTCTTATCATCAAATCAGCTGTTTTCGAATGAACTGTTGATATTAAGATGTGGAAAATGTTCCAAGGATCATTAATATGTAACTCATGCGACGAACCGATGCCGTATTGTCGAGAAATCGGCAGCCTAGTGCTTCCCATGGTCGTTGTGGACGTCAATATTCACCATTAACATCCCCTAAAATTTGAAGTATTTACGACACTGGAAGTACTAGCAGTACGAAAGTGCAGCAGCTCAAAAACGTATTCTCCCTGATCCTGCCGTTCTCTGATGCGATGAATTTTGTGATTTTAGTGTATTTTCTTTGAGTACCTCCACAACAAGTTTTAAAGTACAATGAATTGGATGTAAAAAGTAAATATCTACTTTAATGCACTGATCCACCGCACTAAACATCATTTTATACATTCAAAATTCAACCACCAAAAAAGGAAATTCTGCGATATTCCAGTGGTGATATTGGTCGAGAAAGTTCATCGGGATTTTCCGACGTGGTGCAGGACGGAGGGCCTGTCAAGGACAGCTGTCTAGTCGTTCGGATGGGACGAAAAACCGAGGTCCCGTGTACACATTGGTGTGCACGTAAAAGATCCCTTGGCAGTTGGAATTCGATATAAGAATAGGCCATAGTGCCGCTGCCCGGGCGAAATTTCCCTCATAGCACACTGCCCAGTCGGAACAAAACAGTAGGACGTTAAACCCCATTTTATTTCCAGTCGTGACTTGTGATAGATGGTGGGTGCTATAGTGCAATAAAAGGGGAGGAGCTATCATTAGCATACGATCCATCTACTTCACACCTCGAGAACACACCACTGCCACAAATGCCGTCTATTTAAAACGCTCACGTGATCATTTTGGGGCGGGACTAATCGACTGGCACTGCTTTTTAGAGCCGAAGCACGTGGTTTATGTAAACGAATATGTCAAGTTGCTACTCCGGTAAAAGCGATTATATATATATGAGCAAATCGGTTACATTACAATACAGTCTTTATCATTGTAAACTGCCTTTAGAGTTTCAATCTATTTATTTATCTTTCAAAACAAGGTTAGATACCCCTAAATCTGTCTTCGCAAACGATGTCGCTTCTGTAAACGTATCTTTCATGGGCGCCGCCATATTGAATAATCCGTGGACTATTTCGTGCTTCGGTTCTGATCCGTTTGACATTTTTCATACACACAACGGCTAAATTAACAAATTAAATTTCATTCAATATGAAAATAGAGAGAAATAAATACTTCTAGAAATTTCTAAACGCATACTCCATATAGGAATTAAAATGTCGGCTAATTAGGTTAGGGCCACTCGGCAAACCTCGGCAGATTCCGGTACCCTCTAGCCTCGGCTGTATGACGGTAAGTGATATGTACCTACGCCTACACAAATGCGATGCGGCACCGGTTTACTTTAAGAAAACTTGCCGCTTTTAGAAAGAAGTTCTCACAATTGGTTCGTTCGAAGAGTGTGTAGAATTTTCAGTGCAAACTTGTCAGTGTCTAAAGAAAATCGGATAAACTTGAGAGAAAAACAGCTTCAGACTTTGAAATTTTTGTATGATTAAAAATTCTTCTTAAGGCGTCGTCATGGGCAACGCCGTTGGTAATCCGGGAACTTGAAAGTAGTTTCAATAGCGGACTTCGTCATACAGCCTCGGCTAGATATAGGGTACTGGAATCTGCTGAGATTTTCCGAGTGAGGTTAGGGCCTGTTCATAGTCGGAACTAACTGTAGACAGGCAGCCTATGTTTGGGATGCTATCAGGGCAGGAATACTAATGCAATCTGTTTCACAGATATTACGAAAGTTTTCTATTATCTCTGTAAAACTAAAAGATGACTGCCTTCAACACGTGATGTCACAGCACGCGCCGTCAATCATTGGCGCGTGCATTGTTTACATAAGACGTTACTGGTTCGGGCAGAATGATGTCTTTTACTCATTTTAATACCCATTTACACTAAATAGGAAATAATTTTTACCTACAAATACTTCAAACGTCTTTATTTATTTTAGAATTTAATTTGTCGGTGGAAAAAAAATTAATATTTGTGGCTCATCAAGTCGCATCGATGTCATTCTTATCAGTGATTGTAGAGGCCTAGCCAATATTCACTGCTGATCACACACTGCTCCGCAGTGAATATTCGCTTGGCCGCTACAATCACTGATAAGGATGACATAGATGCGACTTAATGACTACAAAATATTAACTTTTTTCTTTCGATAAATTAAATTCTGAAACATTTTTTTTTAGTATTAGAAAAATAAATAAAGGTGTTTGAAGTATATCTTGATAAAAAATATTCCATATTTAGCGTAAATAGGTACAGAAAACGTACCAGTTCATATTACTACGTTCGATGTAAACAACGCACGTGTGACCATCAATTTGACGTTTTTTTCTGTTTGTTTACTCTGAATTCTTTCAGAAGTACATTTTTTTACCGTCTAATCTGATTGACCTGCTCTTGTTTGTTTTAAAACAACAAAAACAAGCCACAGAAGTAATCTTTTTTGGCGTTATCGATGCCATCTTGCTTTGTTGGTAAACAGTGTGTTGTGACGTCACCCTTAGAACTACAGCGGTCTGACCTTATAAAGGTCAGTCATCTTGGACAGAGATAAAAGACGGATGTCGCATTAGGTCTGTAAAACAGATTGTGCTGATCAGTGTGATACTAATGTGTTAGTAGGCGGAAATTAATAAGCATAACCACGGCTTGACATGGTCGGTTAAAGTCGCTTTGTCGGGTTAGTAATATTCATCCTTGAGTTTGAAACGTTATACACACATCAACCTATATGTACATGTAGTTGTGCCTTTTGCTAATTTGAAATTTCTCTGTAAAGTTGATTCCATAAAAATTTTTTTTTACTAAGTTACTGGTTCACAATTATTATTCTGGGACACATCTCATAAACTGTTCACAATCATTATTCAACTGCACATTT